GCAAAGCGCTCCTATGCCCATATATTCGCCATATCATATCTCATCAACGGCACGAATCCATCCATACTCCCGTCAATACAATGTCGACGGGAGTTTGGATGGATTCGTGCCGTTGATGGGAGTCGAGATCAAGTTTGGATGGATGCGTACTGAATTAGAATGACTCCGCTTGAAGAACGTGGGGGATAAAATGATGTACTCGCCTACCGACTTGTTCGAAGGAATCTTCATGATGGCAAGGATCCTATTTAACTCATCGGATGTTCAGTAAAAGGGCTAACCGTGAGCCAAGGTTTGCATATAACCGGTCTTTTGAATTGATGGGATCGGAAAAGCAGGTGATCTGATCTGAAGAGGATAGAAAAGAGATACGACTATTTCGGCTTCGTTTCCTGGCTATAGTTTCTAGCACGCATTCCGATATCGCACAGAGTTCTTTCCTTTTGCCTGCCAGGGGGATAGAAGTCTTATTGTCGCCTCAATAGGTTGGATGACATCGTTGTGGGGGTTGACCAAGTGGGTTAGTTCAAGAAGTGCGGAGGCGGAGAGGCGAGGAGCGCTCATTCGGCAGTGCGATCGGTTCGGCTTTATGAACTCAACTTTGCCATCATGGCGTCAACCCAGCAGCTTCGCACAATCGGATATAAGTCATCTGCTACACATTTGCACACATGCAAAGCGTATTTCTACTTACATAATTACTTCGGGATACTGAACAAGGGCCTTGTTACCGGCAATCTCATACTATGTCATTTCACAGGACATCCTGCTTGCGACGCGCAACTTGGCTCGCATTCATAAAACCATTTATTATGCAGCCATTAAGAAGACATGCCTTCTCTACAACTAGAGTACAGCGCATGATGAGCATAGTCGGTTTCAGCGAGAATCAACTCATGGTTCGTGAGGCTGTGAGCCAGGTTTGCGCGGAGTTCCCAAATACCTATTGGCAACAACACGACCAAGAGGAAAAAGACCCCAAGGAGTTTCATGCTACTCTCGCAAAAGCTGGATGGCTAGGCATTGCGCTGCCGGAGAGCCTAGGCGGCTCTGGACTCGGTATCTCGGAGGCAACTATCATGATGCAAACGATCACGGAGTCCGGAGCAGGCATGGCTGGTGCACAATCTGTCCATGCAAATGTATACGCTACTCAACCGCTGGCCAAATTTGGTTCACAGGAACAACTTGAGACAATAGTTCCTAAGATCGTCTCTGGAGACACACGCGTTTGTTTCGGCGTGACAGAGCCAAACGCCGGGCTCGACACTCTTCGGCTTGCAACTAGCGCCAAAAAGAACTCAGATGGATCCTACAGCGTTACTGGACAGAAAATCTGGATTACCTGTGCTCAAGTTGCATCGAAGATGATCCTCCTTGCACGCACAACTCCGTTGGAGGAGGCTCGGAAACCGAGCGAAGGTCTTTCATTATTCTGCATTGACATTGGTGACCGCAACAAACCTGGTCTTGATCTCCGCAAGATTAAGAAGATGGGCGGTCGCGCCGTTGATGCCAACGAGGTCTTTTTTGACAATTACCACATCTCTGCAGACTCGCTCATTGGCGAAGAGGGCAAGGGCTTTAAAATGATATTGCACGGAATGAATGCTGAGCGCTGTCTGCTAGCTGGAGAAGCTTTAGGACTTGGCTATGCTGCTCTGAAGAAGGCCAGCGACTACGCGAAAGAGCGTGTTGTCTTCCAACGGCCAATCGGTCAGAACCAAGCTATTGCCCATCCCTTGGCAGATGCATTCATGAGACTCGAGGCTGCGAAACTAGCAACATATCATGCTGCGAAACTCTATGACCAGAGCAAAACAGATTCTTCGGTGCGACAGGACGAGATCGGAGTTGTGGCCAACAGCGCGAAGTACTTGGCGGCGGAGGCTGCTTTTACAGCCTGCGAGAGAGCAGTCCTGACGCATGGAGGCATGGGTTACGCCATGGAATACGATGTGGAAAGGTGGTTCAGAGAGTGTTTAGTACCCAGGATTGCACCCATTAGTAGAGAGATGATCTTGAACTACATTAGTGAGAGGGTATTGAAGTTACCTCGGAGCTATTGAGAATTGTTCGAGATGGCACATGCTCCAATAGAGATAGTCTACCAAAAACTGTTTGTTGTACGTGGAAAACTGTCTTGTTCAGCGTGAATGAACATGTACTTCTTGGTTAGATTTGTTCACTTTGTGGCCCTGACATCTTAAAACCTAACCTCCAGTGCCAAGTGTTACTGGGCTGAAGGTATTTTCCTTGATCATAGATAAATCTGACTACGAATAGCTTTGGTAAATCTCATCCCGAAAATCCTTAGGAATACTTGATTCGCTATGTGAGAGAATAGTCCAGTACCCGTAAAGAGGCGAGACAACTTACTAGATATAATAGGTAGGGCGACGGGCCCCTACATACATACCGGCAGAAACAGAGTCGCAGCTACCTTCAAGGGTGAGGCTGCATTCGCTAACAGCTGTACTTCAATACACAACTTCGTGTTTGTTCTTGACTATCGTTCGCGGCGAGCCAAAAGCTGTCTATCCAGCCGTAAGCAGGTCTGAACACCTTGCCTAATATGTTACAACTGCGACCAGGGGTGAAGCTGCATTCGCTAGCGACTGTATTAGACCAACGAGGTGTTATTGTAATATACAAGAGACATTATGATTATAAAGCCAAAGCTGGCAACCACGTGATCTTTGGCTTGCTAACAAGACTCCAGGGCTTACACAGCTACAGGCCTTTGAAGCCACAAGCTTAGCGCGGTAGAATTTATGCCGTAGACGTCCTATACTAGCTATATATAGAAGCTGCTTACTAGAAAAGGTACTCGAGCCGCTCACATTCACGCAAAGTCAGCAGATCCCTCTGCTCTAAGCAGTGGTTGCTGAGTTAGTTCGACTTGTCCCTGCTATCTGTGGACAATTGCTCCGTGTTTCTTTAGGCGTTATAATAGACAAGTATTGGATTCCGCGTGGCACTACCATTGGTATGAGTGCTATGGTACTGAACAAAGACCTATCTATCTTTGGCAATGATGCCGAGAAATTTCGATTAGATCCCTGGCTGGAAAGCCCCGATATATTTGCCCGCCTTGACAATATGAGCATGACGTTTGGCACTGGTGCAAAAGGTTGTATAGGTAAGAATATTGCTCTCGTATGTGTCTTCCCACATTTTCTTACTCTACGTCTTCGAAATTACACATTCCCTTGTTGATTCCTTTATATGTCTCTAACGATAAAATTCGCCCCTATATGCTTTATTGAGATGAGACACTATAGATCATTCTTCTCTAGGTCGAAATTCAGAAATTTACGGCTCAGTTTTATCGATTCTTTGAGGTCGAACTTGTAGATAAAGAAACGCCTTGGAAGAATGAGTTTTTTCATAACCGTCAACCTAAAAGATGTGCGTGTGAGACTGAAGGAACGATATTTATGAAAAGACGAAACTGGGTTGTTGATGGAGAAAAAATTGTTTTCGGGGGAATATAAGTCCATAGCCAAACAGTTTTGGTTATAGTGTTGAATATAGCATCATTTAACGTGGCTATGAAGGCCACAATCGAAATGATAGTCCTAAAAAGGTCCCAGTTTCAATTTGTGAAGACTCATGAGATGTGAAACCGACCACGATTTCGCCCCCCCCCCCCGACTAGGCAATCTACTAGTGATATCTTGCTCCGTACTACAGTGTAAAAACATCGACTTGATTCGTTTATCTAAATAAATTATCTGGAGTTTAACCCATGCAAACAAGGCTACCAGCCTCTGCTCTAGGACTTTGGGCTCAAGCTCACCCGACCCTAAGGCTAGTGAATAGTAACATTGATTTCTTGCAGCTAATGGCCTGCATCTAGATTAGCATTAGTAGAGATTCATAAAGCTAGAAAGGGACTCGATGTCTTGTCTGGAGTCCTTTATCTTGTTAGCGCATTCTCTATGTTTCTGGTTAGACCTTATTAGGTTATCTTAGTTATATTAGTCATTATCTGAAGGATCCATGTATAACATATTCTATTGTTGCCAGTCTTACTTCTTAGAAGTCTGCTCACAATATTTGTGGACAAAAATGGGACTGTGAAATGTCCAGACACGTTCATGTGGTTTTCACATTGATAAACGGTTTCATCCTAGGTATCAAGTTGAAATGATAGGCTGTTTCAGTACTTAAACATCTGATTGTAGTAGTATTTCGTGTTGAGTAATTCGACAAAGTACGTCCTATGTTCCAGCCAGGAAGTTACTGACGGCATCAAGAAGCGCGTCAAATCCTATTAACTCTTGGTACCTAAAAATAGCTGCCCTTCTACCAACACATTCCGGCTCGTCCTTACGCAACTGCCCGGCTCCAGCTTCATTTCCATAGACTAATGCCACGCGATTCTCGCCTGGGCTCGCCTGTTAGGGCGCTTCGCCGCTGATGAATTTTACGATGTTGTCACTGAACGCTTGTGCCACGGTCTTTGTAGGAACTCGTCGAAGTTCTCGAATAGAAGTGACACGTCTACAATATGCGCGGCTTCCCCTTTGAAAGGGTCGTCCCATGGATTTGTATAACTCGTCTAGTAACAAACTAATATTTTTCCTTTGTAACATTTTCAATTTTGTTAGAGTAGCAGGCTCTGGCGGAACTGAAATAGCCGGACAACACCAAACCACCACCAAAAGTAGCCACTTTGAACGCTAAATATTAGCACAACAACAACGTTTAAATATATATGTATGATAAAAAATAAAGCGCTATATAAGTTTAATAGATATCTAAGTTTTTAGAGAGTTAGACCTTATATATAAAGGTATAGCTACGTATGAAGTTAATTAAGTAGTAAAACGCTAAGAAACTAGCCCTTTCGCTTGCCTGAGATGTCCGGCCACTTCGGTTCCGCGAGAGGCAGGCTTCCCCGGACCAATCGGATGTAATAAGGGGCTGTTCGGGAAATTAGGGGTTCCGGCATCCGCGGATCTCCGGCCAATTGGTCAAGTTAAACCGACTGGCGCTCACTGGCTACTACAAAAGCACACTGCACCTAAGCTGGAGTTTTGCATGTAACCGAACGTTATGCTTAGCTTTAGTGTACACAACTCACTACATATCAAAATCTTCTAGAATCAGCTTGCACACAATGTACCTCAGATATCAAATGTGATGAGATTTTTTAATGAAATTCCTTACTTTTAATTCTACGTATAACTATCACTAGCGATGTTTTGCTGTCTGTATAACAATATCCGCATGCTTTACTTTTCTGTGTACCCCAATCTCAGAAGCAGCCAGTTGTTCAGCGGGATTTCGCCGAGGGACAGATTCACGCGCCTACAGCAATGGCATTTCGAAGGAAGAAGGTGCATAGCATAAGTATGAATTCCACTATTGTACGCATGCAACAACAGCAGTGTCAATGCTTCTAGTGAAATGACGATGACAGAGTTGGTAAATTTGCTATCATTGTGCGTACGAAAGTGGCAAACACGTTGCAACAAACCCATTCAAGTAGAATTGTTCGCTGTAAGTTCTGCTTGCATATAAGATCGCCTCCATTTCATATTTGATTATCACCCTGTAAATCCCGAATTCGAAGCCTATTTAGCGAGGATTTGAACCAATCTTTTGCACGCATGTCTTAGTCGACAAAATACATTCAATTGTTGCGTCACGTCCACTTCTATTGCCTGTCTAACCTCAATGGTATCACCACTCTTCTTCAACGCACTTGATGGAACGAATTGGCGATTGATCCCAACCCTTCAGGCAGGACTAGATTAGCCTAAGTCTATTAACTCTGCTGCTAAGATTTATTACAATGATCACTTTTTATAGCGACTCCATAGCTCTATTTTTGAGGTTATTTTGGTGGGGCCACGCGCACATGGCGGTAGGGCACAGTGAATTATGTGACCTCTAGCATACTTCCTTCCGTACTTCGGGTACAATGATTCTCTCGGTGCTATCACTGTCCTTCAATGGGCGCTCTGTCGAAGTTACGAAATACTGAGTCGAAACTTGGATACTGGACTCCTCCTGGTTTTGAGACGGCTTCGCCTTGTGATTATCCAGACTGCCCAATACATAACTCTTATTTTGACCCCGCGACCTTCTCAACCAAGTCAAAGCCCGACTTCTAGTTTTTGATCTTTCGCTGTTTCCTGACAAAGATAACGAGAAGGACATGTGTCGAACAACGAAAGGCTTCAGTGTGGCTATTGACGCACAAATGACCCCTGCGTTTAATTCAACTTCAGAGAAGATGCAAGCCGAGGCTTGGTAAAATGTGATATCCGGATTGCCGACGTAATTGTACACGTAAATGATTCGAACAATAGAGACGACGATGACCCTAGATTTGCCGCATCATTAGTTGAAATTCTAGCGTGATGGGTTATGTTTTGAAATTTACCCAGATCCTAATGTAAACACGATACCTAGGAGAACCTTTTGCTTTAAACGTAGCTGAAGAGCATATAACATTGGGAGCGGCAGCAGAATGATGAGGAAATCCGTGAGAATATTGACTGTGGGCAGTTAGTAGAGTTGAATTTGGTAACTATAATTACGACCTACTGATAGCCATGAAAAGGTTAATATCTTTCAAACACGTCCCGTCCTTATCAGTTAAGGGATTACAAGGTCCAACGACAACAATGGTAATGGAAAGAGTGTAACCAAATGTCAACACCCCAATCGCGTAAATTGCGATTCGCATCCAAGCCTGTGTGCTTATCCGATAATACAGAACGAGCAAAGAGAACTTTGTGAGTGCTGGTGTCCAGACGTAGATGATACATATTGCGATGAGTGTTTTTAGATATCCTGTTAACTGATCAGGCGTGACATTCCAGGCGTGGAGGCCGAATCCATATCGAAACGCTATTCTGTCAGTACTCTTTCGCTGTCCACAAAAGCAGAGATCATACCAGAGGCACATATAGCGAACCAGGAAACGCATCCCAACCAACTGAAGAAAACAATCAAATCATCAAAACCTGGATTACGACTAAGAAAGATGCGTGTATACAATCGAAGGCCCAGGAAGAACGTTGAAATCGAGGTGATCGCAATGTATGAAACCAGTACTTTTTGCTGTAAAGGTGATCTTGCGCCACTAAAGTCTGGTACCACGCCTTCAGGCGGCGGCAATATGCCTTGCATCGGTGAAAGAGCGTCCAGAGGGATTTCGAAAAGTTCAGGAAGTTTCGGGTCAGCAACAATCCGTTCCGGTCGGCGTGTACTTGAATGAAATAAAATCAGATCAGATTAAGTAAGTATGCATCTAACATGCGATCTACTTATCAAAATATGAATGGCCGTATCCCCACTGTTTCCTAACCGATGTATGGAGTACGAGGCCTCGATTTGATATACATGGATGTGGGCCCACTCGTAAATCCCCGGCAAGTCACAGAGAGTAAGGGTGCTGCAGTTTACTATTAGCTCGTATTTGCATGGGTACCTTGTGCCATGTAACATGCATGACCTGTGAACCAGACATCCGAAGTGTTCTTACACAGCTTATGTGGCTAGTGATTCTTCGTCTTTGGGGGCTCTGTACACCAACGCTGACATGAAAATTCTTAAGATCTGGAAAAGATCTTATACGGAATTTCCTTTCAAGATCGAACACCAATTATATGCCACTTCTGAATGTGTTAACGCTAGGAGGAGCTTAACATCGGTTGCAAGGAAGGGGATTAATTTTCCTAGCGTAGGGTTCCTGAGACGCCGACAGAGTCTCCGAAGTATCGCCATATGGACGGATGCATAAGCAGCCGCTCCCGCTACCAATCGGGGTCGAGGCCGCAACGTCAAAACCTTATTTAGTTACGCAGGTCGTTTCTATCTTCGAATTGTTGAGACCGGTCTTCGCAGTTGCAGTATACGGAGCGTATGAGAACTGACTAGTTCCAGGGGCAGCGATTCGGCCCTGGTTAAGTTGGGCTCGAGGTATATCTATCGCTACTTAATGACCATGTTGCCTAGCATAAACACAAATATCCACTTGTTCTCAAATCGGCGAGGTAATTTCAGCACACCATCTCAAGATGGAAGTCTCCTCGGACGCTTTGATCGTGCTTTGTCCACTGCTATCAATTGGTTTTCACGAATTGGTTTTGAGGCGTGTGGAGGTCGATCATCTTGTTCTCCCAGGACTTGTTTTTTCGAGTCTCTTCTTTTTACTTTTTACTTTCTACCGGGGCATCGGCCCAACTGTTGCCTTATATGTAGCCTTTTGGGGCACTCTCTCTTTATGGATCTTGTTATATCGTGCATTCTGGCACCCGCTCAGACATTTTCCGGGTCCATTGGGTGCAAAATTGACGAAATTGTGGACTATCAAACAGACTTGGGATACAAGATGGCATTGGCATCGCGTACAACAGCGTCTCCAACAGGAGTATGGTGATTATGTGAGAACAGGTATGCGAAGTCTTTCCGATAGTACTATGTAACAATATGGTTGTCTTTGATAGTTTGCTCTGAGAATTTGTCTATCGGATCCGCTGCTGATCAGCGATGGCAATAGGTCCCCGAGAAATTTCAATTTACGACCCGAGCGCCATACAACCAATTTTGGGTTTCTCTTCCATGACAACCAAGGGACCTTTCTATGATGTTATGGAAAAGTCTCTTCATCTGAATCGAGACAAAGCATTCCACCGTCAGCGACGTAGGGTTTGGGATAACGGAATGAAAGAGTGTAAGTTCTTTGCATAGCATAGACGATGCTATCCACTGACAGTTGTAGCGCTTTCTACCTTTTCTCCACTCGTTGAGGAGTTTACAGATAAGCTGCTTGCTCAACTACACAAACAGAATGGCGAACCGATTGAACTATGGCGCTATTGCAGCTACTATAGTTATGATGTTATGTCAAAACTTGCGTTTGGCGAATCAATGGGATTTGTAGAAGGCAAACAAAGTGAAGTAGCGGCAAGCATTCTCAATACTTTCAACAGCAGCTTATCCGCTATGGGCCTTATGTACCATGTGCCTTGGTAACTCGCTGTGAACCCCAACTACAAAAAATATGGATTTTACTAATCTTAGCATTCAGGCTCATGAACACACTTGGGGTAGTCACTTCAATTGCCGGGCCGATGAAAGAATGGCGAGACTGGAGCGTGTCGCAAATGAAACAACGCATTGCCGTAAGGTTCCAGGAAGTCCGCTCTATCTGCCCTGATACTAACGAATAGCAGCGGACAGATGGAAGGACCGATTTTGTAGGACATCTCATCAAGAACACCCCTAACGATACAGCTGGACTAGACCTACTATATGGCGAATCGCGACTCATCATCGGTGCCGGCAGCGAGACTACGTCTTCGGCGTTGACGTTTACATTGATGCAACTTGCTACGAACCCGAAATACGTCGATGCGATACGGAAGGAGTTTCGTGATTGCGTATCTTTCGACTGCCAGCGGCCACTTCCAATGCTTGACGCAGTAATACAGGAGTCAATGCGTTTATGGCCATCAATCTTTTTTGCACCTCAGCGCGTCACTCCACCATCTGGATTACACATCAATTCGCATTTCATTCCTGGAAATACAATCATCCAAATGCCGCCTTTCGCCACCTTTCGCGATCCAAGAAACTTTGTAAAACCAGATGAATTTTTGCCTGAACGATGGACATCGGAACCTGAGTTGGTGCTCAATAAGCACGCATTTATTCCATTCAGCACAGGACCATACAATTGCGTTGGTAAAACATTAGCCAATATGGAACTACGGAGTGTCATCGCAAGAGTGGTGAATGAGTTTGATATTCGTCTTCCCGATGGATTCGTAGCAGAACAGTATTGGGAAAGTATCAAAGATCAGTTTACGGCCGCACCTCCAGAAAGCCAGCGAGTTTCTTTTGTTAAATGTCAGGGCTGATATGAGTCAGTGTTAGCTAGTTTCGTCGCAATGGTACTTCGTCTCTCAAACACTCAAAGCTATCAAATGCGAAACCAGTACTGTTTGCTTTTATAGAATAACCAATAACTTAGAATAGAATGTTGAATATATGGTTGACATCGACACCAAATGCCCTTTTGAAAGCGCAAGGATTCATCTTCACAGATAAGAGGAAGGTTCCTGTAGACAAGAGGGTAAAAAGCACATCATGTCCTGCTACAGCACACTGCCATACTTTCCATTCTCGGTCCCCCGGTTTCTAAGAAAAAAGATTGATTAAGATGAAACAAACGACGGACAATGTACTTACTCGACATCTCAACAATTCCTCGGCAGTTGATAGCCCGACCAAAATGCCTCAGTATCCATCTCGCCCCACTTTTCTATACCTTTTCTTGGTGGACCGAAATATTCGGATGAAAACTACACGCACTAAAAAAATCGGGATACCGGACTTGTAACTATGTATGAGCATCATAAAGAACCTTTTTCAAGAGAATCAATATATGTGTGAAGTCTAGTATTTTGAAATTCAGAAAAACATCTTCTTAAACTACGCAATGGTGAAGGCGGTTGATTGCAGGTGATAGCTTAGTTTTACTGGGAGCTGTTTTCATCTCGGTATTTCGGTCAACCAAAACGCTTCCCATAACGCCACTCCGGTCAACCTGCCATGTTCCCTCTTCAAACATTTCAACCCATTTCCCGAGCACATGTCGCTCTTGTTCTCCATCACAACTATCCTCCACGGCCAGAACTTTACCTTGATCTATCATATCGACAAAACCATCAAGCATCATTTCAAGAAGGAAACACACCTGCTGACTATTCATGGTCATGTCGGTATCATAGATAGAAACTTGCTATATAGCTGTACACTTGTCTTGATTTAAAACCAGCTCAAGTGAATGAGTGCTGCCTATTCGCCCCATTCGCGCCGTCAAAAGTGATAATGCACTGCTTATTCGACCGTCTTCGTCTTCAACATAATTTACATTCTGCCAAAGTTTTTCGGAAAAGCACAAGCAGGCCGGACACGAATGGAAGAAGCGATGCTTGGTAAACGGTTCCGTTGCAAATATATGTTAAGCTGTCTTGAGGAAAGAGACGATAGTGGCATCAAGATAGTGAGAAACATTTGCAAGAACTGCATCACTGCCGTAGCATTCTCGCCATACGCGTTTATCGAAGGTATCCAATATGCGAGGCCTCGTATGGTACATAATGGAGCATCTCTCATGCCCAACACTCGACATATACATATCACTCTATCGTTTTTATCCAATTAATCTTGGCTTGCTACCAATGTCTGTGTGATAGTTTGGCAACTTTTTTTTTACTTTTCGTTGATCAACGTGGGTATATCAAAAGATCTACATATCGGTACAATACACAAAGAACCAAACCGGGACTACTAATATTTCCCCTCGGCCCGAATCATCTCAGAGACTTTCTTGGCGCTGGCTGCCTTTTTCGCCTCCATAATCTCCAGTCTGCTGAGTCCCATACTACTCAGATACTCATTGAAGCTGCCCAGGATCCGCTCCAATCCTTCCCGAAGACACTCCCTGACTTCATCGACCTCGGGTACCTTTCTCCTTTCTGCTTCTGGTTTGGCAAGTGTTTCGATATCGCTTGGGTGTATCGGAACTATCTCCATGTATTCATCGATCTTGTTAAGTGCTGTGGTAAGCACACGTACCACGGCTGGAATACCTTCGTGGAAACGGCCGAGCGAATCTTCGCTGAGAGAGGACACGGCCAGATTCGCAAGGGAAGTGACGGCGTTGCAAATCAATGAGATACGAGAGTATGGCGCTCCGAGAACAACAATGTTTGCTGTACGTTGAACAGATTGTCTGAAAAGGGCACCAATTGAGGAAGACACAAACTTGTTGTAGTACGTTGTAAAGAGCGACTCTGCCTCTTTGACACCCTCTTGTGCCTTGCTCAGCCCTTTGTTGATGGCTTCGCGGCTGTACGCTTTTTGGGCGTTACCAGGAGCGCTGTGAGATTTCGCGAGATCCGCTGTTGCTGCTTCGAAATGCTCCAATCTGGAATTTGGCTTTGGTGGTAGTGCTGCAATCGCTTTGTCGTCCTTGAGTGGCTGCGAAATTCGTGGCACCAGGTTGACAGGTGCCGCGGACTGCTCTTTGCCGTCTCCAGCGGCCGGGTTGTAGGCAGGATCAAGACCAACACTTAAACGTTCGATGAGAAACTTCAATTCGCCGAGACACAAGTCTGTAACTTGCTCGTGGGTAGGCGCCTTTTTGCGATCCATTTCACTGTATAGCGTCTTACGGCGGTCGGGGAAAGCGTCTGTAATCAGAGCAAGCTCCCAGAAAGCAATTGCCTAGATTCAGTCAGTCATGATCGCGAATGTGCATCGCCTCTCTATACCTTAACAGTATCCTTCTTCGACTTGAGCCCATTCAAGAGCGAGCCATTCGGGTCTTTTGAATCATTGGTAATGGGATTATCGTTCTTCAACGGCTCTTGCGCAATGTATACATCGAAAGTCTTGTTGACAAACTCCCATAGTAGAACCAGAAGCGTTCCCTCGGTAATGAACATGAGACACAGTGGCAAGAAAGGAGCCAGGCCGGTGGGAGTGGAGGTCTTGGAAAGGCTCCAAAGATAGCGACCGAAGCTGTAGTAATAACTCCAGATCAGGTTGCGCGTGATTGGAAAGTAGACGATAAATCCAACAACAGCGATGGTCGCAGCCAGGGAGCTCGATTTAGTTGCCATACCCTTGAATTCTTTGATGAAGACATGCCTGGGTTTGGGTGCTCGTCGCGCCGGTGCAGCGTCGCCACGGTCCTTCTTGGGCTTCATTGCCGGCACATCAATTTTGTCGTAATCCCTCCACAAGTGAACAAAGGACTGTGCGGCTGCGAGGAGGTAGAAACAGTAGCGCAGGTAGAGCGGTCTCTCGTTCAGCCTAAACCGCTCGTGCATGCGCCCAGCCTCGATGAACGCGAGCCTGTCCTTAGGGCCCCTTGACCAGATGTACGTCTCGACAAACATCATAGCGGAAAAGGCATAGGCGATAAGAGTAACGACAGTGGACAGGCGAAAGAAGTATTTTGTGAACGTCTGGGCCTGAGTAGGCGTCTGGCGGGGGCCGACGTGCCATTGGGAAACGCGAAGAACGTAGACGGAAAGCGCGGAGAGGAAGAGCAGGAGCGTTCGGATGCCTGTAAGGCCCAGTGGAAAAAACGACCATAGAGCTGCATGTGAATTAGTATCTGGGTTCATGTTCTGTGATGGTCATCGTACGGTTGGCCCACTCGCCCATCCAACACGCGATCGCGTAGCAGAGCAACAAGGTGTATTTGCTTGCCCTGTTGAATCTGCGGTGGAGAGCTGGTGTCAGGTAATCTCTGTACGGGCGCACTTGAGTGCCCAGCTGTGCGAGCGCCATGGCTGCGGTGAGTCGCGGCTAGAGAGAATGTATGAGTGAGGAAACAGCTATAGCATAGCAAGAAATAAAGAAATGGCGTTGTGCCAGTGAAAAACGCAGAGGGGGGCAGCAAAAAGTGGTTGCGCGCAGGGCGTTGCAGCGATACAAAGACGCCCAAGTTTCGTCAAACAAACATGGGTCGGCGGAGCTACAAGTTGCTGCATGTTTGCTTACATAACAGCGGACCCGCCCGTGCCATGTGCTCTTGGCCGCGGCTCGTCGTCATCGTCGCAGGAACCGTCCGAGCGAGCAGACCAGACCAATCCAACCCCCCCCCCCCAGAAACCGACAATTGCATCCCCATATCACTCGCCTGCAATCACGTTGACAGTCGCTGGGTTCTAGACTCCTCCTATATCACTGTGTAACCGAGCCATCGTGTGCTCCCCTCCTGTTCAACACCATGTCCTTCCAGCGCTCCAGTGCTCTCGAATCGCAGCCTACATCATGGCGCCGGGAAGACGACACAGCCTACGCCGATGACCCAGAGTTTCGCGACTTTGCTGACAAGCTGTCCGACGACCTCTTTGCCCTCACTCGCAATGTCGCCCGCCTGTCGCAAGAGACAGCCAAGCTAGGAACCAAGCACGAGACAGCCCGTGTGCGCGAGCGCGTCAAGACAACCGTCGAGGAGACATCGGACAAGTTCAAAGAGCTTGGCGAGGGTCTCAAGAAGATCACCACATGGCCGGACGTCGGGGTACGTAGATACCGGAGTCTCCCCCATGGCAGAAACACAAGCACGGTTTTAGCTAACCGATAAAAAAACAGCCTTCGCAGAAATTCACCCAGTCAAAGCTGCAGCGCGAGTTCAAAGCCTCCCTCACCGAATTTCAACAACTGCAGAAGCAGGCGCTGGAAAAGGAAAAGCAGTCGGCACAAGCCGCTCGCACCGCCCTGCAAGACGCAACCTCGCCAAGCGAAGAGCGGGGAGACTACGGTCAGCACCAGTTGCAGGAGCAGGAGCAGCTGCGCCTCGCGAATCAGGACGAGGTCGACTTCCAGGAATCCCTCATCATCGAGCGCGAGTCTGAGATCCGCAATATCGAACAGTCGGTCGGCGAGCTCAACGAGCTGTTTCGTGATGTCGCACACATGGTGCATGAGCAAGGGGCCCAGCTCGATATCATCGAGGAAAATGTTGAGACGACGCATGATGCGTCGCGAGGCGCGCATATCAATCTTAAGCAGGCCAGCAACTACCAGAAGAGTGCGAGGAGCAAGGCGTGCATTCTGTTACTTATCCTGGCTATTGTCTTGGTCATCATCATCCTTGCTGTTGTCTTGGACTAGATGATAACAACCTGCATCTGTATAAATGGCCTTTCTTTTTTTTAACTCTTGTTGTCAAGGCGTTGAATGGTATAATCGGGGAGGGGATTCTGATACCATGGCGTAACGCATTGTTTGCAGATATCCTTGCCTGGAGAGGGTTGCGTATTTATGAGTCGTACAGTTTAACCCACCTAATTCATGCGATTATTATATCGATTTCACGTCTTCTTTATCTGTATTTTCACAAAAGGGACAGGCTCAGTATTAGCTGGGTTGGATGACATTGTGCTCTATATTCTCAGACCTCTTTACCGAGAGTCAAAACTCTAGCCGCTCTTGACAGGCTCGCCCTTCTCGTCAATCAGACTCTCCTCAGTCCTGACTGGTCCCTCACCAACACCCGTCAAGATAACCCTGCTGACACCTTCCTCTAGCAAAGCAATAGCAGGTCCAGCCTCAGACTTGACCTTCTCAAGAGCCTCTGCGTTGGCTCGGACAGCCTGTCCCCTCTGACCTTGCCATCCATCCTTCTCGTTGAGGATGGTCTTGAAGAGACCCGCTACCTCCTTTTCGTTCTCCTCGAGGTAGTACACAACGGCGTTTGGACCCGCGTCAAAAGTGTATGCTGCAATGATCTTGCCTGCCGCTGCGTTGATGCTCTCAACAACCTTGATAGCAGCGCGGGAAACGTCATTGAGGTAGAAGATGGGTGGGAATGTGTCGAGGCAGGTAGCGTGGAAAGAGTTGCTGTCCATCATGGTGACCTTGCCGAATGCCTCAAAGTCCTTGTTCTGGATGGCGTCCTGCATTTCCTTCATGCGCCTTGGTACCGTCTCGCTGGCTCTTGACTGGAAGAGACTCGAAGTTGCGACTGTGGTTTGCATACCAGTGGTGCTCGACACACCCTTCTTTGCTGCACTGACGACCAGAACGACGGCACGCATGTTTGGCCAATGGCTTGCAGGTGCGACCTGGAAAGCTACACTGTCACTGCCGTCCGCCGCAGAGCCTTGCTCCCAGCCTACGTATCCGCCAAAGAGCGATCGGCATGCTGAGCCCGAGCCTTGACGAGCGATGCGGGAGAGTTCTGTGGGCGAGGCTGGAAGCTCGTATAGGTTGGCAATTGCGCGGACAAGTGCTGCAAAACCAGCGGCTGAACTGGCCAATCCAGCAGCGGTGGGGAAGTTGTTCTCAGAAACGATACGGAGGGGGAGATCGGCCAACTTGGGCAGGCTCGAGTCCTTTGCCTCGAGCTCTCTCCTCAGCGCCCTCAATTCCCTGAAGCATGCTTGGGTTCTGGCGCCAGAGACATCTTGAGACTGGCCATTGAGAAGAAGGGTGTCTTCTTTCGGGTAGCTAGAAGAGCAAGAAGCTGTGGTGTGGGTGCGGAGGTCGGACTGCGCAAGGGTCACGCTAAGGGAAGAGTTGGTGGGGAGATTTAGCTTTGGGTCACGCTTTCCCCAGTACTTGATTACTGCGATGTTGACCGGAGCAGTGGTGCTGGCACGGTGGATGTCAGACATTTTGAGAATGTGTTTTCAAATCAATGTCAGTAAACGGGGGAATTGAGGGGGAGTAGAGGCTATGAAAGTCGGAGGACGTGGTAACGTTGTTATTTATATGCAGGGTCTAAGTACGGTAGGGCCTAGCAAGCGGGGACCGAAAAGACGCCAAGGGGGAGTCGGAACAACGCCGCTTTGGGGCTGAAAGATAACTGAGTTGTCCATACGCAAAGGGAAGTGAGAGCATGTTTTACCAACCAACGTTGATCCTGGGTGAGGTGGCACCAAGTCCATCCAACTTTGGTGTTTGTTACTGAATAATGCATGCATGAGTCTCTTCCATAGCCTATAGAAGGAGCCCACACAACTGTTCGTAATCTATAGAGACATAGGAACCAATCGTATCTAGGAATGCTGAGATGACCTTTTGTTGGTAAGACATGCCCTTGTTGTCTGGAACCCTTGCGGCGTACAACGCTAAATACCTTCGCGTTCATTTTCGCTGACCGAAAAGTTATCCATGGCTGCGCAGGAACCCACGACAAGGCCAGCCAATCACAGCGATTCGACTTCCGCAGAGTCCGTGCGTAACATTTCTCCAACCACTGCCGTCACCATGCCTAACAAGTTGGAATTCCATTCCACATAGCCAACCACCTCCACAATGTCCTCCAAAGATGACCCCGCAGCAGCCTGTCCCGTTGACCACAAGACTCGCGAGGCATGGCTTGCTCAGGCCCGTGCCCAAAACGCCAATGCGCCACCAAATCCCTACCACACACCCACGCCCACGCCCGCCGCCCCGCCAGCAACGCCCCTACGATCACAATCACAATCAGCGGTCCAGCAATCCTGCGACTCCTCGTCGCTCGACCAGACCACATCCTCCCCGCCTCCAACGAACCCAGCCCTCTTTTCCCAAATCCGACTTGGCACCGACCGCGAAGTCAGCACCATCCCGCGCGCCCTCCCAGACACGCCCTCGCAAACCCCCGCCAACAACGAGCGCGATACAGGCGCCGATAAGACGACCGGAAACTGGATCTACCCCTCGGAGCAAATGTTCTTCGACGCTATGCGCCGCAAAGCCTACGACCCCTCCGCCCCCGACATGCGCACCATAGTCCCCATCCACAACGCCGTCAACGAGCGCGCCTGGCACGAAATAAAGCGCTGGGAGCAAGGCCGCGGCTCCGAGGCCTGTGGCGGCCCCAAACTCGCCTCTTTCTCGGGCCTCAGCACCAGCTTGACGCCACGTGCCCGATGGAAGAGTCTGATGGGGTACCAGCCGCCGTTTGATCGCCATGACTGGGTTGTGGATCGCTGCGGCACGAAGATTGAGTATGTGATTGATTTTTATGCGGGCAGGGATGAGGGCAAGGCGGGCAAGGCGTTGAATTTTTATCTAGATGTTAGGCCCAAGTTGAATAGTTGGGAGGGGGTTAAGACAAGGGTCATGAGGTTTTGGGGGTTTTAGACATGTCCCGAAAGGAATGCTGAATGTGTAGGTTACGTGTGTTGTTTTTGGGGGGGAGATGGGAAGTCTCCGATGTATGTGTGACGAACCAAGTGTAATATATATCCACCTGTACAATATAAATACGACGGTACTCATTTCTATTTTCTTTCTTCTTACAATCTTGGGTAGCCAAAAAAAAAAGATGATGAAGAAACAAAACCATCCTGGAGGCAGAAGCCCGAGCAAGGACTTCATTTTGGTCAAAAGAAGAAGGATATTGAATCGCTGCGTCAGGAAACAAACCACCCGCACGGCTTTATCAGCAAAACGCCCCCCCGCCCACCTCCAACCCCCATGCGCCATGCGTGTGCATCTGAAGAGTAATTTTCTTGCCCCAAACCCTCCCTGTTCAAATCTCAAAAAAAATTAAAAGAAAAAAAAAGGGCGCTCATATCAACAGCTTTGAACCCAACAACTGAAAAAAAAGAACAGCACAAGCCATAATATGCCTAGGAAAAACGATAACAATCATGAGTTACTTTCACGCCCCGTAAACATCTATCCCCAGCTTCTTCAGCTTATTACAATTCTTCAGCTCCATATTCCTTGCCTTGTTCATCGCTTCCATATCGACCGAGAACCAGCCCTGGGCCTCCTCCATAAGCTGCCTCTGCTTGTATTTCTCGGACTGACACCTTGTGTTTGTAATATGGACGTACTGCTGCTCGGCCACCTCATCCAGCTTGCGCCATTTTTTAGGAGTGTAGTCGTGGACGTCTTTGGGGTTGACGTAGTAGTCGATTTTTATGCGGGAGGAGACGCGTTTGAGTGTGTTGGGTGTACGGGGAGTTTCAAAGACGAGGTTGGGTCCTGCAGCTGTAGAGGAAGAGGAGGAGAAGAAGGAGGAGAGGAGGGGAAGGACGAAGAGGAAGAGGAGGGGCAGGAGGTTCGCAAAGGCGGAGGAGAGGTTTTGTTGACCTTCGGAGCCGGGGGGCACGGCGGTACCGGGGCGTCTGCGTGGGTGGCCGCCACCAAATTGGTGGACGCGGATTCCTGGGCCGCCGCCGAGGTTGAAGACGAAGCCTGGGCCGGTGTCCATGCCGCCTGTGTTACATGTTAGTTTATAGTCTCTTTTGGACTGTGATGCCACTGCCAAGCATAGTGTCCCCGAGGGTACTGGACATACCGAAAGGCCCTCCGAAAGCGCCGCCAAAGAATTGTCTAAATAGTTCCTCTGGTGTCATCTCCTCCTCAAAGCCGGCCGGCCCTCTCCTTGCAAATCCATTTCCAAACGGACTCGGGCCTCCACCACCACTCGCTCCCGCCGCAGCCCGCGGATCGAACCTTGCGTCGGGGTCCAATCCAAACTGGTCGTATTTCTTCTTCTTATCCGGGTCACTCAGCACCTGAAATGCCTTGCTGACCAACTTGAACGCCTCGTCTGCACCGTCGTATCCATTCTTGTCCGGATGCGTGAGTAATGAGAGCTTACGGTATGCCTTCTTAATGTCCGAGTCTGAACAGGTGGCTTTTACTTCCTCAAGCCCAAGAATCTTGTAGTAAGCGGTTGGCGCGCATTGCTTGATGCGTATTACGGCGGCTTTTTGTTCTACCGTAAAGGCTCGGCCGGCACTGCCGTCGTGATGTTCTCGCGATTTGGCGTCGGAGCCAGAGGTTTTGCCTGACATGTTGGCCGGAGGGCTGTTGTTGTGTGGGGTATGCGTGTGCGTTTGTGGATGGGGGAGATTAAGCCGCCGTGTGGGCAGCGGTGTTAGTGAAAAAGCCTATGCGCAAGCAATATATGGCTGGTCTGTGTTATATCAAAAGTCACCGTGTGTGTCTGGGTGCGGGAAACGAGTGATGCGGAAGCGGCGGTGCGGTGTTGTGGTTCGAGTCGTGGGATAAAGCCGCTATCTGTTATTGAAGTTCGCGAGACCCGACGAGGCCAGTTGACCGAATCTAGGCTGGCACGGGCTGACGGCCCACTTCCTGACCTAACGTCATTGAACTTCACCAATTCCTCGACCCTGGTCTCTTTGCGCAACCATTTCTCCAAGAATCACACACCTCTCTATACATACAATCTCTCCATTGTTGCCCTTGGTTAAGTTTGCAGCATCTGCAATGTCCCAACCACCCAAGCAATCTGCGCTTCAATCCCTCCGCAATTGGGGAGGTACGTTTGTTATGTCTCTCTCCTGTTTCCAGCACTCACGTGCTTCACTCTACGCATTGGCATTGGCATTGGCATTGGCATACATACATATCAAACCGGCTGACTATTTACAGAAAACTCTGTGCCGCCTACGCTCTTGGCTACGCTCATCACAGCCCAACATGCCCGGCCCTTCCAAGTTGTCCCTATGATGTTCCCACCAGTCTTGCTGTTCTCATCATATCTGAATCTGAGCAACTACAAGACAGATTCAGCTGGCATAACTGCTGCATGGAGTGGGCTATACGCTTTGCTTGCTATGCGAAGGAGTCAAGTATGCTTAATTCTGCCACGGGTGGAGGGCTCGGTCGCCACCCAGGCCGATTAAATACTTGCAAAACTAACGAGAAAACAGGGTATCAGAAACAAATTCACTGTACGAGGCGTGGTAAGAGGAGCCTCTTTGGCTCTTTGCGCAGTCAATGTCGTAGGCTGCGGTTTGGCGTACACATTCGGCAAGCGTGAAAAGGAGGAAAAAGAATAAACCCAAATAAGTGGTAATGAATGTAACATAGTGTATCCATTAGACCATCATGACCCAGAAGCTATTCAACAGTATCGAATAAGACATTTATTATTAAGCAATCTACCCTACAGGACGCCTTCGCTATGCTGAACAATCAATGTCGTCTACAAGATACGAAATGACTACCATGCATCGCCCCATCCTTCCTCTTCCTCCTCATTCGCCTTTGGCTCCTCTTTCTTAACCTCCTTCTTCGGTGCTACAACAACTTTCCTCGTTGCCGAACCTGTGGTGCTTGACCTTCCCCCAATCACAGGTCTGGATGTCTTGGCGGCTGGTGTAGTAGATTTGGTGAGGCCTTTGGGTAGAGTGTTCTTAATGGGTTTCTTGGCATTCGATTGTGCTGCTAACCATCCCGCAAAGTCAGGCTCGCCCTTGTCATCAAACGCTGTAGTAGATGTTGGCTTTGATACTGCTGGTGTGCCCCATGGATCATCTTCCTCTTTCGGTTTGTCCTCTTCGTCAACAAAGCCGCCCCAATCGTTGTTGAAGTCTTCTGCCTCGCCATCGAAATCAGCGGCTGGATCCGGTGAGGCAATGGTGGGTATAGACGCAGTGCTCTTGGCGCTGTGAAGCGTCATTCCAGGTTTACTTGCTAGCGGAACTGGTGGTTGAGTTGTGACAGCCGGAACAGAGGAGGGCCTCTGATCAGCTGCTCCATTAGTCCCTGAGCCAGCTTGCATCTGTCCGCTTGTTGCTGCCAGCTTATTTGTGAAACTCGAGATAGCCCAGCCAGCCCACGAAGTGTCGTTGGCTGGGGTCCCCATGCGCGGCGAAGATCCTCCACCAGTGGGAAGTCCTGGCGATGGTAATACAGTCTCAGGCATGGCAGCAGCAAACTTGCGGATACGTGCAATGTACACATCAACAGATTTTTGAGCTTGATCACGGACAAGTTTCTCTTTGTCCACCAGTGATGGGCACATAATCGGGAGAAGTTGCTTCGCGCAGTCTTCCTCGCTAAAAAGATCCGCGGTCGCAGCTAATGCTAAAAGAGCTGCATTTCGTGCATGTACGAAGGGGTCGCGTAGTGCACGTGAGAAGGCGGCAGAGAGCACTTTAGCTCGACTCTGTCCAGGCATTAGCATGCTACCACTCCAAGCACATGTTGAATAAACCTACACTTGCACCCAGGTTCCGCGCGATTTTGCCTAAACAAATCGTAGTGTTCGTCCGGATACCAGGTTGCTCGTCGTTAGCAGTCTTTGCTAGGTAGCGGAGAAGCTCGCCGTTGATGATTCGGTCTGAAAGTTTAGGCACTACCGTAAGAACGGCCTTTACTGTCTGTTCTCTGACCACAGGGGCGACATCTGAGAACCCAGTAACCTATGAAGGTCAGAACAAACTCGAAGATTTTCTCGGCGCGGCTTACCATTTGCGGAAAGATTTTATCGCTGACAAGTTTTTGTGGGAGATGATCGATCATCAGTGGCAGGTTGTCCAGGAGGCACACACGGATGCCTCGGTCAGGATTAGCAAACAACCGTACCACAACCGGTGTGATTTGGGCCTCATATTCCTCGTCTGACAGTTTTTGGCCTATCTGCATCACTGTACCAAATACTTTGGCACCTCCGCCCCCAAATTCCACTGACTTGAGCAGTTCGGGGAGTACCTTCATCTTGAAGAAATCAGCAGGGAAGTCATCTGCGACGGCATCCAGTTTCCTCGTACAAATTAGCATCTTTGACCAGAATGTAATGGCACGGAAACCAACCCAAGCAACTCATTCCGCTCGTCCTCAGCTTTGAGACCGAGATTCTCGATATCATCCGTGACCTGAATCAGCGGTGTTTGGAAAAACCCGCCTATACGCTTTCCCTGATCCAAGAACTGACTTATGCTCATACGTGCTTTGGGGTTGGGATTAAGAAGGCGCTTGTAGGATTGGTGCATGCTTGGAGGGATGCTCTTCATTTGCCCCAACTGGTCGCTGCTGTTGTAGTTGCCAGTGAAAACCTCAAAGATCAAGATACCAAAGTTGTACGCATCCAGAGCATGTGTCGGATTTTGCTTGACAACTTCCCATCCTCCTTTGGAAACTTCTGGCGCCATGTATCGTGCTGCATCAGGTATGAGGCCGCCATAGGTGGGTATGATGGAGTCATCCTCCTTCACCGAGCTCAGCGCATCAAAGCCGCCCAGCTTCCACTCGCCACTTTCACTAAAGAAGATGGAGGCTGGACGGATGCAGCCGTGTATGGATGCAGCGTCGGCATTTACGAACTTGAGCGTTTTGGCGACGTTGTGCAGCCCCCATTTGGTAGTTTCTTCAGTCAGACTCCTTCTCTTTACATGCCAGCTGAGCGGGCTGAGTCTTTCTGTGGCAATGTATATGTATGTGTCAGTCTCGACGGTATCGAGGACCTTGACTACCCCTGGATGGCGCAGGGTTCGTAACTTTCGGAGCGCATTGCGGGCGAGAGGCAGCCGGGACTTATTTGCCGTTATGTCAAAGGAAAAGATGCTGCACTTGGAACCGTCGTCCTAGCCCCAGTTGTCAACAGCCGTTCGCGTGTGCGTTTGTGTGCAGATGTCTGGGCCATACTCGCTTTGTGCCATTGTGCAGCGTCCAGATGGAGTCGTTCAAGTCGACACGATCGCCAAATGTGTAGCCAAATGCTGGACCCTTTGAAATTGCAGAGGCAACGGCAGACTTGAGGAAGTCCATGGCTACTGCGTGCGGCTGGACGTGGCCCCGCTTGCGCTGCAAATAAAAAAAGGAGCGAAGGTGTCTGTCTCAATGACACCACGGGCAAGCACATGCGCCCAAAGGCCAGATGGATGCGCGCATGCCCCCACCCGCGCGCCATTGGGCGCGCGGGGAGCCAGCCCAGACATCACGTGATTACGCGCTGTAACCGTTAATCTCTACGACAGCGAGGTCCCTGGCAGCCTTCGCTTCTCCGCTCGCGCCGCGCTAGCTCAGTGCCAGATCCGCCTCGTCGCGTTTGCATGGCCACGTTCATGCCACTGTGCTTGCATTTCATTTTATTCTTCTTTCACCCATGCTGTGCCTAACTTTGCATTCCATCCAAGGCGCGTCTCACCAGACTCAGCCCTATTGCTATAGCACAGGTAGGCTAAGCCCCACTACCGACCGACGCGTATTCCGCATGCGTGATGACCACTGGTAAAAGGTTAGATCGCCGAACCATTGCGACGGTTTGCCTTGTGGCTGCTCTGCGGCATCCTGCCTTCTGGCGCATTTTGCCCGTGTTTGCTTGCCTGCAGTGGAACCGAAGGAGGAGCCTCCAATGGGGCGAAGTGCTGCTCTACATAAAACTGAAAAGACCTGACGCATTCCCCACTCCCGTCATTTACACCGTTCCTGCATTGTATAGAAAGCTAACCCGCATGTACTGTGCCAGGTTCATTCCTTCGTCCTATTCAGCGCTTCAGATGAGATACACCAAAGAAGAACGAAGACTATCATATATTAGCACGGACAGCAACGTATTCAGACATGACCGACCCAGTGTGGATTCACGGGGTCCTCTATCAAAGCCCAGTGCTATCACAAGCCAAAGGCAAACTCCTCGGCTCATTGCAATATCACCACCCCCGCTCAAGCGTAAGCGTACAGCCTGCGACGAGCCACAGGTGAGACGAGATTTCTCAAGCTTAAAAGGCCTCAGTGCGCCCAAGGATAGGTATTGTGCATCAGGTTGTTGTATCAAGGCTCGACTAATTCGTCCTCGTAACTTGCATGGATTGTCTGTATTGTCCACAGGTGCGCAAAGCAACCATGAACGTCTTTCTAGGCAGTCACAAACTTTGCGTTCGTTACAATCACCTCCTGGCTATCATGCGCGAAGATATCAAAACCGCAATGTCTCCTTGATGCAGAAAGCTCACGGTCCCTCAAAAGCGCAGTCAAAGTCTGAGTCCTCTTTCAAACCCGCTTGCCGAGTGTGCGACAAGACTACAGCAGCAAGCTACAACCCAATCATCGCCTGTTCAGGATGTGCCGGAACATATCATGACAGTTGTCGGAAACCGTCATTGACCCAAGGGCTTGACCCGTAAGCTGTCTTAGCGTTGTGCATTGAACAAAGACTAACATCATCAGGCAACACTGGAGGTGTTCAACATGTTTAAGCAACACTGAAAAACCTGCTAAGTCCCTAGAGACTTCGAAATCGGTCTTAGTTAGATACTCCCCAGTCAGAGAGATCTTTAAGCCGCGGAGCGCACAATTTCCAGCTGCGAACTTGTCTAGATTACCCGAGAAGACTACCGCTAGTGAGCATGTCGATGCTCGGGATTTCCGCGCTAGTTCTCTAAGCGCAAGGAGTTTAGAAAGCTTAGATAGACCTGAGGAAGTCTTTGAGCCATCTTCCAAAACTGAGCCCTTTGGCCTCTCAGACAACCTGAAAGCACATATGCACCCTTTGGATCAGCTTGACAACCTTGATTCATCATCTCCGAGGCAAAACGTTGAAACTCAAGTCAACCTCGTAGCTACCGGTTCTTCAAGACAACTAGAGATCGCTGAAACTCCTGATATCGCTGCTCGCCGCAGCATGCCACCCTTATTGGATAGCACAGAATCAACCAAGTTCGATGTTTCAACGGCTGGAACTATTCGAGCAGATGAGACCAAGACTTCCTTTGGGTTTTATTCACGTCGGTCGACACTCGAGTCTAAGATAGAGAAGATCAATGACCATGCAGCGCCTTACACGCTTTCTGCATCATGCAACGACCTAGATTCCAGTAACTCCACAGAGCCAATCTCTGCTTCCAACGATGCAGAGCGAGGAACCGTACTTCAAGCAGTCACAACACACGGGACAAACACTCTCCACAATGCCTCCTTCCAGTCACCACGCAACGGACAGCAGTGCGAAAATGATTATGCAAAATTACCTGGCGCATCAGAGACAACACGAATGGGTGAGCTACCGGCAATTGTACCACCTGTTTTCCACATGGTAGACGAGGTTCAGGCGCATGTTTCTCGACAGTCGCCTTCTACTGGCGACGCAGTCTCGCATGAGTTGCTTTCTGTGCAGCTGGAGTCGCGAGACGTGACTTTAGAGTGCTCTCTTGATGCTATAAGCCCATCCATGTCTCCCCAAGTTTCCTTACGTTGGGATCTGGATGACACATATTCATCCGTGTGTCAGAAGCGCCATACAAATCGAGAGCTAGCTAGGATAGCCCTGGCTTGTGCAAATGGAGCAAGTATGACGGCTTCGCAGATTGTTGATTGGCTGGTCCAAAAGTTCCATTATCTTCAAAAGGGGCAGTCTACATGGGAAAAGAGTCTTAAGGCTGTTCTTTCACGCAAAGAGTTTCGTAGCGACAAAGCGAGTGGGTTGCATGGGGCACGTTTGATGTATAGCTTTGCCAACGCAGCATACAAAGCTCGATACGAAGAAGAATATCGAGACTATATCATTCAATGCTCGCAAGAACATGATCAAAAACATGCTGTCCGGCCTGTTGCCGTGGTCAAAAGCAGTCAGGGAAATGTATCCAACAGTGCAGCATGTCCTCAGTCTTCTGCAATCACATCGACAATACCGGATTCCAGCTTCATTCCATCGCCAGCTACCAACGCTTCCAACGGTGACTTACCGCCCGACCTTTTCAAGTTATCTGACTCATCTCTTGTAAAGGACATAGCTGAGTATACCTCTGAAATGAAGCGCGGGACGAGCTTTCACCATGTGTACCCTCGTAACACTCGGCCTTCAATCGAGATGATGACTACAGAGGAAAAGGCCATGAAAGTGGCAGAGATCCAGGCAAGACCTTCACGCAAGGCGTTATTCGATTCAGGCCAACGGCTAGCGCACGTTCGAAGGTACAAGCGACTGGACATTCATGATGAAAGCGATGGAGCATGGAACACTCAACCTTCGGAAGTAGAGGGGTACCCCGCAAAAAACGAAGCCGCCACCAGAGACTGCGATGAACCCCGGTCGTTGTGTGAAGTCTTCAATCTCCCGGTCCATGCGGTGCCAATGAACGATGGGGTCGAGTTGGCTTTCCGGGACGGAACTCTAGTGAGTCGGCCAAGTACGACGCTTGTAGATCGATATGTTAATGAGCTAAATAGGTCAACGGTCGACTGCCACGACCACGGCAGGTATACAGGGTGGGGAAGAGACTTGGAACCGGACTTACCGTCCATTGATCTATCACGTACACCAATATCGGCCTCATAGCGGAGGTTCTGGACTTTGTTTCTTGGCTCAGTTTACAGCATTATACCCGATTGATTTCCAATCAAATAATTTATCTTGGAGTAACAAAAACAAAAACAACAAGCTGCACAACATGTCGGTGGTGACGTGCACACCATGTCGACTATTGAAACTATTGCCAAACTAAAAATGTCGACTGAGAAGTGGACAGGTGGACTGGTTCGCGATTTAAAGTTGGGTGGTGATGACAGGCCCTGGCGTGGCGCCATAACCCTACGCCTCCACCGCAAGCGCTTCCACACAAGATGCTTCCAGACTGTGCGGGCAGCGGGTCCCACGTCCAAACAACGCCTCGCATTGGTGATACGGCAGTGCTAATGAGATAAGGTCTGTCCGTATCTTGCCGCCCGCAGATCGTGGGGCTCACGGCGTGCAGATGTTTCTAAACCTGAAACCAGATCCCTGCAGCTACGCGATGTGGTTTTAAGGCCCCAAAGCCAATCAATACGCGACTGCCGCACGTCGACCAGACCATGCCTGATCGTCTGGATGCTAGAACCCCACAGCAACCCTGTATGACTGCCGACGCGACAATTTCGCTGCCAGCCTCGCCAGCTGGGAATTGGATGACTGGGTCGTTGCTGCTCTGCTGTTCCCGCCGGGGCTAGCGGGGAGCGTTTCACATGAGCCGGCAGCACAAGCGCAGTAATAGTCCTTGGGCTCATTTGAGCCACTCAAGCCTGAAGCACTCGAGCGTGAAGCCATGCGAGCATTCAGCGCCATACGCCCCCGCCTGTGCTATTGTAAGGTTCACGAGCATATCCAGGCCAGGGCTAGCGGGTCAGTTTTGTCCTGAGGTCCCCTCCTTCACCTTGGCTTCTTTTCTCGCCTTTCACTCTTCATCTTTCGATCTCTATTGTTTGCCATTGTTGCTACTGTTAGAGGCCTGTTGCCTTGACGGCGTGGGAAATCCCCCCTCTAATTCACTTTCAACCTTGCCCTTTTTCAAACCACCACTCACTCTTTATCTATCTATCTTCCAACCTTTGTCGCTAGACGCGCTTTTCCCTCTGACTCAACCAACTGCTGGACAGACCCAATTGCCCCACGGCACAAACTTGAATCTTCCAGCACCCACGACTCTTTCTCTATACACAAAAACAAAATGGCGCTTCTCTCAGCAGAACACCTGGCTGGGCCGGGCTACATCATTCTCAATGTTCTTCGTGGACTCAACATCATTGCTCTAGCTTCAGTCGTTGCCAGCAGTGTTGTCATGCTTATCAAGACTTTTATCATTTCCAAGGTACGTAGAAGTGATTGATTCCAACATTGTGGATAACTGACGCCTTTTAGTTCTTCTTCTTCGATGCCACGAGCCACGTCATCACTGCATTTGCAGGACTCTTCTTCATCGTCTCAGAATGCTCACTATTCCGCGGTTTCTTCGCCCGCAACTGGCCTCTTCTGAGCCCCTCTCACGGCTTCGTCACCCTAGGCTGTGCCATGATGATCATTGGCATGAACCTCCTCGGCAACATGAACAAAGAAGCCACGAGCCAAAAGTCGCTCACCATGCCCTTCTGGCGTCTCCTCGTCGCCTCAGGCGTCCTCTCCTTTGTCATCGGCCTCTTCAACATAATTGCTAGCTTCATCTTCCGCGACAAGTCCCGCAACATCACCGCCCGCATGGTCCGCTCCCGCGGCGCCATGACACTCCACGAAGACCTCGAGACCCAATCCCAATGGACCGGCTCAAACTACGAGTCCAAACTCAAACCCTTCACCCTCTCCTCCCACCAAACCGGCAGCACCTCCTCCCGCACCCCGCCCATGCGCATGCCCACTCCCCCCGTAGACTGCGGCTCACCCCCGCAACCCCAATCCAAAGACACCGACGCCCACCACCTCTCCCAATTCGACTTCAACCCCCTCCGCGCCCTTCGCACAGCCCGCCAATCCTTCCTCCCCTCCTACCACTCCCAGTCGTCCCCCGGCAAGCTCAACGTCTTCTCCAACCGCCCAGCCTCCTCCATCTACTCGCGCACCACCTCGGGGGAGCCCGCCCGCAAGCGCTTCTGGCAGCGCCAGCGCGAAGAGCAAGAGCACGAGACTGCCCGCATGCCCGAGATTAGCTACCCGCTCAATGTCAACCCACAGTTTGCCCACCTCGTTAAGCCAAACCTTGCCCATCACCCCAGTGTGAGGCGTCCCGAGTTTGATTTTGATAGTAATAAGATTTGAGGCGAAAGAAGAATATTTTGCTTCTGTCGTCCAAGTCGGCTGCCGTTGAATGAGACGAGGCGAGGCGAGGATCAGGTGTGAATGGGGGACACAGTAAGTCAAGTGTAGGGTTGCGGGTGGAGGATGGATGGCGAAATCATGATACCACTTTCTTTTTTTTGTTTTTTTTTTGTTTTCTTGTACTGATTGATTTTGCATTACTACTACACAAAATGCATTACTGCTACACAATTAGATGTATAGCAGCGGGCGTTTTTTCTCTCTCTACCTTTTCGGCGGTTGCATTCTTTTCTTACGCTCGTTCTTTACATGGGAAAGAATGATTTTACTACGAGAATGGCGGGATGAATGGCCGGCTGAGCGCTCCGGGGGAGAAGTTTATCATGTTAGATGGATGGCCCCTGTTGAGCATTTTCTCCTTCTTTGATGAAGGGAGATCCGGACTACGATCATTTCATTGTTTGTTTCTTCTTTGTTTCTGAGATGCTTCTCTACTCTCTTTTAAGATCGGTGTTTTCTAATATACACGTGGTTCTAGATTGGAATGTTTAGTATTGTCCTTGATGCCATTGCTATCAATGCGAGGTTTTGCTGTTGCTACATGATGCGATGCATATATCTATATGTACATGTGTTATACAGTAAATTGGGCGGTCCATTTTGAATTGGCGTTCTCTTTTTACGTCAACCAACATTGTTCGAGGTGCTTGGCCCATCAATCCAGCAACATGCATCGCCAGGACTCCTCAAGACATGCACCTGAATTCATAGATCCTCACATGGATCTAGATGCATTCTTTCGCCCCTCTTCCAACCAATTCCTATCCCTCACTCTTCCGCCGCAATCTCCTGGAACGGATCGATAGCGTTGCCCTGTGGATCATACAACTCGAACCTCGTACCATCCTCCAACGTCAAACTATACTCTTGCGTATAATACAGGCCCCCTCTTCCCTTTCGTCTGCACTTTAGACGCACCTCACCCGCCTGCTTGGTTCCCTTGACCCAGAAGCTGACATCGATGCGGCCATGGACCTGGTTGATTTCGCCCTTGATCCATGGGTACTTTGACGCAAAATATATTTCATCGCCGAGTTGCTCGCGCACGAGTGGGTTAGTGCGCAGCGCGTAGAGGGTTGCGGTTACGACAGAGGATTCTTGCTTCTGGTAGTTGAAGAAGGCGAAGAGGGAGACGGTCATTGCGATGATGAAGATGGGGAGGGTGCGCAAGACTTGTGGAGGTATTAGTGGTGGGACACTGGTAAGCAATGTTGTCAGCATTCTAGCTCTAGCTTGTTTGTTCTTTTTTTTTTGTGACTTCGGAGTCTTGCCTGGCAGGTGAGAAGAAAGACATTTTGGGCTCGACGTACGGTGGTAAGGCGCGATTTGGGCGTCGCTCAAGCAATATCTCGCCATCTTTTGGCGGGGGAATGAGGTTCTCGGGCGTCCAGACACTCGTCGGGGTTTTCCAAGGGACAACGGGCTTAACGTCGTTTTGCTGTGGTGGTGTGGTGGACGCATGGCGGACGGGCGCTATGCGACGGAGACATTGGTATCGTGCCTGAGGTCGCGCTCGTATCAAAGCCAGGGAAAGCCGTGGCGGTGGCATAGTGCGAGTTAATGTTGTGGCGGGGGCGCAATGGCACGGATGGAGGGTTGCGTGTATGAGATCAGTCGATGCTAGTTGTGGTGTTTGCATGGTTTGCATGCCCGCGCTAGTACTTCAACGATGGAGCGAAGTTAAGCCGGGTAAGCCCTACCATATGTTAGGCAGATGTCCCTCCTCCACTTCATTACGGGGTAATTTGGCTCGCATTGAATTATCGTATCCATGTTAATTTCTAATTAACTACTGCATGCATACTACTCATCTCTCCCTCTACTCGTCATTCGTAAACCTGGTACTTGCGTGCAGACAAAGAGATGCTAACTTTGTGGGTTTCTGCCTGTGCATCTGATCAATCATCTTCATTGCGGTTCATGCAAATAGGTTGATGTCTTTGTTTCACCACTAATCATACACTTCGACTGCGGTCTATTCAAGCTATGTATAGTGGCTTGGTCAACATATTAAAGTTTGAACAGTTTATTGCATGCTAAACGCTCAAAATATCGGGTATCTGTCCTCATATCGTACAATCGTTACAACACTATTAATACATGAAGGAAATATTGCCGCTGGATCGACTCGAAAGTCTAGTAGACGCGGCGGGCATTGCGGCCATCAGTTCCATGCATGCGGCGAGTGCCAGCAGCCTAAGAAATTGTTAGAGAATCGCCTATGGTTGGGAGTTGTTTTCAGCTTACCTTGAGACCGGGCCTGCGAGTGAGGGAGCCCCTAAGCTTCATCATCATACCGCTGACCTTGTCACCCATGGTGGCATGGCGCTTGTGGTGGTGAACTGGGGCGGCGTGACCGTGGCGACCACCAGTAGTGCGGGTGGTCCTGGTGGTGGTGGTGGTAGTGGTAGTAGTACCAGCGGGGGCACGCTTGGTGTGAGTGCGTGTGTTGCGGCCTCCTCCCATCAGGCGGGTCTTGAGAGAGGGGCGTGCGGTAGTGCGGGTGGTACGGGCAGTACGGGGAGCGGAGCGGCGTGCAAGAGGCATGATTGTTGGGCTTGTTGGTAGTGATTGATGGATTCAAGTAGGTTGATGATGATGATGATGATGATGATGGTTGAAGCTGTTGGCTGCGTGTGTTGATTGTTCAAGTTGATGTGAGATGTATTGTGAAGATGGAAGCACGAAACACACAGCAATAGCCCATCTTATATGGTTCTGCTGCTCGTCAGCTGGAGATGTGCCTATCTATCTCAAGACCTCTAGACCCTTGGTGGAAGCGTGCCCAAGAACGTTGAAATCAAGGACTCCAATGTCCAGCCGCCCAGATGGAGTTGTGATCGTCGACATGTCACGTCATGCAGGGTCCCGTCAAGCCGACTTGGGTGGTGGCACCCCTGGCACACACGTTGGTGGCTCGTGGCGCATGACGTTTCTTCTGTGGTGGTTTGTGGTGGCCTTGGATCCAGGCCTGCGGCTGATTGGGCTGGAGAGCGGGTGCTGATGGCGGCTGGTGTCTGGGGTCAGTGACGGCGACGTCGACTGTGGCTGGATGCGGTCATAGCGGATTGTGGTTGCTGGACCCTGATTAAAAGTGGGGCGGGGCGGCTACGTCATCAGCATCTTGGAAAAGCTTTCTGGGCGTCATTGTGGGCTTGCGAGGAGGGGCTTTGCTGTTGATCGTGATAGAATGGGAAACTGATTGTTGCAGAGTTTCGCAATTCAAAGCCTGGGCCCGAACAAGAGCCATCGTTATCGTTGGCTATGCGGGAGCGATGCGGGAGTGATGACGTAGCGATGCGCGCCAGTGGGGTTGCTTGAAATCACAGCCCTTTGTCCCACGTTTAGGGCCATACTTGGGCTGGTGTTTGAAACTAGCATCCGTTGGTTTCCAAAAGAATACCTATCTGTACACACATGCACGCTGATCACGTGGCTGCACAGAAACAATGTCAAGCCGCGCGTAGGGCTGAGGCAGTTCCCACCAGTTCGCGCAGTCTGTGAAACACCATCGCTCGATGCTCTTCTATCATCAATGGAAGGGTCCTGGTACAGCGTCCCTGGCGCTTCCGGCTCACTGCTCCACCTTTGCTCATGAACGCGCAGTGACCGCCTTGTGATGTCACGGCAAATTCCCAACGTCAATAAAAGTCTCGCGCTGAGCATGAACCACCACTGGACTGACAATCTCTGCCTCAAGAAACCACTGAGAGAATTCATTTCCTTTTTATCTAATTCTCAGCAATACGCATCGAAAAAAAACACCATGTCTTCAGACAAAGGACAGTTTGAGCAGGGCAAGTACGATCAATCCTCAGTTGCTGACCACCATTAACAATGCATCCCAGGCTTCCAGCCTGATGTTCAGCACCAGCAGGTGCCTGGACTACAGTCTAAGCTTGACCCAACTCCCAAAGTCGATGAGCTTCCCACACCTGAAGGCGGTGCAGAAAAGTACAAAGCTGCTGGCAAGCTAAAGGGCAAGAAGGCAATCATCACCGGTGGAGACTCAGGCATTGGTCGCTCAATCGCTGTTCTGTTTGCTATGGAGGGTGCCGACAGCTTTATTGCCTACCTGCCTGAGGAAGAAAAGGACGCCCAAGAGACCAAAAAGATGGTTGAAGAGAAGGGCCAAAAGTGCTATACTCTCGCCATCGACCTCAAGCTAAAGGAAAACTGCAAAAAGGTCATTGACGAGGCTGTCAAGGCCATGGGTGGCATCGATATCCTTGTTAACAACCACGCCTACCAGATGATGGTCAACGATATCAGCGACCTCTCCGAGTAAGTAGAGAACTTGCTTGCGGACATACACGAGACTAATAATACACAGGGATCAATGGCTGCACACCTTCAACACCAACATTCACCCGTTCTTCTTCCTCTCCAAGTATGCCCTCCCGCACATGAAGCGCGGCGCTACCATTATCAACAACGCCTCCATCAACGCATACATCGGCCGCCCAGACCTCCTCGACTACACTTCCACCAAGGGTGCCATCATCTCTTTCACCCGTGGTCTCTCAAACCAGTATGTTGGAAGGGGCATTCGCGTCAACGCTGTTGCTCCCGGCCCTGTCTGGACCCCGCTCATCCCCGCAACTATGAACGATGAGGCGATCAAGCAGTTCACCGCGCCAATCGGCAGGCCTTCGCAGCCTAGTGAGATTGCTACTTGCTTTGTCTTTTTGGCGAGCAACGACAGCAGCTCCATCAGCGGTCAGACTATCCACGCCAACGGCGGTACTATTGTCAACGGTTAGGCGTGTGCTGGTTCCCACACGACACCGCGACTTTAATTTCAGAACAAGATGCATGTTACGAAGTTATGAGTAATTACCATAGTTCATTGAATGAGATTTAATTCATCAAAGCCATTTTTTCCCCTTGACTACATGCTGTGACATCTTGCCGTACGTGTTATTTCCGTCCCACCGCTCTGGATACTCGAGATGGCAATCTCAGCCCTTAATTGTGTGACATGTCGTTTCAACCACCAACGACGCACGAAAATGTCATCTCAAGCCACGAACGCACACAACTGACAATTTAAATTCCAAAACACGCTAATGCATCATCGATCCATATTGAAGAAAAAGAAAAATCGTTCCATCGCGTTTCTAGATGCAAGGCTTGCTTCTCAAACACGCTCATGCGATATATTATTAGATAGATTCCAAAAAGAAATGCCCACTAAGAATGCCCCGCAGCCCCCTCCTTCGACGGCGTAGGCCCGTCCTTCATCTTCTTCATGATATTACTCAGCTTACCCCTCCCATGTCCACTCCTCCCTTCAATCTGTGACCCGGACACCGGCGGTCCCATGTACGGAGTCTTGGCCTCACCCGGTTGAGGCGTATGAGTTGCTGCTGCTTCTCCACTTGCAGACGCCTGCTGCTGCTGCTGCTGTTGTTGTTGCGCCTGACTTGCATATTGTCTCGCGCGCGAAGCTTCGATTTCCGAGCGCCCTTTGTCAATGACGGCTTGGTTTTTTGCGTGGGCGGCAGGGTTGCGGCGGTCGAAGGCGTCGTTGAAAGTGCCTCGGAGGGTTTCTCCTGCGCCCTGGGTGTATTGTTTAGTTTTATTTCCTTTGAAAGAAAACGGGTAGGAGGAGTGGGGAGAACGTACGTGAATGCCGGCAGCAGCGGCTTTGAGATTGGCCATTGTGCTTTGCTTTGGTAGGTCGTGGCCTGATCGGTAGGGTACCGGCCGATTCGAATCGTTTGAGTCCAGACCAGGGTGGAGGTCGGGTAGTTGTTGGGTTGGGACGAATGGTGGCATTACAGCATGCTGGTGCTCGGGCATGGGCGGCACAGGTGGTATATTGTTTCCAAGAGACTGTCGAGGAGCACCTTGAGGCGGTGCTCGAGCTGGATAGGAGAAATTTGCGCGTGAAGGACTGCTGGGAGAGACTGGGCTAGCAGTTTCGTCCATGGGATCTGGGCGTTGTACCCCCGGTGAGACTGAGTCCAGCTCTACCCTATGCCGTATGTTGTTTTTCGCCGGAATGGGTGGAGACGAGTCTCTAGCGATTTGAGAAACCTGAGGAGAGAGTTCGTTTCCTTGCGGAGGACCATTCTCGGGTATCGGGGGAGTCAAGTCATGATGTATGCCAGATTGAGCTAACAAACCTGGGCCTTGAGGGTGGTGATTATCAGGTTGAGGCGGAGCCGGCTGTGGCGGACTAGGACCAGAGGTGTGTACACTTTGTGGGCCCCCGTTACTGCCATCGTGAGGTTGCATTACCGTGGTAGAACCTCCTGGGCCAGTCGTGGTCGTGGTCGTAGTCGTCGTGGTAGTTGTCACTGTGACTATGTTCCCCGTACCAGCCTGGCGGTATGTCTCTCTAGCTACATCCTCATGGCTCGAACGATTCTGGACCGTTTGCTGAGGTGGCGCAAGATTCTCTTGTGTATGTCCATTGGGCGATGGGGTATGCGGCAGAGGTGCTTGATTGTTCGATGATTGACGGTGAAACTGTTCACCAGGTATTGGACGTGTTTGGTTTACGAGGCTTGGGTCGGCGCTGCTACGTTCGCTACTGTAGTAAGCAGAATCGAAATCTTTGCGAGACTTTTCCTTTTCCGCATCCTTTGGAGGTTGGCCGATGCTTTCTTTTGATGCCTTATCTTTGGATGAGAATGGATTGGACATGCGCCATTTTGACCGCTTTTCCTTCTCGGCGGGTGTCATGTTTGCAGAGCTAGAAATAGGTTGCGATGAGTTGGCTGCTGGTTGGCCACTCAAGCCGCCGGTCATCTGCTCCAGTTCCTGTCTCTCTCGACTCTTGCGTTTTTGAAGTTTGGCAGGTTGCCGAAAACCGTCGTCCATTGCAGGTAAAAGTCGAAGTTTAATCGGCGATCCGATGACGAGGAGCAGATTGAGTTGTCGTATTGTGCGAGATTGTGAATGGCTCAGTGAGGATGATAATTGTATAAGCAAGTTTTGTGACAAGTTCAGAATCTACGTGAATACAATCAAAGCCGCGTCAACTCCCACAGCGGGGAAGCTCCTCTAACGAGAACAACAAGCAAGCAAGTCCTCTACGCGCTGGACCCCATGATATCATGTTGTGGTTCTGTGGCGCTGGACAGCTGTGGCGTCCAATCAGCATGAGCGGTTACATGACGATCAGAGGAAAGACGGCTGACGGACAGGGGTGGGTGGTATTGCTCGATTATGACGGAGGAACGTTTGCTAGCGAGAGTGCAGTTTTTCGGAATACGCCATGTTTCCTTGAGGAATGGCGCGGCCAGTCTACCCGTGACTACCCATTATAAAATCCGAGCACTCTATATGTTTCATAAGTGCTTAAAATTTTAAGATATTAAATTACATGTAGTTAGTTAGTTATATCATAAGGAGAATGAACACGCTAAGGAACTGTGGGGTAAACTCAAAGTTGGTACTAACGGAAACGCGCAAGTCACAGGATCAGCGCCACCCCGCTAAGCTCTAATCGTTCAGGCAGCCACATGTGATGGACACAGCTGAGCTGGATTGATCTTCTACTCACCAAAACTACGTTTCCAGTCTTATTTCATGGGTCCAGTTGTCTTTGGGAGAATAAGCAAATTGAGTTTGTGCGTGGAGTATCATGGCTGAGGCGATTGGCTTTGTCGCAAGTGTCTTGCAATTAGCAGGGACAGGTTTGAAGCTTTCACAGGCTTTGTATCAGTATGCCGACAGTGTGGCGACGGCTGACCGTAGGATCAAGGATGTTGCGAAAGAGATCAAGCTTACCAGCTTCGTCATTGAGGAACTGGGCGGCATTTTCAAGCAAGACGATACCTTGAGCCTGATTTCGAAGAGTGCTGTTGCGACAGCAAACGAGACTCTCGACGAATGTTCTAAAATGTTCGAAGAAATCGAAGTGGCTTTGAATAAGAGCAAAAAGGGAAAGATGGGTCGACTAATGCTGCCATTCCGGGAACCTAAGATGGAGCTGTTGCGAAGCCACATCGACAAACTCAAGAGCACGCTGCAACTTCTAATGCAGGTGCTTATGTATGCATATCAGGTATCTTCAAAAAAGCTTGACCGCGAAGCCGAGGCAAGGCAACGAGAGGAGATTCGGCAGTTACTGGAAAACAAAAAGAACACCACAAAGAGATACGAGGAGTCATTGCAAAGATTCAAAACAAGCGATAGCAATGCTGAACTTGAGGATGACGACATCTCTTTTGATGACAGTGGATCTGTTTCAACTCTGGTCGCTAAATCGATCGGCTCTACGATAACTCCTGATTCTCTTGCAGAATGCGCCCAGCATGTCCGGACACTCTTGGAAAGCATCAATCGACTGCAACAAGCTCTGGCGAGTGCATCTGTAGGCGATGATCATTCAGACGATCATCAAATGGCCATTGGATCTTACTTTGCTGCTCGCTCCCATCTGGACAGCATTCTGCTTGGTAGCTCGAACATGGGGCATAAAAACGTGACGCTAAAAACGGAAAAGCATACCAAAATAGAGGCTCGCATCCCGAGAGCCAAACCCAAAAGTTGCTTATTTGAACAAAAGAAAGAGTCCGTTGTTGTAATTGAGACAGGTGCAGGGAAGATGGTAGCGGAGACTCCGCAGCAGGAAAAAAAACCAGTACGAGTGCAAGGAACAAAGAGGCCGAACGAGGACATAACTTACGTTCAAAGACCAAAGAGTCCACTTCCCGCTGTTTCAGGTTCACTTTTTGGCAGCAGTAAACCGAACGAGGACACGGCCTACGTTCAAAGACCAGAGGGCCCACGTCACGCTGTTTCGGATTCGCTTTTTGGCAGTAGTAAACCGAATACCAAGGGCGACGATCATTTACGCTATGGAACCAGTCCATTTTCATGTTTGCCAGACCATCTGAGGCAGACACAGTCGTTTAGTTTTGGATCAGGGTTGGGTTATTCCTATCATTCTTCCACCTCACAGAAACCTTCAGAGAAGGTGGAGATAAGTGTGCCTGTATCTCGCTCGCCAGCATATGCGCCAGTTCTTTCTTCACCAGCATATTCACCAGCTCTTTCCTCACCAGCACAAGCGCCAATACTTCCTCAATCACCCTCTGTGCCTAAATTTGCGCCTGCACCTATATCTCCATTGGAGCAAGTACATGTGGAAGGTAAGTGTTTTACTCCATTTTCTGGAAAGCCAAAATTGACGCACTATAGTGTACGAACCACTTCTCGTAAAGGGGGATCGTGAACGGGACGAAATAGCGAACTCGCCAGCGGAAACAGCGTCTCAAAGTAATGACGAGGTAGACGATTTACTTAAAGAATGGACAACCTGTTTCGCATAGGAAAAAGAAGGGATATAAAACGCATGCAGTACACTCGACAAAAAATTACAGGCTATTCCGAACTTTTGGCCTACGTACCAAGCAGCCCTTTCCATACAACAACAACCCCTCATCCCTCTCATAAATCAAAAACACCTATCCTCACCACACCTCCCCTTCCCCCACATACAACAACCCAAAAAAACCACACACTCCTCCTACATCTCCCGATCCACATACCCGTACTTGATTCCGACTCCCTCCGATATCGATATCGGAAGCCACCTCCCCATCCCCACTTTCGCGTTAGCCAGCTAGTACGTAGTGTGCCCCCCACCGAGTCGGAAGTCTAGCCAAAATGCCGTCGCCGCCGCCGCCGCCTCCCCCCCCCACGGCAATTGCATCCGCCGCCGAATCACGCGTTTCCGATGCTTTTTCCGAACACACACCTGCACCCGCGTGTATTGCATGGAAACGCAACATTTTCACCAGCGCAAACCAGCATCCACGTTACTTGCGAAGACTTTCTGACATGACAAAAAAAGGCTGTCTCAGCGATTCGTAATCCGTACTTAGTATTGCAGACACTGATTACTTGGAGCTACTGTATCCGAAATCAAAATAAGACCAGGCTATTGTTTTTGTTAGATCATGAGTTATGCTTCACAAATGTGCAACCTCCCCCCCCCCCCTGTTTTTGTCATCATGTGGTTAAATCTAAAATTGTTACCTACTATATCGCACTTACACAGCGTTGTACAGCCCTACTATCACACGCTTGCTTTTCACTTTTACATGCCTGTCCATCCATTCCCCCTTTCCACATCTAGAGCGACGTTTCGCACACACACAAGACAAGTTGACCCCCACCCTTCCCAAACACACACATACACAACCCCCCGCGTTACTGTGCGTTTTGCGTCATGGGAATTTTTTTTTACCTGTCCCAGCAAGTAATACCTCAGTATATGCGCCGTTACAACAAGGGAAATATGCAGATGGGTAAGGAGGCTAGGATGAATAAGGGAATGAGAGCTTCAGGGTTAGCTTAGCTATGTAAACTTTTGTGCATGCGTGAGGGGTGCATAGTGACGACGGGTATGTGTGTGTGTGTGTGTGAGGTGTACTAATTTTCTTCTTGATTTTTTGTTTTTGTTTTTGTTCAAATAAGTAGTATGACGGAAAGGCGCGTACGTTTTTGGTTTTTTTTTCAGCACGTGTGACGAAGGAGGTGGGAGGGAGGCGGGGTTTGCGTCGACGTAGTGTCGCGTGGAGGAGTAGAACAAACATAAATGGCAAGCAAGATACAAATGCGGTCTTTTTTTGTTTTTTGCTTTTGCTAAATGTTTTTGGGATACAATTTTTATTTCTTTGTGACGTAGTGTGGTGTATCACTGTGCTGGGAGAATACTCACATCATTTGATATTTATGTTTTCTCAAATACATGACAAGCTCTACATCCCCTATTTCACAGTAAAAAAAAACACTAGGCAAGAAACTAATTTTCTGAAATCATAGTCATTTTATTCATAAACAGTATCTATGTACAAAGGCTAAAGCCAGAAACGCCATATCCCATAGAAAGGTATCGTAAGGTATACAAAAGTACAAAAGGTAGTCGAGTCAGTGGCGAATTGTTCACCACCAGTCACCCTGGTCGTGCATGGCAGCAGCGACCTTGCGGAAACCAGCAACGTTGGCACCACCGACAAGGGATGGGAACTCGCCGTCGGCAGGGGTAAAGTACTCCTTTGCGGTGCTGAGGCAGTTCTCGAAGCAGTCCTTCATGATGCCCTTGAGCTTCTCGTCAACCTCCTCGGCGGTCCAGGACAGGCGCTGAGAGTTCTGGGCCATCTCGAGACCAGAGACTGCAACGCCACCAGCGTTGGCAGCCTTTCCGGGGGCGTACCAGATGGCACTGCCCTTGTGCTCGCGACGGTGAGCCTCAAAAACTTCGATAGCCTCCTGTGTGCAGCCCATGTTGGAGCCTTCGGCAATGAACTTGGCGCCAGACTCGATGAGTGCCTTGGCCTCGTCCTCGGAGACCTCGTTCTGGGTCGCTGATGGAAGAGCAACATCGACCTTCTTGACCTCCTTCCATGGGCGGGCACCCTCGACGTATCTGTAGCTGTGGTTCTCAAGGGCAGTGAGTGCCTTGCGCTCCAGCTTGAGTGCGGCAATCTGGTTGATGACGTCTGGGGTGAAACCCTTGTCGTCGTCTGCGATCAAAGCACCCTTGCTGTCACTGAGGGAGATGACAGTACCACCAAGCTCGATGACCTTGAGGGCAGCAAACTGGGCGACGTTTCCGGAGCCGGAGATGGCGACGCGCTTGCCGGCGAATGACTCCTTTCCGCCCGAGGCGTAGTTGATCATGTGCTCAACATAGTAGACGAGACCATAGCCAGTTGCCTCGGGGCGGATCAAAGAGCCTCCCCATGAGCCTCCCTTGCCGGTAAGGACACCCTCCCAGCGGTTGCGCTCCGCTCGGTATGCGCCAAAGAGGTAGCCAATCTCGCGGCCTCCTACGCCGATATCGCCCGCAGGAACGTCGGTGTCGGCACCTGTAGATTTACGTAAGTCAAATGTTCCATTGGAGTACCAACAAGACAGCGAACGTCGCCGACGGATAAACTTGAAGTAGACGGGAAGATAGGCAAGGCTGGCCCACTGGCTCTAAATGGCGTGCAGTCGGAATGCAGGCATGCGAGGCCGTTGCGGGTGCATGCCCCACCAAGGAAATGTCAGAGACGCGCTAGGAATAGGGACCTACCAATGTGCTTGTTGAGCTCCCTCATAAAGGCAACACAGAACTTGCGGATCTCATTGTCCGACTTGCCCTTGGGGTCAAAGTCGCAACCTCCCTTGCCACCACCCATGTTGACTATGGAAGAATGTTAGATATGCACAAAAGTGATATGGGCGCAGGGGGGTAAAATGACGTACGTCCAGTCAGGGCATTCTTGAAGATTTGCTCAAAGCCCAAAAACTTGAGGATAGAAAGGTTGACAGTGGGGTGGAAGCGGAGACCGCCCTTGTAGGGACCAAGTGCAGAGTTGAATTGCACGCGGTAGCCCTTCTGGACCTGGCACTCGCCCTTGTCGTTCTCCCAGACGACGCGGAACTGGATGATGCGCTCGGGAATGGAGACTACCTCGAGGGCCTTCTTGTACTCGGGGTTCTTGGTGAAGAGGGAAGAGGCCTCGAGGGTGGAGACGAGCTCTATGGGAGAGGGGTTAGTTGGGGCTGGCGCAATGGGTAGAGGCCAATGTAGGCCGCGGACATACCCTTCCTGGCCTGCTCAAACTCGGGCTCAGACATGGTGAAAAGGGAGGTGAAGTGTCTTGGTGGGTAGGTGTGTGGGCAAGAAGATTGACCAAGCTGGAGTCTGAGAGATTGCTGTGGAGAGGCAGGAGCAGAAGTTCAGTGGTATATATAATGGTCGTCTCCGTGGGCTGGAGGGTTCGCCGCTGGCGGGAGGGCATTGCGACGACGGTCGCGGAGCAAAAAGGTAGTCGAATTGAGTACGTCACAGGCCGTGCGATTGGGCGGCGGGGAGAGGGTCAATGGTCGGGGACAGGCTACTGTGCGCCATGTTGATGCAAACCGTGGTGTACACTTTTTGCACTGATAAGCAACGGGCCAATGGGCGGGCGAGGCCGTGTGTCGCGGCGCGTTTGCACGTGTAGCAGGCGGGATGCGGGCACTGCAGGCTGGTGGCGGCGCTTGTAATTGCACACAGTCAAAGGTTGTCTACCCATGGGGCGCAAGGGATGCCGACGTCGGCGCCATGGGCGGGTTACGTTGAGGTTTTGCTAGTCGCTTGTCAGGCCAGAGGATAAGGCGGCGCGGCGAGCATGTGGGCTGTGGGCTGTGGGCTGTGGGCGCAACCATGTGCATGCAACCCATGCATCCCGTGCCCGACGTGCACGCACACGCGACACCCTGACTGATGACTTGTTTAGCAGCAGTAACGGTAGTATTGTTGCTGCATTGCACAGCTTGCGTCGACTTGTTGGCTGCCAGGTAGTTTTGCACGGGTAGCAAGAGCACCAAGGGACTGCACAGTCTTCATCCAGGCCACGGTCGTACACATGTTGTCTCATGCAATTCCATAATATGAAATCTACCCATGTCTGCTTGGAGCATGTCTGTATGTAAACACATATATGTACATTGTACGACAACATGCCCATCCTCCACGGCTTGGCTGCTGCTAACCCCCACGCACGCGACCTGAACACCTCCATGCTCAAGGGCAATTGGTCGGGTCCCAGTCTGGAAGAGGGAAAAAAGCACTTGTCAGTAGGAGCTACAAAACCACAGCTTGCAGCCACGTGAGTAACGTACCAGTCACCAAGTACTCGTCCAGAGCATCCATCGCCTCCACGTCGGCCGCCTCAATCTCGAAGCCCCCAACCTGAGCATTCTCAATCATGCGCTCCTTCTTGACGCTCTTGGGCAGCGCAACATAGCCGTGCTGGACACTCCAGCGGACCAGCAGCTGGGCAGGCGTGCAGGAATACTTGTTGGCGAGGGCCACAATGGTCGGATGCTTCATCCGCAGGGCACGAACAAGTGGGGCATATGCCTCGACCACAATGTTGTGCTGCTGGCAAAACGAGGTAATGTCCTTGCGGGTATTGAAGGGATGCACTTCAATCTGGTTGACCGCGGGAGCAACTCGCGGATTCGAGTCGAGCAGCTCTTGCAACTAGAGTCGGCCGCTGGTCAGCAAACAAGACAAGTCTCTCTCTCCGCCCCCCGCAGGCAGCGCTTTGCAAAGCACCGGCAGCAGCTGACTTCGGCGAAGTCGGGTGCCTAGGGGCTGCAATGACTCGTTTCTGCGCAATTCAATAATTGAAAAGCCATTGCACAAGTTGCCTCTTCAGGCCCGGTGTTCGCGCCAAGGCGACGAGAGTTGCGGGACTTCCCGACCGAGGAGTGAAGCAAAGTCCATCATGGCCGCCAGGGTCCAGGGTCAGACTACTCACATGCTTTACGCCATAGTTGGACACGCCTCCAATCCTGACCTCGCCATCGTCGATTGCGTCCTCGACTGCTCGCCAGCTGTCCAGCCGCGCTTGCTTGCCGCCGTACGGCGAGTGCAACAGGAAAAGGTCAATGTAGCCCAGCCCTGCTTCCTTGACCGATCTCTTGATGGCTTTGCGAGCCGTTTCGTATGCAGAGTTGGACGCTAGCTTGGACGTGAAGTGGATGTCTTGGCGCTTGAGCGAGTGCACATTTGCTTCGCTTTGAAGAAAATCGTTAATCGCCCTGCCCGTCTCGCGCTCGTTGTGGTACATCTGCGCCGAGTCGACCCTGTTGCACGCGTCATTCATGATCCGTTTTGGGGAGAGAGCCAGGCTGCTGCTCCGTGATGCCCTACCCCCGATATCCCGCCTTGGTGTTGTAAGCATGCTGTGCACTAGTCACGAGGAATATTGCTACCAGACGGACTGCTTACCTCTAGTGCCCACCGCACGGCCTGGTAAGTTTCCTTGCCGGACGTCAAATACACGCCCAGTTGGATGGTGGGCATAGACAAGCCATTGGAAAGCTGCATGGATCAGAGATGGGTGCCATCTTGTGCAACCGCCTACTGCGCACCTTTGTCCGCGAAGCCAATGAAAAGGACGACTGAGCCATTGCCAGTGCGGTCCCTAGTGTCTCGGAAACAAAATTTATCGTTGTGAAGCTGCAAAGGGCCGGCCAAGAGGGTGAGGGATGGACGTCTGCGGCATCACGGATCTGCTCGGTGGGATGCTGGTTACATCATGGCCCGCTTGTGGCCGGGGGGTGCTGAACCATCGCGATCGCGATCGCAGCCACGGCCAGGGGTTTGAACATGTCACACGCACGTGCCAAGTCGTCTTGGGCTCATTCACCTTTATTGTTCGGGTCGTGTCTGTATACGCTAGCTTTGTATGTGTATACATATGTACATCTACCTATATCCATAACGCCGTCGGCCGCTTTTTCCATGTCTGGCTCCTTAGACCTGACGGCTATGTGTTACACAGCATGACCATGACAGCCTCACATCTGCTAAGAAAAAAAGCCTGGACCCCATTGGATCGGCGAGCATCTTCCTCTTGGGCAACCTTCATGGTGGGTTACCACGGCCCTGGAATGAATGCAAGCCAGCGCACTGGTGGCCGCATTCTATCGTGGCTTTTCCGGTTACATGTGCATCCGTCGCACAACCCATTGCCATGGTTCACGCTCCCGCGATTGACGACCCCAGGATACGACCAAACCCCCGTTTACGATTTGCATGCAAGCATCTATTGCGATCCGATGCGCATACATCTCTCGGCCTAACCGCCTGCCTAGATCTGGCCTCGTCCGCCATCCGCTCCCCGGACCAAGGGCCATGGCATGGTGCAGCATAACCTTTGCGGCTACGAGGAAACAGAACAAGAGGTGCAACCATATGCCAGAGCGCAATACGGGGGCAGCCAACGATATGCCAAAGAATCCATGTCCGTGTGTAACTACGGATGTATGGAGGCGCAGGGTTGTCGACTCGCCCGCCCGCGTACAGTGGTTTAGCATAGACCGGTTTGGCAGGGGCGTCAACCATGCGCGAACCCGCGAACGCATAGCCACCATGCTGGGCTCCACACCAGAAGACATGTTAGAGCCGAGGCGCCTCGACTGGATCACCGCCGGGATTATTCCAAAATTGCTTTCATCTCGATAAGGCTGGGATAGGCGTCTCGAGGCAAAAGCTGGCGGCCGTGACCGAAGCCACCGCTCCATAGAAGCAAGTATACTACTAGATGGCAGCCTCATGGCCACAAACACTCATCCTCTCGCCAATATAAAGCAACTTGTAGCGCTCCACTTCTCAGCTTCTCTTTCAATTCCCACCCCCACCGCCACTATTCCCATCCATCTTGCATCCTCGACCCGACATGCTCGTCCAGTGGCACTGACCTCATCTACCACCAGATCGTTTCGTCATTGATCTTATTTGCTCACCACAATCTCGCCCTTGGACCCTGAGACCCTGCCCTTTCTTTTTTCTTTCCCCTCCCGCGTTGGTATTTTATAAAATAAAAATCGTCTAGACCAATCTGCCAATAGAGCTTGCGAAATTCCACCTCTGTGGCAAGCAGCTCGGTAAGTCGCGACCTTGCATGCTTCTCAAAAACACCCTTAGTCCTCCTTTCTATCTTTCCATCTTTCCCACTCCCCCTCCAACTTACACACAACCCCTTCTCTCTCTTTCTCTATTATCTGCAACGAAACCCGAACAAACCAGCCAACCAAACCCAAAGCAACCCAGAATCAACCGAGCCAACGACTTTTTTTTAGCCGTTCCTGCAGGAGTAGCGCTGGCCATGGCAAGCCTACCCAGCTTTACCACAAACTTCCCCGCAGGATACCCAACGTTCCAAGCACGCGGCGGTGGAACCTTTGCGCACCACGGCGGCGGCGGCAGCTCGTCATCAGGAGCAGCAGAGTCGCCGCATGCGCATGCATCAACAGCAGCAGGAGGAGGAGGAGGACCACCGCAGCCGGCCGCAGAACCGCACTTTGACATTTTCGAATGGCACCCCGCCTACCAGAGCTGCCAGCGCTACTTCCTCGACCACGCCCAGCACGACAATGGCGTCCAGGCTGTATGTGCCCTCATCAACATTTGCCTGCCGTTCCAATGGTCGCAGAACCCGCTCTTGAGCTCCTCGGGCCCGCTGCCGCACGCCTCGGGCCCCGCGGCTTACAACATGGGCTGGCCGCGCCAAGGCCCAGTTTCTTCGTCGCGAGGGGGAGGAGGCGGCCTGCCGGGCGGAATGGGTGGTGTTGGAGGTATCGGTAGCAGTGGAGGTGCAGGTGGAGGCCATCACCACGCACACCAACAGCCGCCGCCGCCAGCATGGGTCTCGCTAGTCCCTTTTATTCGCCGCCTGGTCGTCACGGGCATGGACAGCGCGGGCATCATGCACGGCTTCTTCGGCGAGGACTGGCGCAAGGGCGTCGGCCCCATGCACGAGTGCGAGCGCCGCAACTACCTCTTCACCGCAAAGAGCGTCGGCTGGGCCAAAGTAAAGTGCCAGTACGACATGTCACCCCACGAGTCCGTCCCCTTTCTCAAGCCCCTCCAGGAAGTCCAGCTCGCGGAGATCGAGGGCGCAGAGAAGACTTGGAGTCAGTGGCTCGCCATGGAAGATTGGATGGTTGGTCCCCGCGCCCCAGATGCCGGTGATGGAGATCAGCATCTTGAGGATGCGCCGCCGTCGCGCCGCGAGTCGTGATTACTGATATACATATCAAACACCCTTTTCTTATAACCATCACCTATGTAGTTTCCTTTCTTTTTTAACCGGTGTTTCTCGTGGGGGGGTTTCTCTTCTTTCTTCTTCCATCTGGTATGCTCATTTTCCCTGTCTTTTCCCCACTTGGCCACCGTTATTGTCCCGGCAAAGCATTTCACATATTCATTTTGTTTTTGTTTTTTTACCTCCCTCCTCGCAAACTTTGTCTGGCACACACACACACACACAATAAAAGGGATGGGGAGGGAGGCGGAGTTGGGGTAAGGAGGCCAGCGAATGGGCTTGATATGTTTCTGTTTGCGCATTAGCCCCTCTTATGAAATCATCTGCCTTTGCTGGTTCGTCTCCGCGGCAGAAAGGAGTCATGCTCGTATTTCGGTTTAGACTCGCAACTTTACATGCGTGTATTCCCTTTCTTCCTCTTTTACAGTCTTGTCTTGCTTTGGCTGCTGCTTCTGTTCAGTGCCATATTGATTATTAGTCTCGCGTTTTGCTTGGATATATATGTCCTGGCTTGTTGCTAGTCTGCGTGGCAAAAGCTAGAGTAGTTGTCCGCTGATCAAGTAGCTGAAAATATATCAGAATCTGACAAGTCACTACTCAGATGAAGAATACATTTACTACATGTTCAAGCAGAGTCTGACTAAAACAACATGTATCTCAAGCCCTTCTATCAATACTCCACACGCATGCTACAGTATCAAACCATCATCTACATGTTGTCAAAATCAAGTCCCCAGTCATCATCGCCTCCTCCACCTCCGCCCATGTCCATGCTCATATCCATATCTATGCCCATACCTCCCATATCGCCCAGGTCCAAGTCTGGCAAGTTACCCAGATCCGTGCTCATATCTCCACTTCCTGCATCGCCATTGCCCATACCGATACCCGACAGGTCCAGCCCCTCAGTGCTGGCAAGCTCGTCCATGCTGCGCTGGAGAGCCTTGTTATCCATGTTGGAAATATCCTCAACCATGCTCGCGGCTGCGGCGTCGTCCATGGCCCGGTTTAGGTGCTCAGAAATAGATTGTGATTGCATATCTGCCATGTTGACGCTTGGTATGTTGATTGGAGGTGCTTGGAGCCCGTTCTCCGCCAGCGATGTAAAGTGTGCTTCGACGCGCCGATGTAAACGCACTATTGTCTCCGCGGTCAAGGGATCAGTAGCGACTAGGCTGGCTGCATTGTCGAAATCCTGCTTCAGCATTTCTCGTAGGTTCATGCGCGTTCGCTGCGGCGTGGGCGCTGGTACTGTGCTTCCAACCCAGTCTACTGAGATGGGGCTGTCCTCGACAGTTGGCGCGCAGATAATGGATACTCCAACGTCAAGTGCTGCTGCTCCGTTACCACCGTCAGTTTGCGTCTTCACTTCGTCTACAATAGCCCGTAATGTCCGGGCCGCGCCCAGCATCTTCAGCGAAGCGTATAGCTGACGATGTGTGTAGCTTGGCGGGTTTGGTTGCATTGAAGCCGTTGAAGCCCATTGTGAGAGCTGTTGCACAGTGTGTCGCAGAGAGGTATTCAATGTACTGTTGGGTGCATTTGTCCATTGATCCAGCTCCTTCATTGTGGCAAACACGGTGCGCTCATAGTGTGCGTGCACTTTGATGGCTTCCAAAAAGGAGTCGAGGTTGTTACGATTCGGTTCTCGTCGCTGTAGCGTACGAAAGCACTTCTCCAGGCGGCTTGACACCATTGCTATGATGGTAGAGTGCATAGCTTGTGCATCTCCGGATGACGGTGCAGAGAGTAAAATCGCGTTGAAAATGCGTGTGATTGCGTCCAGGTCGTTGTGGGTCTGTAGCAGGGCATAGGAAGTCATCCAGGTCAACCCTCCGATTAGCGATGGCATGAGGAACGTTTCACCCAGGTCTAAATGCGTGTTAGTATTTCTACATACAAAATGGCGAAATTGGAATATGCTTACATTCTAGACCACCTTTGACGGTTTCAAAAGACAAAACACCTAGGGAGCAAGCCACAACTGTCTGATGGAAAAGGGTTGGTACGATCAAGTAAAAGTCTTGTGGCCGACACGACGCAAAGACTTCGTTACTCAAGCCTTCCTTGTCCGAGTCATAGAGCCCTTTGAGCCAGCTTCCAAGATTTCTGCCCTGCTCTTCGGTCAACTCATCTGGCGGTATGCTGTGATGTCCGTGCTGCAATAGCTTCGCGATGAATGTATCATGAGCAATGCCGATGTCATGGTACACCAGATCATAACGGTATACAAAGGCCATGACGAGAACGAGTATAGAGCCAAACTCATCATATACGGGCTGATATTCGCCTGTTCTATTTAGAGACCGCACACATTGTTTCCGACTGGGATCTTACCTTGGTCGCTATCATAATGCCAATCTTCAAGAAACTGGCATAATGGTCGTAGTATGCTCGCAGGCGAGGTGAACTGTAGCATCACATCCATCGCCTGAGGTTTCTTGAAGATTAAACAGCAAAGCTGCTTAAGATACATGGTTGTTTGTGTATCGCAAAGATGTGAGATGAACTATGACTGAATTAGCACACAATGTTGTGCAAAAGAATCGGGAGCGGATCATACGTCTGCCACAGCTGCAACAATGGCACCAGCGTTTCCATCAAGATTCTCAAGTTCATCGATATATACGCTAACTTTGTCGAAATTGGATTTGCACTGGTTGAGCAACTCCTTTCTCTCGTATCTTTTTGCTGGTGGTCCTTGCATAGGTGCTTCCCCTAAGAGGCGCTCTACAGTACCCGCTGGGAGGAGACCATGGAGCACACAGGCATTGAGATAATCCTGCCTGACATCTGAAAGAGAGTTGTTGCTCCCCATGATATCGTCGAAGCCTTGCGAGAAAGATGGGAAAGCGCTTGGATCCACGTGGCTGAGCGCCTGGGTAATACACATCTCAACTGTCATTGGAAAGATCGAGCCGGAAATCTGCGTCAAAAGAGTAGGAATCTTGTTGATCAAGAAAGACTTTAGATAGAACAAGGTTTGAGTGGGCTCATTGCGGTACATGGCGTTGGCGAGAATGTCAAAAGCAGCCGTGATTAGATCTGTTGCCATGTTCTGAGGTTCAAGCTTGTAACGCGTGTGCAAGTGGCTAATGATAACAAAGTCATCAGTTAGTGGTCGTGCAACAAGCTTGTGACTATTAGTGGTGAGTGGGCAATGTCAGTAACGTAATGACTTACTAATGAATTCAGAAATACATAGAGACCAGCTCGCGTATTCGCTTGTGGCAGCTCCATTACTGCATCAAGCTGAAGCGCAGCAACTTCAAGGCCGGCACTCTCGTTTCCCTCCCCATTGACATTTGGGAGTTTTTCGTACAAGTCGTGTTGTTTTTGCGACATTTCTAATCTGTTTGCTAGCGATAGAGACGTCTGAGATCCCGCCGAGTTGTTGGATAGAAATGGGATAAATGATGTGAGGGATTTCGTGAGTTCCTTGCGTACCTCTAATCAATTGTGAGCAACACTCTTTAATCTCGTTGTGGGATGAAATCGCATAGTCACTGCTCCAAAATAGGGGCGTTTATTAACAGCAGCAACCACTGGCAGCAATAATGAATGTTAGGCATTCGTATTTGGTCGACTATTGCGAATTTTGCCAGAACAGTGTCCAACTGATTTAACACCTTTCGTGAAGGTGTTGGAGTCTGGGAGTAAGGAGAGCTTACCTTTAGCTTTTGGGTGATTTAGAATTCGGAGGATTTTTGAATTCTCGATTACTCCAACCACGAGCATAGCGAGGCCCTCTCGCACGTTGATGGACTGCTGTTGTGGCTGTTGTATGCCAGCCATGGCCTGAATCATGGTATCGCTGGTATGCGAGGTGACCATTGCCTGCATCCATCGAGCTACAACAGCTAGGGTGTGCACACCCTCGACATTGTTGACAGGGCGTTCCTCTGCAGCAAAGACCTTGTGCAAACGATGAAAAATGAGTTCTTCCAATTCTGGTGGGTTGCTCCATTGCGCATCTTTTGAGGGCTTCTCCTCTGTCTTGATTGGTTGTCGGACTTTGGAGTACAGAAGCGCAACAATCAGAACATCGGAAGTGTCAAGCTTCTTCAGCGACAAGAGTTGCTCTAGGTAAATTACAATGCGTGGGTCGATGTTGCTATTATCTGCGACGCGTGGGCGAAGAAGCAGAGCGGCGAGTTTCCGGCCTGGCAGTGGAGACTTGGCGTGTAGCTGCGCGACTGCGGCAGCGAAAACATCAGATTGGACGCGGCGCTCCAAACAGCGGTCCAAAAGGACTGACCATTCCTTGACCATAGAATCCATACCTAGGGGATATAAAAAAAGTTGACTCCGAACGTGGGATTGGTAGGAGAAGGAAGGGGAGAAGAGAAGTGTGCTGCTGCACTGAGAATGAAGATGGTCGGGCGTGATGAATGGCCGAGAGTTCTTGGCAGGCACGAGCACCAGTGGTGCAAATACTTTGTGGTCGTCCAACCCAACCTTGGTTCAGCGTGGCGCACGCAAATAATTTTTGCTGCGTAGTATTCGAGTGGTATCTTCGCTCCTTGTGAATACGGACATTTTGGATATCTCAGTTCAGGGCGGAAAGCAGTATAAGAAGATGTGAGCGTGCAGGCAGGAGAAACAGCTGAAAATTGAAGGCGCAGTCAAATTCACACATATCAAACGCTCGAGGCAGGTGTGCGCAGTCTTTTCGAATCAGTTTTCCTGAAGCCAGTCAGCTTATCTTAAGTTGTTACTCCTGTATTAACCCACCTGACTTTCGTTGGCTTGTCACGATATCAGGGTCTTTGAGTTGCCTAACCACCATTACTTCGATGGCCTCGACATAAGCTCCTGAATCGGGATGTCGGGACATTCCAGCTCATTGTGAATGGGAATACTGATGATGTATGGGCTTGATATATAGGGACTGATGATTGGGTTAGTTCATGAGTGAATGGTGGGATGAAGCGGACCGAGGTAGTACTTACGTAGTTCGGGAAGCACTTGCCCCACACCTGCATACATACGTACATACATACTTATTGTGGGCTTGCTTCGACCTTGGCCTCACCATCTTAACCTGGTATTGTCAAGTTTTCCTCGAGGCAATCAATTCATCTACTGTATTCCAAAATAGGACTAAGTTCGCCAATCAACAGTAAAACATGCCGTACGACCTCAAAAATCGAAACGTCCTGGTTACCGGCGGATCAGCGTGAGTGACAAGGATAGTTTGATAGCAAATGGCTACATCGGGCTTGATTGTTTGGATACAAAAACTTATTGCTGACAATTGCTTAGCGGTCTGGGAGAAGCAGTCTGCAAGGCTTTTGCAAAGGAAGGCGCCAACATTGCCATTAACTATTTCAACCGCCTCGAGCCTGCTCAAAAGGTACAGCAGGCATGTGAGGAACTGGGGGTAAAGGCTGTAGCCATCAAGGCGGTATGATTTGCCCTAGTGCGTTTAGAAGTGGAAGAATGGGCCTAAGGATCACAGGACATGACGTCGACGTCGGAGGCGAGGCGAGTAGTTCAGGAGACGATCAAGCAGCTAGGCGGCCTTGATCTGATCATTTCAAACGCGGTAGGCATACAATTCTGCAATGGTGTATTGCATCAAAAGAATGCGAGCTGAGGGAACTTCAGGGATGGACACGCTTTGCTGGGTGGGAGGATCTCGACTCCATGTCGGAAGAGGAGTGGGACAGGTGCTGGAATGCAAACGTCAAAGTGCCCAAGGCGTTGCTTTCCGAGGCAAGAGCCACATTTGATGCCAACCCTGATGGCGGGCACATGATTACGACGGGGAGTATTGCAGTATGTCGCCTGTGTACTTGACTGGCTGGTACACGGGTACTAACTCAGGACAGGGTGTCAGCCAGGGAGGGAGCAGTATGGCCTATTCCGTCACAAAAGCAGCGCAATGGCAGCTAGTCAAGTGCCTTGCTATGACTGTTGGGCCCACGATACGCGTCAACACGGTGCTTCCCGGCTTGCTGTTGACTGAATGGGTACGAAGCACACGTCTCTCGTCGCACAGCGGCCGCACCCTGTCCAATGCTGACCAGTCTGTAGGGACTCAAGTACCCGGAAGAGCAGATTCAAAAGATGAAGGCGACATCAGCCCTGAAGCACGAAGTGTTCATGGACGACTGCGTGGCTGCGTTTGTGATGTTGGCAAAGAATACCAGCATGACGGGCATGCGCATCCAGGTTGATGGTGGGCTCAACATCCAAGGCGCATGAGGGCTTTGTAGTCATGCATTTGGAGGTGGATGCACATGTGCATGTAGACATGAATTGAATGCATTGAATACATGCATGCATGCATGCATACGTGGGAACGTCATGTGACCCAAGTCATGGCAGCAACGGGAAAGCAGGACCTCGGCCATGCGAGGGGCCCGTCGACCCCACGGTAAGGAATGCCACTGGGGGCGTAGTAAGCCGGGCGGGCCCACGTCAATTCCCCGCGTCAGGAGCTCCGCATGTCTGCGAATCTTACATGGTCTCTCAGTCATGATTCCAGAACTACCGTAGCCGCTTGTTTCGCCATGTCTCGCCCTCTCTCGCCCGTCGTCAACGCATGCCCGCGTCTGTCGCGACGCTGCATGCAATGCGGCCAGCCCGTCAACCGCTGCCCGCCTGCCCCACGGCGCTGGATGAGCGGCGTGCGAGATACACCAACCAAGCGACCAAAGACAGCCATCTTCTTTCCTGGTACCCTCCCATCGTCGTGTTCCCTCCTCGCGGCACAGCCTACTGACTGAAGCCAGGCCAGGGAGTCCAGCGCGTGGGCATGTGCACGCCATGGCTAGAGGCCTTTCCCGGAACCGCGAAGCCCATTCTCGAGGAAATCGATGACACGCTCCAGCTTCCTCTCACAAAAATCATAGAATCCGGCACCAATGCAGAGCTCACAAAGACCGAGAATGCGCAGCCCGCCATCATGGCCACGTCGATTCTGATCCTGCGCATACTGGAAAAGGAGTTTGGTTTCAAGACGGGCGAGCGTGTCGACATCACCCTTGGCCATTCTCTGGGAGAGTTTGCTGCACTCGTCGCCGGCGGCTACCTCACCTTTCGCGATGCACTGAAGATGGTGCGGAGGCGAGCAGAGGTCATGGCCAAATGCAGCCAAGAGGCCGTAGCAGAAGAAGGCGGCGAGTTCGGCATGGTAGCTTTGGTCTGTGAATCGGAAGAGCACATGCAATCGCTCATCCAAGGCATACACGAGTTCCTCGCACTCGGCTCAAAGGCAGATTCGCACGACTCTCTTCCTGCCGTCCAGCAAGTCGCCATCGCCAACCTCAATTCCAAGAACCAGATTGTACTCAGTGGAAGCATTGCCCGCATAAACACGCTGTTGACCAATCTCCGCCAATTTGGTGGCCACGATCCACGCCATGTACGCCTCAAGTCCGATGCCCCCTTCCATAGCCTTCTCATGAAGCCCGCCCAAGAGACCATGAAGCAGATTCTGCACAAGGAGAGAAAAGACGGGCGTGATATAGTGACATGGCCGGGTCTGTTGCCGTGTATCTCCAATGTCTCTGGTAAACCATTCACCGACAAGCATCAGCTCAAAGATCTACTCGCGCGCAGTTGTGTCGAAACAGTGCAATGGTGGAAGAGCATAAAGTACCTGCATGAAGAAGAGAAAATCATGCGCTATGTCGGCATCGGACCAGGCAAAGTTGGTAGGAATCTGGTAGGCAAAGAAGTGGGAATGAAGGGGTCTGTCAAGGGAGGCGGCGTCTGGGGCATCACTAGCCCTAAAGAGATGGAGGAGGTTATGCAAGCCTTGGATGAGACCGAGAATGCGGAGGCAGAGTGAGTTTATTCTGGATGAAACTCGCCCGTTTCCTTTTTCTTTTTCTTGTTTTGCGTGCGGAGGACATTATACCCCAAACACAGCTTTAGTTCTTTTTTTTTGCCTCGCAGGCTTTAAACCCCATTCTATATAATACAGGAAAGGACAATTGTAGATAGAACACAACTTTTTTATGTCTCACCTATCCCCATCACACCAGTCCTCCTTCCAAATCCAAAAGTAGCCCCCAAAACTATCAGACTCGTCCGACTCGTCCGACTCGTCTCCCCACGTCCCCACAATACCAAACGGCGTCAAGCAACCTATCCACGGCCACGTCCACCCACTCACAATATACCGCTTCACCAGCTCCACCTGCCCATTCTTCTTGACGCGGCCCTGGAGCGAGAACTCCCCATGCGCATCTACACCCCTCGTCTCGCGGTCAATCACAGCAGCCACATCCGACGCACCCTCGGGCGCACACGCCACGATGTTGATATCGCGCATAGGCGGATCGAATGAGCGCGCATGCACTGTGCCCCTCTGCTCCGAGTAATACCCCATCCACTTTGCGCCCAGAAACTCGGGCGTCACCATTTTCTCCACGTGGCACTGTGCAAACGATTGAGTAGCAGCATTCTGTGAAAATACTGGGGGGATCCGCATCAGCGATTTAAAGCCTATGCATGATACCGATGGGAGCTGGCGCCGCAGTTGCTCTGGGAAAAGGCGGTACACAGCTAGTTCTAGGAGGAAAGTAGGGAGTAAAGCGGTGGCCTGGTCGAGTTGGAAGGGTGGTGCAAACCTGCCGTATCTGCGTATGCGGGTGCGGAGGTGTGTGATTGAATCTGCGTCAGATAATGTGGACCTGCCGGGGTTTGCTTCGAAGTGCTTATCCAGTGGTTTCTTGACTTGTTTTTCCGCATTGATGACGTATCGGAGTTGGTGGAGTAACGTGCATGTTATCATGAAGTTTGTGGCGATGAGATCGTTTTCGGAGGCATTGTAGGTGAGCATTTCATCGTACAGTGTGAGAAAGGGTTCGGGTTTTAGGGATGTTATGGCGGAATGCTCCAAGGCTACCATGTGGGGAAGCCAGTCGAGAATATCCAATCTCTTGGTGTGCTTTTGGACCTTGAAGATCCAGGCGTCAGATTTTTTCGTGGAGGATTTGATGCATTTTTCGGCTGCGAAGGCTAGGCGGATTATCTCGGACAGCGAGGTTGATGTTAGAATGGGGTTGTCGTCTTCGATTAGTATCACATTATCGTGGAATCCCCATTTGGAGAGGGGAGAGTAGTTTAGATCGCGTTTTGCAATTTGCTGGAAGACTAGACGGTCGCTACATGCTTTGCGTAGCTGGTGGTTGACACTCAGTAAATTAAGGGCTGAAGAGCAGGGCAATGAAGAAGCAATTTGCTGCAAGAGCTCAGTGGGAAGAGACAGTAATCCGGGCATTTTACAGACAGAAAGGGAGCGGATGCTTATCTCGAGCAGTGCAAGGGGTGATGAGGTTCAGCTGTTTAGCTAAGTATCATGCCACCGGTTCAATGGCAGGATGTTGGCTCACGTGACGATAACGATAAGAACGTCATAGATTAGGACTCTCGCACTCGTTCAGACAAGTGAGAGTACTTGCTTCGCCGTTAGCTCTCAGATAGTCAAGATAATGCTTGTAGGCCCCTTTTACCATTCTCCGAGGACGTAAGTTGGTGTTCTCGTGTTCCACAGCCCACATAGTTTGGGCTCAGATCAGTGATTCTGCAATCTGATTCAACCCCTGAGATCTCCTACCAGTCTACCGGCATTCGAATGAAGTCGGCTCGTCTGGATTACCATCAACATATACCAGATGTTTCGGCCACAAGCAGAGATTTGCTTTTCGTCCCTCTGATGTCTCTGCTGCAAGTGTTTCCGGGGCCACGCCATTCTCCACCCATCCGATGAGCGCTTTCAACCCATTACCAGGATACCATCCGAGTCCACCACCACAGTGATTTATACCCGGCGCCTCGAAGAACCGATAATAGTCACTCGCTTTTGGGTCGCGCTCATGAACCTCCTTGACGTAATGTGTCGTAGCATCAGGTGAAACATATTGGTCAGCAAGCCCCTGCCAATTAATCAGTTTTCCACCTGCTTTGCGGAAGCCGTCGAGATTCGTATCCGAGGTTCCGATTATCGAATCGTATAGGTTGACGGATTGATGGAGGAGCTCCTCGAAATAGGTCCTATTAATCTGTGCGGTATCGAATTCCCGATCAAGAGTAAGGAAATCTCTTATCCAGATTTCGGGTAAGAAGAATGGGACGCCAGTACATGTGTCGTTTTCACATGTCGTGTTAGCAAGGCCGCTAAAGGGAGCACCGATGTTGTCCGGGTACCACAGAAATTCGCCTTCGGATGTGGTTGCACCCTGCCAGATAAGACGAGCTACTGTAGCTACGGTTTCTGTGATTACTGTGCTCTTGTTTGACGATGGGCAAATATATTCCTTTCCTATGACAGTTGCTGGGTCAAAAGAGCACTCTTTGGGAAGAGAGATGATTCCATCTTCGAGGCCGTCGAGATTGTCGCATGATTGGATGGCAGCTGCATTAATGGCCTCCAGCTCACATGGGGTAGGGAAGCCTGAAAAGCATCAGCAAGGATCTCCTAATCTTTCGATGGGATACACACCATTCTCGTTCATGACCGCCTGTGGCCAAAAGAGCTGCAGCATCAACTGACTCCAATGGATTGCTGGTGCAGCCGCGAGAATACCATCGTATTGATCCGGATATCTCTGCGCCATCATGTGTCCTTGTCTTCCACCAGTAGAGCACCCATTCCAGTAACTGTAGCTTGGTGCTTTGCCATAGTACTTTTCCGTGACAGTTTTCCCAAGCGTCGCAGCATCATTCAATGTGATTGAAGAGAAATCTTGTAACAGGATCCAGTTGATGTTTCCAGGACTCACTAGCGACCACTCGGTATCTCCACCAGTATGTCCGCCGTCGGTTGCGACAACAGCAAAGCCCTCACTGGCTGCCCAAGGGAGCGTAGTATTAGTGTCTGGCCCTGTAGACCACCCACTGCCTCCGGCACCAAGAAATCGTCCGGTCCACTTCTCGGGGGTGGGCAGCCATACTGAAGTGTTGATGGTATCGTTGTAGCCAGGGTGGGTGTAGGTGATAGTTACTTCGCAGGCGTCCAGATCCGTCACATTGACCGAGTAATGATTCGCTTCTGCAGGAGCTTCGAACGAAAGACCGGCATGGAATTGTGTAACAATGTTGAGAATCTTGCCATTTGACAGCTTCACATCTTGGAAAGTAGATGCTTCACAGTTTGCTTCACCAATAGCCGGGTCGATAGAGAGAGCCAGGACAGCCAATAGCGAAGCGAGATGTCTTCTGCGTGCAAGGGCCATTGTTGAATAAAAGGTCTTCCTAAGAGAACGACCGAACGAACCTAGAATAGGCGATGGTGGTTCAAGTGTCGATTCTCCGACTTACTTATACTGCAATTCATCTGCAAAGCACGGTCGGTTGGGACATGTCAATCGAGCAACGATCCAGCTTTGTTGGATAGCAAGTAGTGCCAACATTTAATGAGCTGGAAGCCTTACATTTTAGATGTTTCCTGATAAAGCTATCCAAGTTCCAGTATCCAGGTAGGTATCGCATTAAAGTGGAGTGTTTTTGCATTACTGAGGAGGCTTGCCGCCTTAGAGGCGGCATCATGCTTACTCAACCAGTATGTGGGCAGGCCAACTCGTTTCGCAACCTATCAGAGGCGCTTTGGCGGAATATGAGGCTTCTCAGTAACAGTTAAGTAATCGCTTCTCTTTATGCTGGAACTGACTTTGTGGTCTTCCTCGGTGTTGTATAGGTGATAAACCAACTGGGTGGTTGGAGATGGTCACCGCGTTCCTTCCGCTTTATCGTCAATCTTTTACGGACAATCTCTGTGTCGTCACTTGTAGCTCAGCATCACTATAACGACATTAAAGTATCGCTTCCAGTTGCGCATGTGTATCCCGTAATCGATAGGATTCAAAGAGACAAGTAGCATAACTCGACCCTCTTTGGGGGCTGCGAACATAGCATGTGCGGTCTTTGCGTCAGGCCTATTTACGTCAGTTTCTACCTTTTCCGCACACAACATAAGACTTTCTGTACTCACACGATCAGAAATACCGCTGTATCCTAAGAAAAAGCAACAGTGTATTGAAGCCAGCAGTGATAGATGTCTGCCACTTGCTTACCCCACACCATCATGTGGGGCTACAACTACCCCGAGACCACCCCCGCACATCCGACACCTTTGTTCGGAAGAGTACCGTCCCACACTTGCAATTCAAATAACAGTAGTTCAGATAGCAATTGGGATTTACATTAACAGATAAAACTTTCAAAAAAATATACTATCTTCACTACAAACCAAAACTAGCCATGGACCCTGCAGAATTCGGCATCAGTACTCTTCCTCTGCAACATGTCCCTTACGGACCCATCCTCCCCGAAGCTCTCCAAGGCTCCAACTCCGGGAAAATTGCCCTCATAACAGGTGCAGGCCAGGGCATTGGCGCAGCCATTTCGGAATCCCTAGCAAAATCTGGCGCCAGCGTCGCCCTCCTTGACATCAACGTCGACAAGCTAGATCAAACCAAGAAGACATGTTTATCCTTTGGCGTCAAAGTAGAAGCATTCGGGTGCGATGTGCGGGATGAAAAGCGGTTGACAGAGGTTTTGGCCCAGGTGACGAAGCAACTGGGGCCGATTGATGTGTTGGTTAATAATGCCGGGATATTTGATCAACGGCCATTTATCATGAGTACGTTTGAGGATTTCTGGAAGCATATTGAGGTTAACTTCAAGGCTGTAAGTTTCACTCGATTCTTTTCTCTCTTTTGTTTTGAATTCTTATCATCTATTTGGATGAAACGGAAAACAAGAAAGGCAGACTTGGACTAATAGGAACACAACTAGCCTTTGATGCTCATCCACGCGGTTTTACCGCAAATGCGTGACCGCGGACACGGCTGCATTATCAATATCGCGTCGCGATCGGGAACCGTGGATGTGCCCATGACACTTGGATACGTGACTTCCAAAGCAGCACTCATTCGTGCGACGCATACGCTGCAGAAAGAGATGGAGCTGGAAAAATTGGATCCTGCAATTCACATGTATGCGCTTCATCCAGGTGGTGTGCGAGGCAACATGGGTGGAGGTAAGTCGACATGCTTCCGTTCCAAGGCTCTCAGGGTACTAACACAATGAAGCTGGTGTTGCAGAGGATGTGAAGAAAAAGTATGATAAGAATGTCACGGATGAAGAGTTTTTCAAGCACCTTTTCAAAGATGACTCGTCGCTTTGCGGACAGACATGTGCGTGGCTAGCAAGCGGCCAAGGAAAGGAACTACGAGGACTGTTTTTGGGTAATGATTCTTATCTTTTTTCGCCGTCGAAGTGTAAAGGCTGACTTTGTCTAGATTGCCGACAGGACGTTTCGAAGTTACTAAGTATTGGACGCGAAACGTTGACGAAAGAGAAGCGGAACACATTGACTGTGAATTTTATTGATGGTTATTGTAATGAACCGTAGTGGAGGGAACTAATGATACGTCTCATTTAGTTGTCAAATCAGTTTTGTACCTCGACATGGACAAACAAAGAGGCGATGTAAAATGCATGTGACCTCTATTTTTGGTTCTGTGTTGCTGCAAAAGTTTCACGTCACGCCTTACTCACCTGTTCACCAGCGACCACAATAGTACTGTAACGGCTATTTTTAGCACCATTCTACATCAATGGATGAAACCAACTACGTCATTTCAAGAAAAAGTACCGAGCTGCAGTACCGTAACGGCCGGCAGTTAAGATTAAGCCGACAAAGCTTTTTGCAAGTAAGCATCGGTATCAGCTACTATGCTGGGGTACATCATTCAACGCACAGATCATCAGGGGAAGCTTTCCCGCACGGATGTATCATGTTCACTCTGCAAGACTGGAAAGAGGAAACGTCGGATGCATCTCTTGGACGTTCATAAATCATCATAAAAAGCTCCAAGCCTGACTGCTCTATTTTGATTGATCTTTTGCCTTCCTCTTAAAGACCTTACACTGATCTAGCTTCCCTTCCGCGTGCTTTTCCCCTCACCATGCAGCGCTACCCTCGAAGCGGCATGGCTTCCGCAATCCATACATACACAGAATTGGTGCAAAATCTACAGATGCATAATCACGCCACTGATTGGCGGGTCGTGATCCGCAATTTGTCCATTCAAGCAATACGAAAGATGCTTATTCGTTTCTTGTATCGTGTATATTAGTTGCACGAGAAGCATTGTACTTATACTAAAGCTTGTTTCAAAGACGTATACTCCTGCGCTGACTGACCCCTACTCTTTTGAGCGCGTAGTTTACGTCTTATTCGCGGCCCGATTACCACCAAATTAACAAAACTGCCCGATCAGTCGCAACGACTGGGGAACGAAATTAGGATGTGCTGATTGAATATCCCATAGACGTTAGAACCGTTTCGCTTAACATTTGGGTATGTATCCCGCTCTACTGGAACCGAAGTCTAGGCGTGCCCAATGCTAGGATACTCACGATCCCGCTATCTCAAACAGCCTCCCTCTTCTCTACGTACTCCGCACTCATTTCCTTGTTCTCTTCGGAGATTTTCGTCTGTTCATGCGTGGCAATTCTTTCATCGGCCTCGATAAATTCAATAGGACGATGTAGTTGGACGGCGAGCTTGTTACGATGAACGAAGATACCGGGCTTCGTTTCAAAGAAGCGATCAATGTCTTCCAAGGTCCGGTTAGCTGTCTCTGGGTAAAGGAAGTATGTGGTTGGGATGAAAGAGAAGCAAATAACGGCCCAAATGATCCAGAACTTGTACCCAAGGTTCTGGATGCCTGGCAGAGTAGCTTGTACAACGCCGTAGTTACAGATCCAGTTAGTGGCTTTTGTTTGTCAACTATTTGTTTAAAAGTTAGCCGGGAAGCTCAAACATACCCATGGCGAGCGATGCGCCTTTTGTTCGCATTTCGAGTGCATTGATCCTATAGGCCATGTCAGCTTACGTTTTTGACAGTGTGAAACAGAACTTACTCCGTAGGGTACAGCCACGGAACACCTAGAACACCCATACCGAAGCTCGCGAAGAACACGAAGAAGAATGAAACAGCGACTATTCCAAGCTTGTATGAGTCTCCGCCAGCTTCTGTTTGTCCCTGGGATGCCGCTATGACGATCCAGCAGATGGAGCATGCGCCCGCGGAAACCATCATGACCTTCCGGCGCCCGTACCGCTCAATGACAAAGTATGCCAAACAAGCGAAGATTAGGTAATCTACCGAACCTGCTGCGGCCAGGATACGCGACAGCAATTCTGAGATGCCTAGAGCATTGATGAAAATGTAACTCATGTAATACGAGGTTACGTTGATTCCGCTGATTTGGTTCATTGCTTGCATGTACGCCCCCAAGAGCATGCGTCGTAACACACCACTCGGGCCTTTTCCGGTGAGCAGCTGGATCCAGGTGTATGTATTCACGTGCTCGCGATCTAGAATGTCTTTGATAATATTGTACTGAGTAATAACAGAAGCTGACTCGGGTGTGGCGCCGTGGCCCTCAAGTGCCGCAAGAACTTCTAGTGCTTCTTGGTGCTTGCCTTTTCGGATGAGGAGACGCGGCGAGTCTGGCAGAAATGGGCACATGGCAAAGATACAGAGGGTGAAAAAGAGTTGAAAGGCAAGTGGGAAGCGCCACGCGATGTCTCGTGGAGCAAAAGAGAAGCCGAGAGTGAGCCAGTTTGAAATACTAAATCCGGTGATGCAGTTGGCTTTGCACATGGTCAGTCACTTTGTGTGATAGGTAAAAGCCTCAGAAACATACCCATCTGAATGATGACAAGCTTTCCTCGGCTGTTCATCTTACTCGTTTCAGCTTGCCATACACCAGCAGTTGCAGTGTTCATTCCGGTGCCAAGGCCAGCAACAATACGACCAACCATCATGCTCGCGACAGTCCAGCTACATGTTTGAATGATTGCTCCGATTCCTATAATCGCCGAACCAAGCAAAATTTGTCGTGGTCGGCCGAGAATGTCGCCTGTCCATACGGTGCTCATCGCACCAATGAAGCAGCCGATATTATAGATGGACGTCATCGTCCCCTGCATGTCCGCGGAGGGGTGGCCGAAAGTTTGAAGGAAGTTTTCTGAGATGATGACATTGCCAAAGACGCCTTGGTCGTACCCGTAGAACCTAATTAAAATAAGCAGTCAGGTACGAAGTGATCTGTAGGTTTAGCTTACACTAGCACTGTACTGGCAGCGATTGAGATCCATACAGTTAATCGCTCACCCGAGCCCCCTAGGTATTTGCGTGCCATGGCGGTCGATTAAGACGAGACTCAGCAACTATCTTATAATTTCCGAGATAGACTAGATAGTATTGTAGAGAAGATGGACATTGGATCAATCGGATTCATCCAGTGTCGATAAGTGCCCCGCTCCACTGGCTCTGTACGAAGTGCTAACACCGTACGATAAGCTGACGGCGACTTGCACCACTTTATAAACGCGCCAAGAACAGAGGCTCGGAGTACACACCGCTTATCATTATCCCTTGAGAGAAAGCTTGTGGAGTTGTTGGAGTATCTGATTGCTTCAAACTCCACACTCTTCCCCAGAACCGAAGCGTAAACCCCATGGCCTAGCGAGCAATGACCCACTTTGTCCACGTGCCCGGGCCCTGGGGGACGATCACGGCGTTTCTGCCGACTGAGATACGGGAAAGCATATGCACAACAGTCAACGATGACGATGTAGTCGTGGTAGAGTTGTATGTACGGGACCGTTGGAGTGCGGAATACCAAGTTGAGTAAAGCGAGCCAGAAAAACGGACATGGATCACGGCAGGTTTGACGAGACGCGGGGTAACCAAGGCAGTAGGCCGAGTGTGGAGTTGCCCCTTGCTAAGCTTCTTCTTAACCGTCACTAGCCTCCGCACTTATGGGGCTCTGAGGATCCCCAAATTATTCCGCGGAAAAAAGATGTTGCGCCATCACTCTGTTTGGCCATCCTCTCCCTGCACAATTAGAGCACAAAGCGCAAGGACTACCTGACCGAGCAGTCATTCCGACGTGCAGCCAGTATCATGCGTCAGCCACCGGCAAATCATGGCTGACCAGTCTCCTGTTTCATCAAGGAAATTGGACGAACATGTAGTATGTATAAATAGTAGAGAACGGCCATGAGGAGGATACGCTACCTCGCAACGAGCACACTCACTTGCTACGGCCCTCAACATGATTTGGACCAATTCATTTCTTCTCTCCCTCGCGGGTGCTTCCCATGTGGCAGCCCAGTCGTTCCAGCAAACACCTGTGATGGGCTGGAACTCATACAACCAAATGTCGTGTAGCCCCAACGCCCAGAAAATCACCACGACCATCAACACTCTTGCCAGCCGTGGATTTATTGCTGCAGGCTACAAGTTTTTCCAGATCGATTGCGGATGGGCTTCGAGGGATGGACAGCGAAACTCGACCAACGGTGCCTTGAAAGTGGATTTGACGGCCTTCCCTAACGGACTCCAGCCACTGGCCGACCTGGCAAGATCCAAGGGAATGAAGTGGACCATGTACTCAGACGCAGGCGTGAGGATGTGTGACCCTCAGTCACCAAGTCCAGTTTTGGGTTCTCTGGGTCATGAGGCCGCGGATGCTGCCTTTTTCAAATCGCTTGGTACTGAATACGTCAAGTGTATGTGTTTCCAAAACACCCACTACAAAAACAACAGAAAGCTGACAGTCACGTAGACGACAACTGCTATGCAGATGGACCTAACGCTAGTCAAAACGCCCCAAAGAATGCCAGGACCGACTTTGTTACTCGCATGGGCGCCATGTGGAACGAGCTGCAGAAGGTTGGCATTCCCGGAATGTTGATCTGCCAATGGGGTGTCCCCTACTCTACATCCGCTGGTCTAGAGGGACCTGATGAGTGGACCAAGGGCATCTCTACCTCCTTCCGTCTGTCAGACGACATCACTTCGGGCTGGGCTTCGATGTACCGCATCTACAACCAAGCCATCCATATCGCCAAATCTGGCAACGTAGGCCCAGGACACATTGCCGATGCCGATTTACTAGAGGTTGGCAATTCTGCCATGTCTTTCGACGAGCAAGCCACACATTTTGCTGCATGGGCTATGCTAAAGTCTGCGCTGATGATCTCAACTGATGTTGTGGCATTGTCGAACGAATTGGTCGCTGTCCTCCAGAACAAAGATCTCATCGCCATCAACCAGGATTCGGCTGTCAAGCCAGTTACCCTCCGCCAACGATGGACCGGCGACCGCGATCTCTGGGCAGGAGATCTCGCAAACGGAGACATGGCCGTCTTGGCTGTGGATCTCAGCAACACTGGCCGCACCCTCACCGTGCAGCTGGCCGATCTGGGTATCGCCTCTGCGACCATCAAGGACATCTGGGCCGGCACCACCACCACCGGCTCATCCTTCTCAAAACAAATCAAGGCTCACGGATCTGTCCCACTCCGCCTATCGAACATCCAACGTTCAACAGCCGCCCAGCCACAATACAACTACGTCTCCGTATCTACCGGCTCTCTCTCCTCTGGCGCAAACACCTCGCCTTGCTCGGGCTGCACGTCCTCCAACAAGGTCGGCAATATTGGCGGCTCAAACGGCGGCCGCGTCACGCTCTCTAACATCCGCACTTCCAAGGCCACACAAACCGTACGCTTTGACTACATCAACGGAAACGTCGACTATATGGGCGGAACCAACGAGCGCGTTGCATCAATCAGTGTCAACGGCGGTGCAGCAAAGACTGTCAGCTTCCCGCTAACAGGCTACAACTGGAACGTAGACGTTAGCAAGAATTACGGCGTCGAACTGTCGGGATTCAGCACTACTGGTCCCAATACGATTACCATTGCCGGTGTTGGAAGTGCAGCTGGTCCTGACTTTGACAGGATTGGTGTCGTGGCTTAGGCTGCGCTGGTCACCTGAGAGTTGATGTACATAGGGTTTTTTTCTGCTGCAATTGGCGGCTTGCTATGGAGGTTTTCTACACAGTATATATTTTTCACCGTACATATGAATATTCATCACTATCGCTCCCTTGCAAAACTCACATTGAAGTGGACAACTTGTATGTGACACAAACAACCTTCTGTCTTTGTGAAACTCATCAATAATCAACATGACTTTAAGCCCATGAATTCTATACAAATTTCGCCATTTCAGGCTTCGTCTCACTTCTCTCTCCACCACCAACACCCTGCTGCTCCGGAGCCCACGCCGGATCCTCTCGACTCGTAATAACCTCATGCACACTTAGCCTCTGCTCCACAATCTCCCTGCCATTAACAAGATCATTCTCATCCGCCCTCCGTGCCGCTTCCTCGTCATTCCGCGCAATGCCCGCCTTAACATGGCGATGAATCAAGCGCTTGCGCGCGACTTCGAAATCCACATGGACAAACCACAGCTCGTCCATCAGCTCCGCAGCATCGCGCCAAGGCGACCTGTCAAGCGCACAGTAGTTGCCCTCGAAAACTACGATGCGGACAGACGGTGCAATGGCAATGTCGTTCTCAACAGGGTCTTTGAGCGCGTGGTCGAAGCTCGGGGCGTACAGCGTTGCCGTCTCAGGGCAGATGGGCTCGCGCAGCTTCTTGACGAGAGAGAAGAAGGAGTCGCCGTCGAAAGTGAAGGCTGCGCCGCGCCGCGCGTGGGCGCTGTGCGGATCGGGCATTGCGTCGAGCTGGATGCGGGAGAGGTGGAAGCCGTCCATTGGGATGAAGGCGGAGATGGGGTTGCTGTTTGCCGTGCCTGGAGATTGCTGGGCATGTTTCTCGTTGAGTTTGGCGGATACCATGGTTGCTAATGTGGTTTTTCCTTGGGATTTTTGGTTAGATTGGGAGAGGGCGTTTTGGGGTGCGTGTGCGTACGTACCGGATCCGGGGATTCCTGAGACGGCGATCAATAGGCGTTTGGATGCTGGGATATCTTGGTACTTCTCTGGATAGCTGTTAGAATCCAGTTTCAAATGGAAAGGCTGGTACCAGGTACCCCAGATCTTATTCACCAGGCGCTCTACTTGCTCGTTCATGTTGCCGATGTCTAGTACGTATATAGTAGTGTTGGGTTAATGGTGTACAATGCAAATGCAATTTGTTCTACAGGATCTTTGTTCGCTGCTATTCTAGGGTCGATCCGAATCATGAGCCTATCAATGTGGGAAGTCTGCGCTTTTCATCTTGTGCAATGCGTGCCAACATGCAGATTGTGGGGGTCTCGGCATGGTGGTGGATCTATGTCGGATCTGCTGACGTCGCGCGGGGGGAAGAGCGGCTGTTTACCGGGGTGAGACTCTACCCCAGCTCTAGATATTGCATCATCACGGTCGGACCGATACACACTCTACAGGCACGTATGGTGTGGAACGAAAAGAACATGCTCTTGCGAGTGGTTGATGAGTGGCTATCGGGGATGCGGAACATGGCGATCATGGACGGGCAATCATTGAATTCGTTGCTTCTGTATGGTTCAATACCCTGCCACGGCAATCCCCAAGATCCGGACATGGTGAGCAAAGCGTATTATGTGTCTTATCGTATGTAATTGATCTGCGACCGAAGTTGATTCCTGGCGAAGGATGCGTTCCACTGAGCGATGGCGTCACTCCTGCTCCACAAGAGGGTGCTTTGGCCAATCATCAAAGACATGGCTTGAGGACAGTTGTGGCTGGGCATTCACGCCCCCAAAAGCCATTGAATTGCAGAGCAGCCACCGGTGACTAGATACGTGGGAAGAAGATGATCTGAAGTGTTGTACTATTCCAATCCGGCCATTACGCTCCCATTCATTTGGCTGAACGCGTTAGTACGCGTTGATACGCGTCAACTTACAACATGCTTCCCTGGGCTCTCCTCGCCCTCGTACTGGCTAGCGTTTCACCAACATCCGCTGTCGATGAAAACCCCTCTACGAATACTCAGTCGCTGCTATGGGGCCCCTACCGGCCGAATATCTATCTGGGGCTCCGTCCCCGGGTACCCAAAAGTGTCATTGCAGGTTTAATGTGGGCGAGACTAGAGGACGTTAGGACCAGTAAGTCGAGGTTGACGTGGGTCAATTGCAATGCTGACAAGGTGTGCAGCACTCCGGCATAATGTGAATCAAAGCGAAGACATAGCCCGATATGGTTGGACTGCATACGACACACGAGAGGGTGGCCAGCAAGTCATAGAAGATGTTGATAATAAGGTCAACATCACGACAGAATTCATCAAGTATTCGGAGGGGCAACACCAGGGCAATTGGGGCTTGAGGATTAAAGGAATGCCGAGATTTGATGCGCCTCCTGAATTGAAGACGACTGTCATCTTCTACCTGGGCATTGAAGAGAAAGAAGCTTGTACCCATTGCAGGTTAGACGCTCGCCAACAGCTTGGAGAGGGCGAGGATACATCTATCCATGCTGTGAACATGAACCTTGTTCACCCAAAACTAGGCGCCTCGCGAATACACATTCCCATTCCCATCAACAGCGATGGACACCGTGAGATAGTGTTCGTCAAGTCGCTAAATGTGACAGAGGACCGATTGTGGCAGGCCAAATGTACGTACTCGACATATCAGACTTTCTTCGACCTGTTACCATGACCCACCATCTTGATGTGGACAGCTGACTGATCATTCTGCCTCCAAGAAGCCACTTTCCTGGATACTCTAAAAGACCAAACAAAGGACCAAAAGGAACCCGAACCGACCGATATTGTGATTCACAACGCACCAGGTGCAGGCAACCTACATTTTGTGCAAATGGTTCTTCATGGAGAGTTTGAGGTAAGTCGTCTCTACGACATAAAACCATGGGCTACACTGAATTCTTGTAGTTTGACATTCTCTATTCCACCGAAACAGCAAAGCGTACCATGACCTGTGAGTTTGATCTTACATGCTGGGCATCAACATCGACTGCAAAACTAATACTTTCCAGCTGCGAGTCTCACCACAGACCTAGAGAAAGCTATGCAAACGTTTAGCAAGAACTTCCTTTCAGTCTTCAATCCAACGCCACCTTTTAAGACCTTTGAGCATCTGAGTTTCTCCAAAAGCGTCTTCTCTGATCTACTGGGCGGCCTGGGATATTTCACTGGTAGCTCCAAAGTCGTCACAGCGAAAAAGGCCATCTACGCTGAGACCACGGCTAACTTCTGGGAAAAGTCCGCAGATGCGAACAAACACACAACGCCAGAGACAAAAGGTCCATATGAACTTCTCACGCATACGCCATCTCGTGCAACATTTCCACGAGGCTCTCTATTTGACGAAGGCTTCCATCTCCTTATCGTACTCGAATGGGATGCAGATCTTGCGCTGGAGGTGATGCGTGACTGGCTCTTCCTAATGGACGACGACGGCTGGATCGCACGAGAGCAAATTCTAGGCTCCGAAGCCTCAGCCTCTACAACCCCAGAATCCATCAATCAATTCCCACACATTGCCAGCCCCCCAACCATGTATCTGGTCATTTCGAAATTCGTAAAGATGCTCAGAGGCACAATCAAGTACCACGGCCGTCCCTCCGTCTACCTGTCCAAACCCGAAACCGGCAAAGCCCTCGTTATAAAAATGCAATCCCTCCTCAAACGCCACTACGAATGGTTCCGAAAATCGCAGTCAGGAGACGTAGAAGCCCACTCCATCCCCTCGGCCAACCTAAACGAAGGCTACCGCTGGCGCGCCCGAACCCCAGGCAAGAACATGGCCAGCGGCCTATCCGACTACCCACGCGCCGAACCCCCAGACCTCACCGAGCTGCACCTCGACGCCCTCTGCTGGGTCGGCGTCATGGGCCGCACCCTCGAGCAAATCGCCTTCTTCACGGAAAACGCCCACGACGCATTCACGTACCAAAAGCACGTGCGCAGCATAAAAGGCAACATCGACACTCTACACTGGGACGCCTCCACCTCGCTCTACTGCGACTCCGTCGTCCGCAGCGCCAAACACACCCTGACCTGCCACAAAGGCTACCTCTCCCTCTTCCCCTTCCTAACCGGCCTCCTCGACCCGTCCCACCCCCACCTCCCCGCCGTCCTCGATTTTCTGCGCGATCCCACCCATCTCTGGAGCCAACAGGGTATCCGCAGCCTCAGCCCGCAGGACCCGGCGTACGCTACGGAGGAAAACTACGCTCGCTCTTCTATCTGGGTCAACTTTAACTACCTCCTTCTAGACCAGCTCTTGCGTCTCGCCCAAACAAAAGGTCCAGAGCAGGCTCGTGCCCGCGACACGTATACCTCGCTACGCAAAAATGTAGTCAAAACCGTGTTCAAGGCATACCGTGACACGGGCTTCGTCTGGGAACAGTATGATTCTGCGAGCGGAAAGGGCGTGCGTGCGCAGGGGGGCACGGGGTGCTCGGCGCTCGTCGTGCTGATGATGAGAATGCCGGATTTGGAGTCGCTGCAGGGGGTTGGCGGCCAGGTTAAGGGCTATGTGGAGGAGGTTAGGAAACAGGCGGTTAGCAACCCGAGGGTGGATTCGGAGGGTGTAGTGCTGGTGTTGGGCGTCATGGTGTTTGTGTATGTGACTAGGAGGAGGTTTGTGGGGACGTTGAGGGGGTTGAGGAGGAATTGAGCGGGTGGGGGGTTGTGGATGGTGAGGTGGTGGTGGTGGGTTAGAGTGGATTGCGGTTTAAGTGGGTGATGGAGGTTCCGGTTCCTTTGTGGTTTGCTGTTCATTGCCATCAGGAAGTTAGTATCTATTCAGATGGGTGTATGTACGAAAATTTAATTTTTTTTTATCTGGTCTGCTGGTGTATTATACCAAATTCGCTTGTCACATCTGATCATGAAGGCAACTTCATCTTCATTTTCCAGTGACTAGAGATGATTTTCCATGCATTTATTCTCTACATGAGCTAGTCTTCCATATCCATCCATCTTACTCAGCCTTCTGCAATATTGATATCCTTTGGAGAATGCATTCCTCTAGAATGGTCATCGAACTTGCTCACACCTGCTCTATATGCCTTCCTATCCTTGTGAGACCCACAATCTTGAACTACCATGGCCTTGGTGTTGCCACTGAGCCCAGATTTCAAGGCACTTCCCATCGTTCCCTGACCGAGAACAACATTCTCAAATCTTGCGCTCAACAACCACGCGTTTCCATGTCATGCGAATATTTCTGGTGTTATCGAAGCCATGCCATGTAACAACTCCGCCAGATCCAACGAGCCGGACTGCCAGCTTCTCTGCTTCATTCACAAACTGTTCATTTGGACTTCCCTTCTGAATCCCATCGTAGACCAAGACGTTGATCGCGACTTTTCGAAACTTTCCCTCCCAATACGGAGTCCAGGCTGCTAAGAAGCCCATCCGCTCGTCGTATATCCAAGAAGACGCCTCGATACTATTCTTGGTCAAGCAAATCCAACGCAACTCTAGATAGATATTCTTTACATGCAGCTGCTTCAAAGCGTTCAGAAAGTCATTGTTAATCTGGCAATACCACCTCCTATCTGTTCGCCATGGGGACCACAGATAACTCTCCGGATGACTGAGCAAAATGTTACGAATGCCATTGTTGGAGATAACAAGTGGGTTGGGCATTGCATCCATCGCTCGCTCCGGCCGTTCAGTCTTTTCCATTAAACTTAAAGTGTGCGTTCGTACAATGAATTCTATGACTTCGTGCAACATCTGTTTGCAAGTCAACATCCATAATGGAAGGCCTCTGGTGCGCTGTAGGGAAGATGTTCTCCCGCGGAGCATAGGGTATAGGGCACAAAGGAGCGTCATGGTTTTCCATCGGAACTTCATCACACTTTTGTCGAAGACGAAGGTGTAGATTTGATCGCGAATCTCGTGGGGCAGCTTGAGAAACGTATTCTGGGGCTCGACAAGCGTGGAGGCAGCGGTGTTTCGAGAGGCTTCAGCGAGCAATCTACGCTTCGCTGCCCGGGTGGTGACCATGTTTCAATGAGTTGTTCTTATCAACTTTGTTGGTGCAGTGTTGGCTGTTGAGAAGAGGTTGTAGTGGAGGTGGGTGGGTTGAAGTGAGAAAGTACCAGAGTGAACTTTTGGTACCTTGAAATACCCCAAGGGAATGGCCATGGTAGGTCCAGCCCTTGGATCTACGTCATGAGACAGGTAGAGAGGCCTCTTTTCACTCTCCTCTGCTGGGATCCACCGTGCCTGGAACCTCAAATCCTGCGCTAAAGGCGAGCCCTGGAGAAAGCGTGAACGGCCTAGATGATTTCATTCGGCACAGCACACAGCGAGGACGGCTATGCGTGAAATGCAAGAGACTGGGAGTTCCACCTAGGGATCAGTCAGTAGGTAGGTAAAATCAATTCGCCCTCCAACTCGGAGCAGTAGCATTGCAGACGAAGAGCAACATAACAAAGCTTTTGTTTGTGAGTCGCTATGCGTGATGGGCACCATGACAAGTATGACATGTGAAACGTCGAGCTGTATTGACAGCAGTGTAGCAGTGGTGGGAGGAGGTCGGTCCTCTAGTTCGCGGATGAGACGCGTAAGTTGCGGTGAGTCCACCGCTTCCTAAAAGATTGAGAAGGCGTACTATTCAGTGACGTCAACTCTAGTACAGTTCAAGTTACAACAATAGCACAACGCATCCTTTAAAGAAGTCGGCATTTTCCTGAATCGTCAAATTTGATTGCAACGACCCTGGCAGCAAGCGACGGCAAACACCTCTACTGAGGGAGCAATAATCATGAAAAGATGCAAGTGCAAGTGCCAAGAAGATAGACACTGGATGAATGAGACGTGTCTGTAATCATATTGCTATGATATCTTCTACTCTGATAGGCGTACACACCCAAAGCCCTATCGCGAAGCTTGAGAAAAACTTCAAAATCCACCCTGAGACAAGCTCCAGAGTTCCCCCCTTGTTCATCCACCAATAGTCAAACGTACTGCTACATAAGAAGTGAAGATTGCTTCCATGCACCAGAGTTTGTGACTTGTAGAAACTGTTGGCCGTCGGGCGCTGTGGTTTCGAAAACAATAGCCTCGGCTGACATGGAAGGCTGTCCCGAACTCCGTGTCCAATTCCACAAAAAAGAGAATAGACCAGGTCATTTGAGGGTGCGTAAAGATACATTTTGGGCACCGTCATCCAAAGTTGCGCCAAATGAGTGCAAAGAAATGGGGGAGTGCGCAAGGTTCTGACTTTGCGGAAGCCCAATTATGCCTTGACAGGGCCACCCTGTGCGTCCTGGGAAATTTCGTTCTCAAACTCCGAAGCCGAGGTTTCCCGGTTCAGGCTCGTCTCGCGGTGCAAAAATGTGTGTTCCTTGACGGGGCTGCTGGCCAAATCGCCCTGCGAGGCAGCAGCGCTGTTGCCATTGCTGCTGACGGAGCCATTTTGGCCAATGGGTGTGGAGGGGGCGATGTGCGGGATCTTCTCGGGATTGGGGTGCTCGCGACCGACTTGTGTGACGCCGACGTCACTAGCTTTTCCGGCTTTGGAGAGGGCGTAGTCGCCACTGTCAAAGTACTTGCGCTCCTGTGGATAGTTGTTAGACAAAAATTGGAGAATGGCATGTCTGCGCTAGTAATTGACGCACCTTGAGCTTGTTCTGGAGAAGGTCCTTCTTGTTGGGTAGCTTGCCGTACAGGCGGAAGAGCTTGGCTTCCTGCTCTGTCAGTTTCTATTCCTGCAGTGTTAGCCGTGGCCGTTTGCGAAAAAGAGGTATGCAAGGATTGCTGTGACGTACGCTAACATCGACCTTGTTCTGCTGGTGCGGGTTCATGGTGGCGGTATTGAGAGTTGTGTTGTTGTGGTGCCGTGAATTGCAGGCGATGATGACGATGTTGTCGTCGTCGTCGGGAGGGGCAAGTGCTTGGGAGAGATGCAGACAGAGGATGATATGAGCTCTTTATGGCGCCACAGCAAGGGATGGGCAGGCGCAAGTTACTTTATAGCACAGAGGGGAGCTGCTGGGTTGGGTTGGGTTGGGTTGGCCAAATTGGGCGAGTACTGTCGACTGCGATGTGACAGGGACAGGGCGAAGCCTGGTGTGATTGCACGCCCTGACGATTGGGTGTCGAGACGAAGCTCGGACTTGGCTCGTTCGTGTGCTGCTTGCTGCCCACTGCCTGACAACGCACAACGGTCAGCGTGCTATGACTCGTCTGGTCTAGATTTATGGCAGCTGCAACGGCAGTGCCTGGACGATGGGGGTGGTGGTGATGGTAGCAGCGGCAGTGGAAGTGGTGGTGGAGATGGACTGCCCCTCTATCCAGCAGCCGACTATGCGATAAGCCTTAGTCGCCCGAGGTGCCGAATGCGGGACGGTGCGCGTAGTCAATCGAGCAAAGAGACGACGAGCAGTAGACACGGTGGCAAGAGACGGGTGGAATGCAAGTCACGGAGCAAGAGGAAAAGTGCCGAACAGGCGCGATTTATGGACAACGGCGGGCGGCGGGCGGTGGGCGTTGTGGTAGATGGGTGGGTTTAACGTTGGAGAGGCCAAGCCGAGGAGGGGTAGATGCAGCAGATGTGTATGTAGGCGTAGGCAATGCAGTGGGCCGGGTCCAGCGAGTTCCAAGGGGCGTGGCTGGACGAGACGGGCTAATTGATGCAGCAGGCACAAAGCAATTCAGGGAAAAGAAGCCGTTGCCGCGACACCACGCTGCCTCGTCACTTAATTGCTCTCTGCCCTAGCCCACCAGCCCTCGTGCGGCGTGCGGGTGCGAGCCACACGACGGATTGCCCCAGCCCTTACCTCACCGAGCACCCGCACAACGTCACCCGCCCCTGAGACGGCTGGATCGAGGTGCCGTCGTCGACTCGCCTTGCCCTCGGTCTCCTTCTGTCACGTCTATCATGGCAGTGGTGTGCTTTTGGTTGGCACCGCGCGACAAATGCTTCCCCCCGCATGTAATGGTGCATCCTGACTCTGCGCCGATAGGCTGCTCCGCTCTGCTAGTCTCGCCATCTATCAAATCTTGATGGTCACCCTCCCACCACCATGCAATCCGGCTAGCCAAGTGCTGGCGCAGGCCTCCGAATCTTACCCTCCGATCCGAACCCAAAGCAATCGTCGCTGAGCCGTCGAGCCAGACAAGCTCTGCCCCGCCCGAGGCCGTCCTTTTTTCGCTTAGCACATGCTGTGAAATTCCACGCCAGAAAACCACTGTAATACTCAGCCCACAGTCTTTTCCCAAACTCCCTCCAATCACAGGCAGAATGGCGAGCACTGGCAAGACTTTTGTAGTAGAGCATCTCGACCCGGAACTCGAGGAATGGTCGTCCTTGGAATACTCGGCCATTGCAGCAGAGTCCCACGCTTCGGGCGCTCAGTTCTTGCTCTCTTCCGTCCCGACTTCTTTGACCTTGCCTGCCAACCTCCAGGGCGCCAAGGGCCTCCAAGTTGAGACTAGGGGGATCGAAGAGATATATGCCGACAAGAAGGACAAAGTATGCTTGCTCGACCCAGCGGCGTCCAAGGACCTGAGCCCAGAAGACGGTGACACTTTTGACATTTTTCTCTTCGGCGGTATCCTGGGTAAGCACACGTGATGCCTTCAACCACCGTTCGTCCGAGTATCCATGAGCTGACGCTGCCTAGGAGACGATCCACCTAGAGGTGTGTGATGCTGCAAACGCTGGGCAGTGTACCCTCATTAGCTAACAGCCTGTATGTAGACCGCACTTCAGAGCTGCGCAAGAAGGGATATCAAGGCCGTCGTCTAGGTCCCGTACAGATGACAACCGACACTGCAGTCCGTGTGACTAGGATCTGCGTCCAGGACAAGGGTACGTCATCCATGCTCGTCACAGATGCTAGTTTTGGTGGATGTGAGATGCTCATGAAACACAGTACCCGTCGACCAGATCCCATACATAGACCACCCAGATCTGAAGATCAACAAGAACGAGAGCACACAGATGCCGTTTCGCTATGTCAAGGGCAGCGATGGACAGCCTATTATGCCCGAGGTACGCATTGCCGCACATGCAACGTTTCGGAGGCAGGATGGATGGCGCTGACCAGATCATCAGGGCATGCGTGATCTGATCGTCAAAGACTCGGCCAAAAGCCTCAACGATCTCTTCTAGACAGCATAGGACCGAGCCTCAGGCCCAGCCTCGAAGCCGCAGCCGGGTCCGGGGCTGGCGGCACGGGAAACATCCATGCGCCACTGTGGCACGCAGTCTTCGACGACAATCGACACGTACCGCTTCCGGGAATGTTTGTTAGCATTAATAACAGCACTCTGAGTCCTTCATAGGCTCCGTGGTGTAGCGCTGGTTGGTGGCTCGAGAGCTCGCAGCCGGAACCTGGGGAGACGGGCCGATTAGAGGGCGACGATGCTCCAGAACCCTTTCCACATGTCCGTGGCAAGGTAGTACTAGTAAGTCAAGTAGCATGGAGTCGACAGCCAGGGCAATCACAAAGTAGTAGTCGCCTCGATAGTGCAAAAGAAGCCTTTGCCGTGAGCTTCCATGTTGCGAAACCCTCGGATTGCGGGATGGAAGCTGCATGTTTCTGTAACAGGCAACACGAGCGCGGAGACGCGTGTTCCAATGTCAGTGAACCCAGGCTTGGTGCGAGCCTGAGGCCAAAAGAAGAGGGTGATACGTGGTTGAAGCAAGTGTAACTGCCCAGGCGTATCAGATGCAGCTTGCACTGCGTGTCTTTTCGAGACACGGAATTGGAGAGAGCCGGAGAGGGAGGCGCTGTGATTGGCTGGCTTACGCTAAGGAACCACGGCCGATGCGCCAAAGCAGTGCTCCATAGCCATGTTCATATCCCTACTCGTACCGTGCTGTATTCTTGACCACTTATTTTTTTTTCTCTGTCGCTCCGCCTAGACCAGCGGTCGAAAAATCCCTTCTTTTGTTGCTTTGCTTTGCTTTTGCTCTTGCGTAGACTGTCTCGCGTATCTGAATATTGCCGCCGTCGAGGCCTGGACTGCCCCCCCCTAGTATTGGACCCGATTGACAGGGACCCCGTCAGCCGCCCAGTAGCCACCTATTCTACATTCTTCATATCCGGACTGTGCTACAGCCCCAACAACCACACACCCGACTGTACAATATCTGTGGGCACATTCCATCCACGCACTGCTCACGCTTCCCCGCTCCCACCCCATATCCTCCCGTCGGCCCATGAGGTAGTCGCAGCGCGCACCGCAACCTCCGCGGCCTTCCCTCCCGACACGCACACGCACACGCGGCCCCAGTCATGGCCTCCTCACATCCACCGTCGCGATGGCGAACAGCCTTGCTCGGCGGCCTCATCGCCACCGTATCATGGCTGCCCAGCATAATGGCAGCAGAAAAGACACAGGCTGACTACTTTGTGCGCAAACTCCCGGGTGCGCCAGAGCCGCTATTGAAGATGCACGCAGGGTAAGCACGCCGGCGATGGGCAGAACCATGGCCAGTCTAACCATGCTACAGGCACATTGAAGTAGACCCGCAAAACAACGGACACCTCTTCTTCTGGCACTACGAGAACCGCCACATCTCCGACAAGCAACGCACAGTACTATGGCTGAACGGCGGCCCCGGCTGTTCCTCCCTGGACGGCGCTCTGATGGAAGTCGGTCCCTACAGAGTCCGCGAGGGCGGCCAGCTCGAATACAACAATGGCTCTTGGGACGAGTTTGCCAACCTGCTATTCGTAGACCAGCCCGTAGGCACAGGCTTCAGCTACGTGAACACGGATAGCTACCTCAGCGAACTCGACCAAATGGCGGAACATATGATTACCTTCCTCGACAAATTCTTCACCCTTTTCCCCGAATACGAGAACGATGATGTGAGTAAAGGAAACGTGGTCACACGGTGCTGTTTACTAACGCCTGACAGTTATACATTGCCGGTGAATCGTATGCCGGACAGCACATTCCTTATATTGCCCGCGCCATCCTCAAGCGAAACAAGATCAACGCCGCCAAAAACCCATGGCCACTCAAGGGTCTCTTGATTGGAAATGGCTGGATTTCGCCAGTTGACCAATACCTCTCATACATCCCTTTTGCCTACCAGAATGGCCTCATGCAGAGCGGCACAGATTCAGCCAAGCGCATCGAAAGCCAGCTGAAAATCTGCACGGAACAACTCAGTGATGGTGGCATGGACAGAGTGGATACACCAGAGTGTGAGCAAATCATGGTCAGGATTCTGGAAGAGACCAAGAACACAAAGGCAGATGAGATGAACCAGTGCATCAACATGTACGACATTCGCCTGCGCGACGACTCATCTTGTGGAATGAACTGGCCTCCGGATCTTTACCAGGTTACCCCCTATCTCCGCCGACCTGATGTCATCCAAGCACTTCACATTAACCCCGATAAAAAGACGGGCTGGCAGGAGTGCAACGGTGCTGTCTCTGGCCACTTCCGTGCTAGGAAGAGTGATCCCTCTGTCAAGTTCCTGCCTGAGATTATTGAGCAGGTGCCCGTTCTGCTGTTTTCGGGTGACAAGGATTTGATCTGCAACCATGTCGGCACCGAGGCTATGATTCAGAACCTCAAGTGGAACGGCGGAAAGGGCTTTGAGGCTTCTCCGGGCGTTCAGAACGCCAAGTCAGATTGGATGTTCGAAGGAGAGCCCGCCGGAACCTGGCAGGAGGCGCGCAACCTAACCTACGTCGTCTTCTACAACTCAAGTCACATGGTGCCATTCGACTACCCACGACGCACTCGAGACATGCTTGATCGCTTCATGGGCGTCAACATTGAACAAATTGGCGGTGCTCCTGCCAACAGCCTCATCAATGGTGAAAAGGGACCCCTGACGAGCGTCGGTGATCATCCCAACTCCACAAAGGCCGAAGAAGACAAGAGCAAGGAGCTCAAAGCAGCAGAATGGAAAGCCTACAAGCGCTCGGGAGAGACTGCCCTTGTTGTCACTGTCATTGTCGCATGTCTCTGCGCATTCTTCCTCTGGCGCAGTCGTCGCAAGAACGCTGAATATAAAGGTGTTGATGGCAGTGACGAAGGCCGCGAGTCCCTGCTTACCGGCATGGGCCTCGACAACTTCCGACGACGAGACCGGAGCCGTGATGTTGAGGCGGCGGACTTTGACGAGAACGAACTCGACGATCTGAATGGCGCGAAGAAGAATAAGCTTTCAGGTAATGGCTATGCTTCTGAGAAGGGTCGCAGACCTACCAACGACTCGTCCTTCTCCTTGGGCGCTGATAGCGATGACGACGATGAGGCGGGTTCCAGCGATGCTGGCAGGAGAAAAGAGGCGTCTCGTTGAGTCAATTGCAAGGGAGCAGGTGTGCTCAGTATATGTGTTGCTGCAGGGACGTAAAATAGACTTTTTGTGCTCCTTAGCAAATGCTGCATTATAGGCGTTTTGGTTTTACCGTATAGTTGAGCTTATGGAGGTATATATACGCCTTGGCAATGTATTTCAGGGTATCTTTACATGTACCACAAGTAAACAATTTTTTTTGGATATCTTCCCTCTTTTATGTAAACATTTGGCAGGATTCTCTAAGGTCTGGTTAAACTAGATTGAATCGAAGACTGAGAAGGATTAGCTTAGCTTGTTTGAAAGTGCTTATCGTGCTCTGGGTTTCGTTTCCATGTTCGCAAGGAAGGAATTTTCAAGAACCGTTCTTGTTTCAAAGATCGAAGCTTGCATATATCATGGATATATTTGTCTTCGTTTCTTATCTGATCTTACCAATGACGTAGTACCGATTGACTTCTCACCTATATCACAGAGGAATTATGCTGACCAAGAACGCTTTGCTTACTGTATCAAGAATATTGGAAAACAAAAATACACACACGGTGGATATGCAAGTAGACGTATCTGCAAAACATACCACTTAAAATATACATGTATTCAACACTGTGACATCCCATATTCCCAGCCCCTAGACTATCTACCCCATATCTTTCGCTCTTATATGTCGTTGTCGTTCCGAAAAGCCGCGGCTCCATTCCGAAAAACCATGAGTTCCCCACCAGCCACGCCCTACCGTACACGTACATAGACCGCACGCAAAACGCGCCCTTGGATGTACATTATCAGCCAAATCGAGTCTAATCAAAACATCACCTGAGAAAAGAGATTGAAATATAAAAAAAAAACACCCAAAAATCCACCTTTGTTAGCTCCCCCTCCCCATCCTTACAACCCGAGGTCCCCCCCCAACTCCCCTCTTGTATACTTCCCCCATAAACCGCATCCACCCGCATCTTGCCCCACTCTGCTTTCCAATCCACCCCTCCTCCTCCTTCTCCGACATCGCGCCCAAGACGGCCTCTCCAATCCAATCCGACCTGCCAAACAAAACAACAGGACCATACATGCACCACCACCTCCTCCGTCGCACCTATCTTCAGTCCTCCTCCGCACAAAGTCTTCTCACCCGCAGCCTACTCCCACCGGCGTTCCACTGCCGTAACTTGTCCGCACACCAACGCACCATGAGTTCCACATCGCAGCAGCCGCTCCAGGAATGGCTCGTCATCGTGCCAGACCACAAGGGCGCGCTGAGCAAGCGCGTTGCGGCGCGGCCCAAGCATCTGGAAGGGATAAAGGCGGATAGAGAGGATATGTGGCTTTGGGGTGGTATGTTTTTTTTTATCTTCTTGTTTCCGCACACCCCCCCCCCCTCGTCGGCTTCACCCTTTCTCTCTCTCTTTGTTTTGTTATCTTGTTAAAGGCTGCGAGGGTTATTGTGCTGACGCAACAATAATGTTATAGGTGCTATGCTCGAAGAACCAATCCAACCGGGTGACACGAACCCGCCCAAGATGAAGGGCTCGGCCTGCTTGGTTGCTGCGGCGACGCGCGAGGAGGTTATAGAGAGGGTGAAGAAGGATGTCTATGTTGAAGAAGGGGTGTGGAATTTGGATGAGGTGCAGATTATTCCGTTTAAGAGTGCGCTGAGGAAGGCGCTGTAAGAGGTAGAGGGGGCAGCAAGTTGGATAGAGAATTCATGCAAAAACTGATGAAATAAGCATACTCATTTTTATATAAAAAAAATCGTCTGTTTACTGCATTTAACTAGAGCGCAGTGGTAACATAACTGGACCTAACTCATAAACTCATTTCCTCCCATGCCTACATGGCGAGCATCTCCAATCGTAAAAATAGCGAACCTCAAACAAAACATGATATGAGCAATACAAACCGAGTGCTACGCACATCTATCCCCAACCATGACCAGTATCCAAACAACCACCCCTTAACCACTGCACATAACGCAGGCCTCAGGGTTCTCTATTGAGCAAGCAAGGACAGCATCGGCATAAATGTCACCATCGCGGGCTGCGCTATCGTCTTTGGAATCTTCTTCTTGCTTGGCCTTGCTTGAAAGCTCCTCATCCTGCTTGCCGACAGCATCAGCAGCAACCATCTTCGGGCTATCGCCCTCATCGACATCGGCCTTGAAAGGCTTGCTGGCCAGGGCATTCTTGCTCTCTGGGGCAACATCTGCCTTTGCAACACCATTTTCGCCGTTGGTACTTTCCTCAGACTTGGTGGCATACATCGGTCGTGGGGCTGCTGGTGATGAAACACCAGAGCTACGGATTGCCTCCGGCACGAAGCCTGGTTGCTTTCGCACCTTTGGTAGAGCACGGGCAACGTTGGTGTCTGCAACCTTGAGAGCCTCTTGGTCGACAGTGAATTGAATTGGAGCAGAGGCGGCCATGGTGCGGAGGTAGTACATGCCAGTCTTGAGACCAAGCTTCCATCCAGCGAAGTGCATCGAGGTGATCTTGCCCATGGTTGGTTCCTTCATGTGAATGTTCAGTGATTGCGACTGATCAATGAAAGCACCACGGTCAGCAGCCATCTGAATAATGGTTCGCTGCGAGATTTCCCAAACGGTCTTGTAGAGCGTCTTGGTCTCCTCGGGGATGTTGGGGATCCTTGCGATGGAACCACCCTCGGCAATAATGCGGTTCTTCATGTTCTCGGACCACAGACCCATGTCGACGAGGTCCTTGAGCAGCCATGGGTTAACAACCTGGAACTCACCCGCGAGCACACGGCGAGAGTAGATGTTGGAGGTGTACGGCTCGAAGCACTCGTTGTTTCCGAGAATCTGGGAGGTAGAGGCAGTTGGCATGGGGGCGATGAGCAAAGAGTTGCGTACGCCATGCTGAGCAATCTTGGCCTTCAGCTCTGCCCAGTCCCAAAGGTCAGTGGGGGTGACGTTCCACATGTCGTACTGGAGGATTCCCTGAGAGACGGGAGATCCCTCGTATGTCTCATATGGACCAAGCTCCTTAGCAATGTCGCAGGAAGAAGTGAGAGCAGCGTGATAGATGGTCTCGAAGATCTGGATGTTGAGCTTCTTGGCCTCTGCCGACTCAAAGGGCAGGCGCAATGCGAGGAAAGCATCGGCCAGACCTTGCACACCCATACCGATAGGTCGGTGACGGAAGTTGCTGCGGCGTGCCTCCTCGACGGGGTAGTGGTTGACTTCAATGATCTTGTTCAAGTTGCGGGTGACAACCTGGGTGACCTCGTGAAGCTTCTGGAAGTCAAACTCGCCACGCTTGTAGTCAACAAAGGAAGGCAGAGCAAGAGAAGCCAGGTTGCAAACAGCAACCTCATCGGGAGCAGTGTACTCGACAATCTCCGTGCACAGGTTGGAGCTACGGATAGTACCCAAGTTCTTCTGGTTGCTCTTACGGTTGCAAGCATCCTTGTAGAGCATGAAGGGGTTACCGGTTTCGGTCTGGGCTTCAAGGATGGCATACCACAGCTTCTGGGCGCGGACAGTCTCGCGGCCCTTGTTCTGCTTCTCGTAGCTCTCATACAGAGCCTCAAATTCATCACCGTAGACATCAGCAAGGCCGGGGCACTCGTTGGGGCACATCAGAGTCCACTCGCCGTTCTCCTGGACACGCTTCATGAACAGATCGGGGATCCACAGAGCGTAGAACAGATCACGTGCACGAACCTCCTCCTTGCCGTGGTTCTTACGGAGATCAAGGAAGCCAAAGACATCAGCGTGCCATGGCTCAAGGTAAATGGCAAAAGCACCGGGACGCTTGTTGCCACCCTGGTCGACGTAGCGGGCAGTGTTGTTGTACACACGGAGCATAGGAATGAGACCGTTTGATGTTCCGTTGGTGCCACCAATGTATGAGCCAGTAGCACGAATTCGGTGGACGTTAAGACCAATACCGCCAGCGGTCTTGGAGATCAAAGCACAAGTCTTGAGTGTGTCGTAGATACCGTCAATGCTGTCCTCCTTCATATCAATGAGGAAGCAAGAAGACATCTGGGGCGAGGGAGTGCCTGCGTTGAACAGCGTCGGCGAGGCGTGTGTGAAGTACTTTTGTGACATGTAGTCATAGGTCTCAATGGCCTTCTCAATGTCCTCGCCGTGAATGCCAACAGCGACACGCATGAGCATGTGCTGTGGACGCTCAGCAACCTTGCCATCTATGCGGAGGAGGTATGAACGCTCAAGCGTCTTGAAGCCAAAGAATTGGTAGTTGAAGTCTCGGTCGTATACTATAGCCGAGTTGAGCTCCTCTGCATGATCCTGGATAACCTTGTACACAGAATCTGAGATCATAGGCTGGTGCTTGCCATTCTTTGGGTTGACATAGTTGTAGAGATCCGCCACGACTGCAGAGAATTGCTTCTTTGTCTGCTTGTGAAGATTTGAGACGGCGATACGGGCTGCAAGGATAGCGTAATCGGGATGTGTGGTGGTCATGTAGGCTGCTGTCTCGGCGGCCTATTGTGTGTCAGGGATGATGAGGGGCATGAGGCACGTTCACAGGCCTACCAAGTCATCCAGTTGGGTCGTGTTGACACCCTGGTAGACACCAGAGATGACCTTCATTGTGATGGCGGCGGGGTCGACATGGTCGGGATCAAGGCCATAACATAGCCTCGACACACGAGCTGTGATCTTGTCGAACTGCACGCGTTCCTTACGTCCGTCTGAATGCAATTGTTAGCATGGGGAGAAAGTTTGCAGCCAGGAGAATCGGAGGCGGTGAAGACAAGTTGGTGCATACCACGCTTGAAGACGAACATGTTGAATTAGAAAAGTCCTACGACTAAAGGGTATCTGGTACTGGTGTATATGAAAGGAGGGTTGAGTATGAAGAAGAGCGTGCAGACCAGGAGGGGTGAGTGGGTGCAGGGACTTATAACGCGCTGCGAGGGTCTGAAAGAAACGCGTCGCGTTGCTTAGGTCACGGATTAGTGTTAAGTGCTTGCATAATCCAGCGATAGTAGACGCAGGGGTGGGGTCGGGTAAACGCCGGCTGGCCGCCCGAACTTTTCGTGGGCTGGAGGTGTTGCATACTGCGACAGCATCCACGCCCTGCACACCCTCCCTCCCACGACCTAGTCGGCCCAATTGCCCGTCATGGCGGGCGGTCATATGAAATATCGCCATCTCAGCCGGTCGTCGGCGCATCGCCAGGCGCTCCTGCGAAACCTCGTCACATCGCTCTTCAAGCACGAAACCATTGCGACAACATGGCACAAGGCAAAGGAAGCCCAGCGGTTAGCCGAGAAGCTCGTCACACTTGGAAAGAAAAACACAGAGGCTACGAGGCGGAGAGCGACGCAAATCTTCTATGTAGGGATGGCCGGGAGCGGCAATGGCAATGGCATACTGACAGGCGTCAGGAACCGAACGAGATGGTGCCCAAGTTATTTGGCCCCATAAGAGAAAGATATGCAAACAGACCGGGTGGTTACACGCGTGTCCTTCGAATTGAGCCCCTCAAAGAAGATCAGGCCGAATCCGCTATCCTCGAACTCGTTGATGGACCAAGAGACATGCGCTTCGCTCTGACAGCAAAGACGCTAGCACGGAGGCCCGCAAAGCTGGGTCTGAGCCCAGGACTTACGACACACGTCAAGAAGGTCACTCAATTCCGTGAAGGAGGCGTCGAGAGCCTGCGTGAAATGGTGGAGAGGTTGCGGATAGAGCAAAAGGAGGGCATAGACGAAAGGATATTACCGCCACCACGAAAGGTATATCCCGAAGACAAGATGAAGCGAAATATGCATTACTTTGAGGATGTCGACTACTACAAGCCAGCAAACCCGGTGAAGCGACGGGGTGCTAGGAAAGAGCAAGCAAAGCAGGAGCTGATAGAGGATGTTGTGGTGGAAGAGCAGGCAGCTGCCCCAGAGACCAAGAAGGAAGTGTCATGAGGGTTCAGCAGCAGCCTATGTATAACTTATGAATGTGCAATATTGCCTCGATATGGAGGTCACATTTAACAGAGCAGCTGAGTAGGCCCATGAGTTTGGTTGGATATACGGAGTGAAACTGCTCCTAGACTCGCAACGCATCAGTGAATACGCCGTTTTGAAAATCCACAACTGTCGCCTTTTCCACGACTGCACTAGCAGCCTCTTTGAAGGCCCTGTGGGCTGGATCTTCATTCACGTAGTAGTCGCGATCTTCAACGGAGTGGAACTGCAAGACGAAAGCGTGACTGACGCCATTCTAACAAAGTAAGTGTCCGAGTGACCAACCTATTGTTGAGGGGGGCCGAGGTACCTGGAGATTTTCCGTCGAGATGTCCCTGCCGCCTGCGACTGACACAATGTACGGTCTCGTCGAACCTGGATGCACACACTCCTTGGCCAGTGCAAAGAAGCGGGAAGTGATCTATCAGCAACCAGACTTAGTAATGCCTTCACACATGCAGAGGCACTGTCATCACCTCCTTGATGGCAAACGCACTGGCGCCCTGCTTGAACTGGAACAGGACGAGATGCGTGGTGTAGGGTATAACGGGTGCATGGGGCCCAAAGAAAGACTCTGCCAGCGAGTGTCCCACGGTGCGCGAGAACAGCAGGAGACTAGTGCCGAGCAGCAGCAGCAGGACGAGGCCAACTGCCTTGTTTGTTATCAACATGGCCGCTGGGCGGTAGGAGCGCAGAGTGAGGGGGGCGAGGATATGCAGACTAGTAAGTGTCGTATGGATGGGACAAAGCAAGGAACGAGAGTCGCCAACGACGTGGACTGGCGCGGGATTCCATTGTGTTGTGGCCAGATGCCGCCAAAGGCAAGGTGGATGTTTGGGACACGGGGGCGAGGGGGCGAGGCGAGCGCTATGCCTGTTCCAAGGCATGCAGCCGCAATGTGCTTGGGGGTGGAAGCGCAGGCGGGCAGCGGGCAGAAGAGGAAAAGACGGGGTACGTGTGGGCCCTCAGCGCCTGTTCGTGCTGCCGGCCTGCTGCTGTCGGCCGGTTCCCCGCCTGTCGAGCGGTGACGTACATAGTACCTGATCGCCCGCATCCGCATCAACAACAAACCGCAGCATCTGCAACAATGCACCATGCACCGCACGCTCCACGCCCAGCCGTCGCTTTTCCGCGCCTTTCCCCCGAGCATGCTAAGCAAGTCCATTTCCTCGACTAAGCAGTGGCGCTCCAGTCCAGACCTGCGCAAAGTGGATGCGCCATGCGTCAATGGGCGACAGCGCGCGGGCTGGGGGCAGGTTCTGGGTCCAATTGCTCGCAATGAGTGGGGCCTTGGCAGATACGTCATGGGCATGTCAGCTGCAAGCATCGTGAATACAAAAAGAAGCCTGCGCTCCATGGCCGAGTGCCCTCCATCGACACTTCACTCCAATTGCCATACACAAAGACCCTCGACTTCAAACTCGCTTCATCAACACAATGGCCTCCCTCCACTGTAAGCGCTGCCTTGCGACTACTAATTGCATACGGAGCCATCCCCCTGGCATTGAGCATACCCATGGTGTCATGTCAGGTTGAATTGCAATGAGAACCCCTCACTGACTCCTTCTCCTTCGCAGACCTCCCTCCCGTTAAGCCTTCGGCCATTGCCCTCGGCACCGCCTTCAACCACGCCGTTTCTCTGGCAGTCCTCGGCCCCATCTTCGGTGATGCCTACCGCCGCGCCCAGCAAGCAAACTCCAAGGAGGAGTACTTCCACTCCAAGGAGGCTGCCACCGCCGCCGCTTCATGGGGAAGCTCCATCCTCGGCTCCAGTATCCAGGCCTACGGTGTTGGCGCTCTCATCAACGCTACCGGCACTCTGACCTACAAGGGAGCTGCCTACCTTGGTTCTTTGATCTTCTTTGCTTCTGCTGCCCCATCGGTAAGCCATCATGTGATACGGTGCCTGCGAGGACACATGGGCTAACATGCATGCAGATTGTCTCCCAAGTCGTCACTGAGAAGCGCCCCATGGACACAATTGCCATTGGTGCTGTTGCCCGCGTCCTCGAGACTGTTGGCCTCAGCATGTTCCTCACCTACTGGGGTACCCGTACCAACCCTTTTGACTAAGCGCCTCATAACATTCCCCGTAAAAAGGGCACAGGGTGTTTAGGGATTCTGCTACGTCTGCAGCTTGATTGGGCAGATTGGACGCAGATGATATGAGTTTTCTTAGCGGAAAGAAGCAGAAACTTAGCCTTTTCTCTATGATGTAATATAATACCATCAATGAACAATATAATGTCGCTCTATTTTTGTGCCTGACATGTCGTGATGTGGCGGAAAATTCGTGTGGTCATCTTACGCTAGTATCTTGTGCGAGAGATGAGTATGCACCTAGCCATAGCTCATGTAATACACAGCTTTATTAGTAAGTAACTAAAGATCTACTGCAATTCTATCCTTCAATCAATCCTTTAAGATGCCCTGAAGATAATCAAGTCTAGCAGTAGCATAGAGCTTTATTTTGATACAAGTGGTAAAAGTGTAAAGTAGGTAAGTACTTACTTGAGATGATTTTAGTGTAGAAGCGCTGATAAAACAGAGCTCTTGTCACAATATTTTGAACTGGAGGACAACCTTCGGGGATCCATCGGGTACCCCTCGGACCAGCGAAGCTACAGTCACGTGCATAGGGCACAGTCCCATCCGAACCTGAGGTAACTCCTCAAGGATTTGTCTTAATTCACTTTGACTGAGATATTTTGCGCCTATCTGCAAAATACCTCACGGCTCTAGCTAGTAGCGTCTAGACGTCTATTTTACTAAACAACATAAATCTACCTCTAACTATCTCTATTCTCTTTTAAATAGAGCACTGATCGCCTGCAGCTAGCTAGAAAATGAGATAGAACTGAGCATGCCCCCAGCTGGTCACATACTAGCATTGTGGCGTTTTACTAACATGGCAGATGTTAGCGATTTCATGTGATTCTCGTGCTACCTGGATGGTTTGGCGGTGCAAAACCCAGATCAAGGATCACAATACCTTACTCAGATTTGGATTATTCGATACGGCACAGCTTTTGCCTTTCTTTCCAAAGCTCTACTTACAAGCGCAGTCGTTGTAGCATACAAACAGCACATTTGGATCAACCTGCGGGCGCGAGCCAATACTATTTCTACCATTGACGCCATGTTTGCGGTCACATATGATATTCTAGCCTTTTTGAATCCAGGCCTGCTAGTAAAGGCAACGATTTCATCATTAATGGCATTTATAATCTGGTACCTATGCTCACTGCCGGGGTAGTTATACATCACTAGCTGTTTCCAGGTTTCTTCCGCTTGCAGCTTTGATTACACCATCAACACTGACAGTTGTCCCCTCTATGCGAGAGAACACGACCATGATGCATGTGACGACTCTCGATTTCAATGAATCCTCAATTTATACCTTCTCAGGATTTGGTGGCGGCTCCTCTCCCTTGTTGACTCGTCTCACATTTGCCACGGCGTCCAACATGCAAATTCTTCCCTTGCAAGCCATCGCTACAAACACAACGTACCGTCACGAGTTCCTGAGACCATCATTGAAATGCGAGCCCGCGACAGGACAGAGATTGGAGGACGTGGATGCCATTCACAATATAACTCTGAAGCGCTTCACAGGAAGCGGAGGCGGCCAAGTTATGTATTTGGCTTACACGAGGCAGGATACTCCTGGTAACAGTAGACCGATGCTCAACACAGAAGGGTTTGTAGCCGAATGTGTGATGTCGGATCGCCGTGGCGTCTCATGCGATAAAAGCAACGATCCAGCAATTTCGGCGCGAGTCGGCAAGGAATCCATTACATGCATACTATACGACACCCATTTTGACCTCGATTTTCGAGCCGTAGGCAACGTACAAACCCTTGCCGGGTTGCGGTTCGAGTGGCTTCAAAAGAGCAATGGGGAAAACGAATCATTCAAGGCAATCTTGCATGAACTATCAACAATGCTAAGTGGCACAATAGGCGCTTCCGCAAGCGGGCCTGTGGTCCACCAGTATGATAGCGGTACCTCTACCCTCGTCACTTTCCAAACAAAAGTCATGTCTACTGCTTTGATCGGTCTAGTATCTACTGCTTCCACTATGCAAGTCGGATCCCTTTTACATGATCTTCCCCAAGAAGATCGCGACTTAGCCGCGAACAGAACGCTTGGGGAAATGCTAGAAGAGCTATCGAGAAACCAAACGCTCAGTCTTTTCAACAGCAACCGGCTATGTTAAGTTCTTGAAAGCAGCTCCTCCCCATCAGAGATATCGATACGCATCTCTCTCTCTCTCTCTCTCTCTTTGCCATCTTTTTTCTGACACCAGACCCCCCCTTTCACCAGGCTTGCCCAAAACGCCACAAACACCACCCTTGTCACGCACTCTACCTGCGACACCATTTACGAACACCGCTCGCGGAACCTAGTCATGACGTACGCCATTGCCATTGCTTGCTCAGCCTTTGGCGTGCTACTCGGCTCACGCGCCCTATGGCTCAACGGCACCAGCCACGAAACAAGCTTCTCGTCCATCATGAGCACAACGCGCAACCAGTATCTGGACAAGCTGACGCTCGGGTACTCGCTCGGCGCGGCGCCGACGCCGCGTGCGGTGAGGAAGATTGAGTTGAGGTTTGGGGAGCTGAGGGGCGGGGTTGAGGCAAGGGCAAGGTCGAGGGCGGCGTTTGGGCTGGACGCGGATGTGGTTGAGCTGAGGAAAGGGGGCATGTGATTTATTGAGTCGCTAAGATGTGGAATTCGGTTTTATAGAAAGAAAGATGGATTAGATGTTTGCACTAGAGTGGCCTGTAGAGCTTTATAGAATCATGTCCAAGCTGGCTATAGAAGTGCTGGCACTTACTCTTGTCGCTGAGAACCCCGAATCTACATCTCAGCCGTTTCGACCGACAACGTCAAGGATTAAACCTACTCATGATGCTGTGTCAAGTAGGAAATTCATCTCAATGTTCTCCAATGAAGTAGCTAATTTGACAAGAAGCGAGATGGTTATTTTCCATCCAACACTGCGGATTGAAGTGTGCTTCACTTATTAGTCCCTCTTGTACTAGGTTTATCTGAAGGCACTCTAATATTTGTGCCTCTCGAAGAAATACTCTATATTTGCATAGACTATTTGAAATAGCTAGATATAAAGATTTCATGTTTGACATCAGGAGAGAATTCAGAATAAAGCAAAAAAATCAGGAAAACTTTTGTAGCAATAAAAGCTTAACACATTGTTAATAGAAAAGTAGGCAGCTAAAAAGAACATCGATGTAGTACTAAATCGAGCTTTGAAATTTTAAAGTAGATCTTTTGGGTTGAGAGAGATCTAGACTCTTCATCTTACGGATTCATTAGCATAGTAAAGAAATTCTAAAACCTTAAGAAAACCTGCTAAACTGCCTCTTCTTTTAGCTATAACAAGCGTAGATAAACTTCATCTCTTCCAATCCTTCCAAGCCTGCACAAAGCTCTTACCACTCCCACTGTGATCCCCCAATGCACATGCCGCTCTTTCCCCCAGGCCCACAAGCGGTACCATACTCGGCCTACCGTGTGCACACATAAAGGGAAATACACATTCCGCCAACTTCTCAACCAACTCCCTACACTCTGCAAGACTCAATTCATCATTGAACATGATTGCAGAGCGACACGCGCGAGAATTGATTAGATTAACGAGAGCAGCTGGACAACTCGACAACGCGCGAACCCAAGACTTATCTTCTTTTGTGGTATCCTCCTCCTCTTCTTTTTCGGGAAAAGAAGAAGGGGTGCTTGAAGGTGGAGGAGGAAGATGTCCCTCAGCATACCCCCAAACCGCAGATCTAAGCATCGAAATCAAAACCTTGGGATCCGTCACGCATCGTTGAGCAATCACAGGTGGGAGCGCAGTGACCAACAGTAGTGCTTCGCATTTTCTCTTCTTTTTCCGCGCGTCAAGCGACGCTTGGTTCGACGATGATAATGCTGATGCTGGTATGTCATACAAAATCCCCCAAGCAGCAAAACGCGCAGCGTGCGTTATGAAAAGAGCTTGTTCATGCGGTGACACCGCGAAACTGAGTGGTTTCTCGAGGGCAAGGGACGAGATGTCTGATTTATGGCCGAGTTGCGAGGAGGAGTAGGTGTGAAGCGAGGAGGGTGTGCAGAGTTGTTGGAAAAGGGATTCGACTTGGATGCGTTCGTCGGCGGCGTGTTGATCGATGAGGACGAGGATGTCGTTGCTTTGGGATGCGGGCTGCATCTTTACGAGGATGAATTTCCTGTCGACTTGAGAGATTACTTGGGCGGTTTGGAGGCCTGACTTGGAGAATTTGCTGGTGATGCTGGTGGTGTTTGTTTCAAAAGATATGTCCATGAGATGGGAGCAGCTGTGCATGACCTGGTTATGGTGATGGCTGAGTTTGTCTTGGTCGTTTGTGATTTGCTGGATACGCTGTTCGCTCGGCTTGAAGATGGGGTTTTCCCAGTTTTGGAGCATATTGTCCAACCAGGGCGTCGGTTTTGCTGTGGCTGTTGAGGCTCTACTTGGTAGACGAACTGACTTGCTTATCGGCCTTTGATCAAACCTGAACGTGTTTGGAGAGCGGTCTGTATTCGGTCGCGCTTGAACGTTTGACATGACACAACCTGTTCTGGAATTCAAAAGATGAGTTTTTCCAGTTGAAGGATCCGTCCAAAGTATGCTGTCATCATTCTCTTTTTCTTCAGCATTGAAAGTTTCGCCCATATTTGGAAGCACGTTTTGTGCCGTTGGTGCGCCAAATGCGCCTTGGGCAATAGGCTGCATGGCAAATGAGGCAAAAGGTTCATTTCCACCAGAACTCTGAACAGCGCTACGCGAATTGCGTTCATTGCCACTTTGGCTTCCTAGCTTGGGTCTGGTGGGTAGGCTATTGAAGAATTCTGACTTTCCGCTTTTGATGCGGGACCATGTTGCAAAAGCTTGATGGTGTTTTTTAAAGTTCTCATGTGAGTTCGAATCCTTCGAGCGCTTTCTCTTCCGAGTCCCTATGCATGCAGACTTATTCTCGGGCACCAACAACTCCCCCGTAGAAACAGATCTTGAAAGTGCCGATGAATCGCTCGCAGCAGTCACACTCGACAGACTCGAAGCTGTATCAGGTGGATCCCGTCTTTTGCGAGACTGGCGCGGTCGGAAATGGTGAACGACCAGCCATTGTGTTATCATTGCTTCCAAAACATCCATTATACTCTGCAAGTTCGCTTCATCTCCTATGATCTGATCTTCAGATATGGCTATCCCATTAGCTTCTGCCAGCGAAATTCGGAGGTGGAACATGGGATATCGATCAACATCCTTGCGCATCTTGAGCTGTCGGTTGGTGTAGCCATCTTTCTTGAAGCGTTTATCTGACTGCTGCCGCATCTTCTCATATGCATCGACAACTGCTTCTTCTACGGTACCAAAACTGGAGTGTGCAAAAAGACGATTCACATGGTCGAATAACTCATTATGTCTAGAATCTGAGGAAAGTGGCCGTATGCCGAGAGAAAGGAATTGCACATGTTTGCTGGGGGCTGGATCAAGGGATATGGCACCCTTGACAGAGACAGTAGAGGTCGAAGCCGACGCTGGCACCCAAGATGACCACTCATCAATACCGATGTAGTTCGCTTGAGTCAGGATGTTGAGTAGGGACGTCAGCTGTGCGGAACGGACCTTTCCTATGATTTGGTCTGTTCTAGCAGTTGTGTTGAGGTTGAGAATGGGTTTGTTGTCGCCGTCTCGAACACGCACGGATACAGTGCCTTGCCAACCAAGGAGAAGGCCTGCGATGTCATGTTTCAGCCCTTCGCACATCTTCTCATATTCTTCTTTCTGGGCCGCAATCAACGCGCGCTGTTTCACCCGCACTGGCATATTTCCGAACAGGTTTCGCACAGTGACACGGGTACCATGCCTGCCATGCACCTCGTGATGGGCTGACGCCGGCAACTGCCGCTCGACAACACTAGCGTGGTGGAAGGTGACGGCGTTCTGCGACCGATACTCATGATGATGCGAGGCAATGGTCAAGAGAGACATGGCAGCGAGTGAGGCGAGAAAGGTGCCATTTCGGCCAAGCAAAGGCTCCTTTGCATGGTATTTGGATGTACCTGGAGTGGTCAATATCTATGTAGCAAGACAGCGACCAGCACCAGGACGTACAATACAGTTTTCCTAGCCGTCCTTTGTCCGAGAATTCAAGGGGCGAGATGCCGAGTCCGTCGTCCTCGACGATGCAACCCCCACGCACAAAGTCAACAGTAGCCTCAACCCTGGTGGCCTTTGCATCCAGCGAATTCTTGACGAGCTCCAGCACTACGCCGGCCAGCGACACAATGGCGGCGGAGGACTTGATCTGAGCGACTGCATGGTCGGGCAGGGGCAATATGGTTTGACCTGAGGCGTCCGGCATGGCATGTCTGGAGGGCGTGGTGGTGGTGGTGATGGGGATCATGACGTAAGGCAGGCCTGGTGGTCGATGGCCTTGTTGGCTGTTGACCCGTGGCGGCTCATGTCCGGGGCCGCCTTGTGGACAGTGTAGGGGGCAAGGGAGGTTGGGCGGGGTGTTGTCATGACGATCTACATGCGATACGCAATCGAAGAGGCGTGAAGGACGGCAGGGCTGCTCAGTGCGGCGGGCGGCACTTGCGCTGGGGAAAGGGTCCAGCCAGCCGGAGATATCGAGTGCCTATTCCATTCCAATGCCTTTGCCCTTCCGCCCCCGACCGAGACAAACGCAGACCCAATCACGAGATATCAGACACGTTGCCCAGCCTCGTCAGCAGCAGACACGCCCAAAGCCAGCATATACTCGATATAGTATACTACACGCAAAAAAGAACACACGCCCTGCCGCTCTCGTTCCACGTGCTTCTACCTCGACTGCCGACACGGAGAGTCGCGTCCCGCGCAGGGCCAGCCCAACCAACGACTTCACTTTCTCACCACCCGCGCTCTACTATATTCGGCCGTGGACAGCATGGCGACGGCCGAAGCAGCGTCGAGGCCCCATGGTACGGTCGCCTAGCCCAGCACAGCCATTGCCCCTGGCTGCCTCATAAAACCACTTCCTCCCGCCCTGCATTGCTCACTTCTGCTCTGCTTGCCCTGTTTACGCCGCCCACCGACTGTGCCAGATATGCTGACCAAGACCAAAGATCGCCATACTACGCGCAAGCGCCCCTTTGCCGGCTGGATGAAGCGCCTCGCCAACCTCAAGCCCTCGTCGTCTGACGCCCCCGGCAAGAAGAGCACCACCACCAAAAAAGCCCTGGCCAAGAACAACCCCTACCCCCAGTCCGGCTACATCACCACTGGCACCAATGCGCCCGACGACAGCCTCTCCGTCTCCACCTCTGCCACCCCGCGCTCCAATGCCAGCTGTACGTCGGTCGAGGAGACAGCGGCAGAGCGGCCACAGCGCGTGGAGAAGAGCAACAAGTCCACCGCACCCACCGTTGCAACGCTCCCCGAGACACTCAACTCGACACGCTCAAAGGCTGAGACTGGTGGCAGTAACTTTGTTACCGGGGGCAGCACATTCTCCTCACCCCACGGCTCAGAGCACTCCCTCACCACCACCCTGACTACCATCCAATCCACCGCGCCCTCCAACGTCCTCAACATTGGCCATGCCCAGCACCAAAACAACGCAAACAACTCCCTCGCCACGCCCGTTCACTTCTCCCACCAGTTCCCCACCTCTCCTCCGCCCTCGGCCATACCCCCACATATGGCGGCCCAGCAGCAGCCCAATTCCTACCAAGGCGCCACCGCCAACAACATTCTGACCGACAACGCCTCGATCCTGACCCTGGCCTCCTCGTCGAAGCGCCGCCGTCGCAACTCTGTAGACACCAACGCCTCGATGCGCGCATTGGCACCCTCGTCACATTATGGTGGCAGTCGCGAGTCGCTCCCGCTTAGCGTCCTATCCGCCAACCCCGAAACCATCTACTCGCCCTCGAATCGTCCCAACAATGTCGGTGCGTTTGTCAACGCAGAGCGCGCAAGTGTATACTCGGCCTCTGGCGTTACCGCACCCGCCCTCTCCACCGACCGCAACAGCTACTATGCAAATAAACAGGCCGACGGCCTAAGCGTTCGCAGCGGACTCCTCGGCCACGGTCGCACTGATAGTATCAGCAGCATGCGCGCAACGCCCACGAGTCCCCTAGCCAGCCCCCGCGACCCTGTTGGCCCTGGTAGAATCAGTCGCAAGAGCTCCGAGTGGAAGGAGGCGAGGGAGGCAAGTGATGAGGATGAGGTTCCTGCGAGTCCGATTGTAGAGGAGCATGAGAAAAAGGCCAAGTCTCAGCCTAAGTCGGAGCCAAAGATTTGATTCTTTTTTTTTCTGGTCTTCGTTTCTACTAGTTATTTCTCTTTATATCATGTTTCGCGCCACTGACGACGCGATTCTTTCCCATTGCCCATATCAAGGTGGACACGGGGCGTTGTTGAGGTGCATGTCATGATATCCGGGGTTTCTCATTGCATTGGGATTGGGGCCGGCGTTTGCTTCTCTCTCTCTCTTTTTTTTACAATAAGAGGAATGGAGGGGACGGGGGCCATGACATGTGGCGGGTTTCGTCTCTGGTCTTTTTTTGTGCTTGTGTTTTGGTCTCTGCTTCTCTCATCTTATACCCTAGATTCGAATGAAGCTGTATTTTGGTGTTCTTTTCTTTTGTTTGCAACGATTACGCATGGTGTGGGTTGATATGGGTATAGCATGTAGGATAAGAATGAGATGCAATTGATGCTACAATGTGGATCTATTTCTCATTGCATTTTTTTTTGGAGCAAGTAACTTGATTGCTCTTTGACACTGCATTTCGTCCCAAAACGAGAGACAGAGAGAGAGAGAGGGCTTTGCAAGACTTCAAACAGGCACTGAGATGTTCCGGATATGCGCCACCCAGATTCAAACATGAAGACAAAAAAACACCTTCAAGGGACATGATGCCAAAAGCCATGGCGAGAAAATAACGCTAAATGCTATGCTAAGCCACGCCATGCTACCAACATATACGATTCCATTTCCCCCCAAATCATAGTCCTTATCCCATGATCCTCCTTCTCCTCCCACTATCAACGCTGACAGTATTGTCCGGCCCAATACTAATACTCAAACTGCTACTATCGTCTTCGCTCGGCGCCCGTCTCCTATCCCCCCTCCTATCAATAACCTGACTCTTGCTTCGCTCAGGCTGGATAACGAGCCACGTCGAGCCGCCACCATCGTGCTCCTGCTCCATAAGTTGGAGTTGCGGGCCGCCGCCGCCTCTGTCATCGCGCCGCCGGATCTCACGGTCTCGGTCTCGGTCACGATCGCGGTCGCCGCGTCTAATGTCTGCTTCGCTGTGCCCGCGGTCGCTGCGGCTGCGCTCCACGACAGGTTTTACGGCTTTCGGGGGCGCGGGGGGCGGGAATAGCGAGTGGAATTTTGCGGTTTTGATGGGTAGGGAAGTGAGGGATTGGGGGAGGGGGAGGGATTCGATCAGAGTGAGTTTTTCTAGGGGGATAGTGGTTAGGAGGGAGGCGGGCAGGTCGGCGGGGGAACAGGCGACGATTGCGTGGCGGAGATGGGTGTTCAGGGCGAAGAAGGAGAGGTTTTCTGGTGATCAAGTCAGTGGGTCTTACTTTAGACTGTGGTGGGAATACTACTAAACGTACCTCTGACTTTCCTTCCTGCTCCACCTTCTTTACCGACTCCAGTGTCGATCCAGTCGAAGCTCGTTATCCTTCCACAGAAGCCGGTGGAGAATGCACGAAGCTGGCCCAAGTTGCGCACCTTTTCAAGCCGTACGAGGTAGTTTGCCATGCCCTCGAGGTTGGCGTATACCCGCACAATGATGTCGAGCGAGTCTGCATCTTCAAAGAGTTCTCGTAGGTATTCTCGGATCCGGAGGTTGAGTTCGTCGGCCAGAGATTCGCCGCCTTGGGCTTTGCGAGTGATGTACTTGTCTTGGAACTACAAAATATTGTCACGTTACAAACCTGCAAACATGTTTTTTGGGGGGATACTAAGGGACTATGTACCAGAAAGCCCTCCGCATCGGCATCTATCAGGACAATGACGAACGGTCGCTTCGCTTGTTGCTGTACTAACGCTTCCTCTTTCGCCTTTGACTCGTCTATCTGCGCCTGCATCGTTCTCGTCGTCTCGGCAATCTCCGCTTGCAGTGTTCGTCTAACGTTCTGTTCAGACCCGAGATCCAGTTCGGTTTGCGCAAGGCGTTCTTCTGTCTTTTCCAGCTTGTCCAGCAGTTCCTGCGCTGACGGTGAGTATCCAGCGACAACCCCACAGCGCACACGACTGGAAGCGCTATGACCAAAGACAGCGAAGAGGTATACATACCTCAATAAGCTCACATCGCTTCTCCTCAAGAATCCTAAACTGGGTCAACCGCTCGCGAAACGTCATGGGCGGCGGGGGCGCGGGGCCAGCAACAACTAGTTCCGACATGGTTTACAGAAAGTAGCCAGATCTCTCACACACACAAAACTTCCAAGGGTAACCACGGCGGAGAGAAGTGACGCAAAAACCCCGGGGATTGTAATATTTAAGAAGACGCGTTGTTTTTGGGCACCCGCGCAGCGCTAAGCTGGGCTGCTACAGGCATTCCCTCACGGGTTCTGATGACCCCGCCGAATGGCAAAGATGGAGACGACCGACGTAGCGGGTCGTGATTGGCTACCGGAGTGGGGGTGCGTTGGGCTGAGACGCTGTCCTGGGGTTGGATAGTATCGTATGGAAACAGAGAGTAGAAAGACTCACCAAGTGGCGAGATGCTTTTTGGATCGTGGAACGGGCGCATGAGACATATACATATCATGCGGTTCGTGCCGCAGATGGGTCTTGTGAGGTGGTGGGGTCATGGGCGTCTATCGAGGAATTACATGTTGTGCATGACTTGCCCCGCCAACACATGACACTACACACACCAACGCTTATTTTATAGGCTGGTGGAACGACCAGATACTCTACGACTGGAGGATGGATTGGTCGAACAATCAGGAGAGTATGGGGGTTATCTCGATGAGGAAAGATATCGCGTGCATTGTGTGGCTGGCTTCATCTATTATCCCGAGTGCATGTTGTCATGCATTTGCTAGGATCCAAGTACTCATACGTAGGTGTACATGGAGTACCTCAGAACCATGCGTCATATTCTCACTCAATCGCTAGTACCTTTGCTTTTGTATTTGGCACACCGATAATCCGGTGATATTTTCTTAGCCTGAACCTTGGCAAGAGACGTGTCTCCAGAAACATGAGTATGATTGCGTGTGTGTTCAATATATACTGATGGTACTGGAGGATGTACCAGTGAGCAGCTGTGTGCAATTCCTTCAATGGCATCAGAATCAATTTTCAAGAGGAGGGGCATTGGACAACTGTTTGTTAACAAGAAATCAACAGGGCAACGTTTGCAGCGTACTTATCGGTAGATCTGGGAGATGATACGTACAAGTCTCGCCAAGGCGCCGAATCACGTGTTGTCAAATATGTATGTGATCGTCCCCTGCGCTTTCCAGACAACTTCACGTCACAGTTTCTTGTTTCATTGTATACAACATCAACATGTTCTTATCTTCAATCACGAAAGGGCTGACTGCATGGGGAAAAGTTTGAATAATTGAAATATGCAGCGATGAGCAAGGGAATCGATAATTACATGGTAACGCCAACACATCGCTTCTAGAACATTTACGGTACCCCGAAACCTTACAAACAAAAGGACGACATAAGAGCCTATGACTTCACCTTCTCCGAGTGCTCTTCGAGGATGAACTTCCACATGACTTCCGCAGCTGTCTTCGCACCGTCCATCGAGTTCAAAGTGTCCGCCAGAGCCCTAGCTTTGGTGCCGTAAGACGGGTTGTTTAGGACTGATAGTATTGTGGCACGAATGTTCTTCGCTTTCCAGTTGTGCTTTTGTACGCGGATACCAGCGCCGGCATTCATTGCGTTGTCCAGGTTCGTCTGCTGCTCGACCTGTAGCGCAACTCCTACAAGAGGCTTTCCGGCAGCCAAAGCGCATTGGACGGTTCCCTGTCCTCCATGCGTAACGATGAGATCAGCAAGTGCATTGGCAGCAGATGCTGGGATGAATCGGTCCGTCACCAACAGGCGTGGATCTCCATTAGCGACCTCGTTCGCCTTGTTAATGTCGCAGATTGATTTCGAAGCCAGGACAACCGCATTCCAGTTGTCATCAGGGTTCATGTTAAGGGCCTTGATTGCCTCGAACAAGAACTCTTCTGTACCAGAACTTCCCATGGTAACCAGAATGGATGGGCCGGGTCCCTTTGTTAGATGAGTTGCGATATCATCGTCTAACTTGGAGTCGTTTCGGGCGTACAGCGGACCCGTAAGAACAATGTTCTTGGGTATGCGATGGAGGTACTCTTGGTGGAAAATTGGATGATCATTGACCAGGTTGAGATCTGCCATGTTCATGTCAAAGAGCGAGATGGGTCCTGAGATGGGCCAGCCAGCGGCGGCAGCGGCTGCGCCCAAGCGCTTCTGCTGGAAAATGGGAGCCTTTGTCATCAAGCCACTTCCCCACCATGCTATACGTTGGCGGACTGGTCGAGGAAGGCGGGTGAAGAGCGGCATCATATCAGGAAGATCCCTGATCAGACCATGACAAAATGCTCCAGGGTGCAGAGGGACTGGCAGAAAGTTGATGGTGCGGATGCCGAGGAGTCGTGCAGCAATGGAAGCTGGAGCCCACATGCCATGGAACACAATGTCGGGCTTCAGTTCTTTGAAAGCAGCAAGCTGACCATCAATGAAGGACTTGGCAATCTCCTCCGAGCCAAAGAACTCAGGCCAGTCCCAACCAAGGTCGTGTGCTACCGAAATGCCTTTTACACGCGGCTGAGCAGCAACAATGTTAAAGCCGGCATCTGTAATCTGATACTCAAACCGGGCACCGCATGACAGAAAGTCGATTTTGAGGTCGACATCAGGGGGGCACATGTCTCGCAATGCGATGGCCATGGCAATCGCGCGTGTGGTGTCTCCAGCATCTTGCCATGCGACACTCAACACAATATGAACAGACCGAGACGCCATGGTGCCAAGCACGTGTGAAATCGCTACAAATGATATAAGAGGGGGGGATAAGGGGATGAGATGTTCGGGAGTCCAGCTTGAACAACAAGGGCTACCTCGAGGCAGTCCTTATACCAAGACTCAAGGTGCCTGTGCACACTCAATGTTCGCTTTTCCCCACGCACTGCGGATCTTACTCGTTTCTCCTCTATAATCTCCGACGCAGTAGCTCAGCGCAATAGCTGTTGACGTGGGAAAAGGTGGCACAATACCGGCTTCCTTTTGCGAGGCCGAGCTGATCAGTACCGCTTTGACATGCCAATCGGGCCCCTGCACCTTGACAGTCAGCTTGTAGTCTTGCTGGGGCCAACTCTATTGTTACCTCGATGTCTGCAGCCACACTGGGGAATGAGTGAGACACCTGCGGGGAACCGTGATTGCAATATGGATGCCTTGAACCCTTTAGGCCTTTGGTTGGAGCTTATTTCTGGCGCCGCTCCAGGCAACCCGTATGGTGGAAGCGCAACAGCCGCGACCGCCTTTCAGATTTACTGGTCAGGTGTAGCGAGTCGGAGCCTCGGCCAGCGAATGTCTATTTGCGGCAGGCGTCCCATGCCGGCGATCTCGTTCTGTGCTGCAGGAAGCAAATGAACAGTGCAGGTTACTTTTCTTGCTGCGATGTAATGATCCTCGTGAAGAGCCTCGAGGCTTGGTGTAGGCCAATCATACGCTTGGACTATGAAAACGACCCAACACGGCGGGTTCCGGTCTCCGATTGGCGAACTTTATTTCGGGGCTGCGACAATAGCCACCATTGCACACCAACATGGTGTGGTTGAATACGAAAAGTCGCTTACTCGGTGTTGACAGCGCAGCATGCATCACTCGCTCAGAGAGTTGACTGTTTGGGAGAACGGCACGGTGTCGTTGGCGTTGATCTGCGTGTAGATTTATCAAGCTTTGCCAAAGCTAGGCCTTGCTTGTTTCATTGCATCAAGCAGACGTGGCGCACTGAGCTGCATATCTTGGTGCTTGCGCTGACGGATCTACAGGTTCAACCGATTGCGATTGTGCGCTCGGGTATGATGCCGGAGCACTGGTGGAGTTGCAACGCAGCGTCCATTTCTGCATAGTGACATGTTTGTGTATCTTGACTCGGCTTGCGAAGAGCGAAAACAGATTGTTGCAGCACCCGATATCACGTGAGATGACCACATTTTTTCTTAGTTCTTGTACTACATTTGTTGGGGGAAACGTGGAACGCGATCCGGCATTTGCCGTGCACACGTAGAAATATATTGAAAAATAATCTAATCTTCTTCGGGATATCTAACTGAAGTTGGCATATTACACATTAAAGCCGCCCATTACTCTATTTAGGCGTTTTCAATTCACCCCGGAGATCAGGATTGACCTTGGCAGTCAAGTAAGACGAGAAATGGCCACTGGCTCGGAAGGTCTTTCTCCACGATGGAGCCGGTGGAGCAAGAGGAGCATCATCTTGTCCGTCAGTGGCGACCGAGTTCTTCAAAATACCACGAGGTGGCTGCGCTTGTGAATCTTGCTTTTCCACGTCTCCATTGGGTGCAGGCTTTTGTGGCGGGTCTTGCTTGTTTTTGACGCTGCGCCATTCCATACCCAGAGCCGCCGGCAAGGCAAAGCAAGCAATGATAAGCGCTGCGAAGAAAGTTCCCTTTGTCAGAGCGATATTGTAGGCTTCCAGCACTCTCACTTTGACGTCTTCGGGTACATTCTTGGTAATTTCTGTTGCTCCGGCACCAAGTACGCGTTGGGGTTCGAGGCCACCAATCTCCTTCAGGCCATCGGTGAACTTGCTGATGTACAGGTTTTGACCGACTGCTGTAAAGACTGCTCCACCCAATGTCTGGCACAGTGAAAGGATGGCTGTTCCGGTTGGAACATCTTGCTTACGCAAAACGGTTTGGACAGCGATGTTGGGATGCTGCATGGTACTCCCAACTCCAAAACCCACGAGAATCTGGTAGCCAATCCACATGCCGTTGCTGGTGTTCACATTCCATGTTGTGATAAGACCAACTCCAAGGGCCATGAGGACAGAACCAAAGATCATGAATGGAGTGTAGTAACCAAAACGCTGTACCAACCCACCTGACAGTATTGAGCCGACCACGACAGAAAGGACAAGTGGAATGGTGTTGATGCCAGACTGCATTGCTGACACGCCCTTGATTGCCTGGAACCAGAGAGGAATGTAAATCGAGACTGTAAGCATGGTTGCTCCAACGCAGAACTGGGACGCACCACCGCAGGCGACACTCTGTTGAAGAATGATGTGTGCGGGAATGGTAGCCGTGGTGTGGCGAGTAACGTATTGCCATGCAATAAAAGCGACAAGGAGCACGCTAAAAACGACGAGGAGAACAATGATCCTCGGCGACGACCAAGAGTACTCCGCCGCACCCCATTCCAGTGCGAGAAGTAGACAGGTGATGGATGGCAGAAAGAGCAGGGTACCAAGCGGATCCAGCTGTCGTACAATTTCTCCCAAACCCTTCAGCTTCTCCTTCTGCTCATCCAACTTGAGCATAAAAAATACAACCAAAATCGTAATGCCTCCGAGCGGCAGGTTGATCCAAAAGCACCATCTCCATGTTGCGGAACTTTGGGTGAATGCTCCACCGAGCAAGGGCCCAGCCACGGACGCAACGCCAAAGCACGCACCAAAGAGACCTTGAAGCATCGGCCGCTTCTCGAGCGGAACAGTGTTGAGCATGATAAGAATTGCGCCCGTGAAGATGCCACTGCTGCCCAGGCCCGCAATAGCGCGCCCAACAATGAGCATCGTGCTGCTCGTCGCAGCGCCGCAAACGACGCTGCCAATCTCAAATAAGAAAATACCAGATAGGAAAACAGTTTTTGTCGAAAAGAAGGTGTAGACTCGTCCATAGAGCAGGATGAAACCGGCAGCCGTAAGCATGTACGAACTGCCGTACCAGCCGATATCGTCTATGCTCTTGAAGTCGTTTGTGATGGCGGGAATAGCGGGTCCAATGATAGTTCTGTCGAGCGCGACAAGGAAAATGGCAATATACAAAGAAAACATAATAATAGCCGTCTTGGCTTTTGAAGGATAGGCTGGCGCGGGCGGGACGGTGCCGGCCATGTCGCTCTCGAACGTCGACCTCAGGTTGTCTGGTGGTGAGTCGTCCATTGCGTTTCGAAGGTTGCTCTTCGTACTCCGTCGCTTGTCGCGGGGAAAGATACCAGACTCGTCCGGCTCGTCGTCGAATTTGACGCTGTTTGGTCGCGAGTAGCTTGAGCGTCCGGACGGGTGTTGGGAGTCTAGTATGACGGGTACGTAGTAGCCTTCGCCAGATTGAGGTGACAAAGGAGAGGATGCCAGAGGCGACGTCGGGGGTTTTGGGGTTTTTGGCATCTCGTCGCTTAGTCCCATTCCGTTTGCTAATATTCCTTCTAGTGCCAACAATGTGCTTTCGCGTAGATAGGGTCGGATCTCTCGGAGATCCTCGCGTAGGTTCGAAGGCGTGTATGAGGTGGCTGTACCACGAGTCCGTGGGCGCGATCGTCTACTAAAATGTCGGTCGGTGCAATCTCGCTCTGTCAATTCTGAATATCTTGGTCCCCACTCGTGGGCTTGGATATGTGCTCTTGCAAAAGCCGTCTCACAGTTGTCGGAGAGATCGGCGATTAGACTTGCGATTAAATTCCGTTCATCTAGCGACATGACGCGGGACGATGCTGCATCCGTGAACGTAAACTCGCTTGATGTCCGGGCTGATACGGGGGCTGCCGGGCCAGGCCCCCTACGGAACAGCGGTACAATTGGCGGGAGCGCCGCCATTTGCCAGTGTCGATATTGATTCTTGCTTATCGGTTCTCGGTCAATGGGTGGGGGGTAGATGCGTTGGATGTGGCTGGCGCCGAAGCTCCGTGAATGCGGACCTCAGCTGTGGGCAACGCGTGCGTGTGCCTTGGGCGTACGTCTTGATATATGGACAAAGAGTTAGATTCTATCAAAAGTCCTTAAGGGATGAAGCACAGGAACGTGAGCATTTGAGTTTCATGGCATTGTGAAACTGAAATAAGAAGCAGGCGCACACTCCCGTCATCGTCCATGTTCCAAATCCCAAGGATGATTTCTGAGTCCGCAGCACACGAGGTGTACAAGGCCGAGGGCAGTAAGACGGCGAGTGTCACCGACGAATGCGATCATTATCTCCTACACCACTCAGATCAGCCAAAAGCATCGGTGTGCCGGTCCCAAAACCACCGATGTTCCACACCTTCACCTATGCGCCACACTCTTAGTCTTCCCGATCTGCTGCATTTAGTTATACCTATGAATAGCTCCGCCATCAATCCCTCGTTATATCACTTATGAGTAGTTGGTATTTTGATTACCCTGCATATAGGCAGTTCAGAGACATTCGTGTTCACGTAAGACTATGCAGGAATCAGCAGCGGGAATTGAGATGGGGAGCCGGGTGGCGCTGCCGATCATTTTTGGACTTCCGAAACAGAATCTGGGGGACGTGAGCAGCCGAGCCGTGCCTCTTTTTCGCTGACTCGATAGTCAGAGCAAGTGGAGCAGCGCTGGATCATGTCTCAGTGTTTTGGAATGGGGGTTGGGTGGTGGTGAAGAGAATGGTCGTCACAGAGGAGGTTGATTAGCGTACCGAGAACCGCCGTGAGCGGGACAGATTCTACACCCGAACTCGAATGTTATGGGTTTGTTTGCTTGTTGGGCCAGGAATGCGCTTTAGAGATTCTAGAACTGTAAAGGTTTGGGCTGAGTACGTTGAGATCGTTACCTAGGAAATGCAGGTTGCACGTGAAAGATCCATACACAAATGCCGCCTACAGAGCTGAGAGCATAACGTCAAGCAACTTTCTCCACAAGAGCACCGACTTCAACCTCATCACATCTACTTGCCATGATAGACTACTCTTTGGTGTGAATCAAAATTGAGGAGGCAAGTAGACAGGCTTTTCGGCACTTTTGGAGCCCACGTTCACAAGACGTGTTCTTCACGTGATTAACACTAGTTTTCTCGTTACCACGCACATCAATGAGCGTTGGATCCTCTTAACTTGGATCGATTCCGGAACAACTACGACTAGATTGCCGTATTATCCGCGCAGTTCTGGGTACTTACTTAGCTACCCATCGAAAAAGCATGGTGTAGACCAGCCCTAAAGTGTCACAAGAGTTCGCCCAAAGAGGCCCGGTCCACCAAAAGCAAACCACTGAGACAAAAATACTTGGTGGTTTTGTCTGTGTACAATAGGGGCTGATGTACTATTTCATGGCCGGTACATTGGTCGAGTTGTCTGTGCGCACGAAACGAGTACTTGGTGGTCGCAAGAGCACATGATGAAAAGGCGAGTTGGCTGTGACAATGGACATACGAAGATCAGGACTGTGGTTCATGGAGAGCCATAGGTTGTACGGTACGCTATGAAAATAGACTCAACGGTTTGATCGAAAGCCGCATGTCCCTGCAAGCGGCAGCGTGGAGATCATGAGCTGTTGGAAGGAGCATGCATGACTGCGTCACTTTCCTCTTGGCGCAGAGAGTAACTTGGTCTTCGTCCAAGAAAAATGGCAAGAAGTATCGTTTTTGTGCATACAAATGCCCGCAAGGTTGGTACTGGAGACTATCGAGTACGCACATGAGCCGGGTTTTTCATCGTGAAGGCTGGTGTCTGTATGATTATCGAATCAAGGAAATGACGTTCTATATGTACGATACTGTGATACGTAGAACAATCGATTACAGCATTGATGCATACCTTCTTCTTTCTAGTTGATTTGAATACCTCACAAGTGGTGAGTGGGTGTAATATGTAAGGTTTCATGCCATATGCTAGTGGAGAAGACTAGGATGCACCTACTCGGAGTCAGTCAATCAGGTATGGGAATACCGTGTTGGGAAAGGAGATGAAGAAAATTTCAGGGATTGAATAGATTCCGCCAGTTATGCAATGAATTCTCACAGCCTACAGTGAAAGCCTCGTACTTGTAGTCGTCTGGTCCGCAATCAGTAAGCCGAGTGTTGTACACAACCTTGTGCATCAAAACGACAGCCATTACTTTTAGAGAAATCTCAAGCTATTAAAAAGAAATAACACGCCTATTTCAGTTGTACTATAAGCAATTTACGAAGCCTTACTCGATCTCATCAACTCAAACAGTCAAGATCTGATGTTTCATGATAGCATACTTCTAGGTTCATTCAGGCTCTCAGATGTAAAAATTCGAAGCGCCTAGACAGTAGCATTTAACTTATCAACTATTTTACTGGATCATCGTTTCCAAGAAGCTCGTGTAAAAACTTACATAATATACAGAGCTGTAAATCCGGTCGAAAACCAAAAGGAAAAATACCAGGCACTAACAAAACAACCTGCGTCACATCTCTTTCTAACATGTTCGAACTCGAATAACAAGATATTTTTTAGTTTTTCAAGGGATCTTATCGTATTAGAGTGAACATGTAACGCGCAAGCATTATACTGCTGGTCATTGCAGTTTGTTGAGTTTGTTAAGGACGAACGGGTGTCTGTTCATAGCCTCGATCAAAACCCCTCATGGAACTACATGTATTGAATCTGTTTCAAATTTAAAAGTCTACAACAACTCCAATGAGGGGTTCCATCCAAAGGCCCTGGTGAGAAAAATTACGAGGGGGACGGCTCAGGTAAGGTCCTTGAAGAATTGCTCGGTACCTTTGCTAGCCGGTGCTAATGCTCGCGTACAATTCGCTATAACACGCACAGTAGCCAAAACACAGACTACACACACCATTCATTGATTATGAACATTAATTTCAGCTGACAGGCCTACCGGAATATCATCCCTTCTCTAATCACATGTGATACTAGGATAGGTTACCTCTCACAAGCGTAAACTCACACCAGACCAACGATGCAGGTGAAGCCGACTACAACTACTTCCATAACACTTCGCCAGTTGCCTTCATTTTTGGCTTTATTTTCCGCTGAGAAATTTTATCAGTCGCGTACAGCGGTATTGATATGTGCGATTCAAGTACGTAGCACATACGTACAAGGCGTCTCGCTTCTAACCTCCCTCGCTACCGCGTCACGATTACAATAGCGCCAATGCCGATCCCTCACATGTCTCTTCTCCACACCCCCACTGCATCTCGCAGATCTCACCCACCCGCTCCTATAGCTAGAAGTCAGCATTCCAAAATTGAGCATCACCAACCCATTTTGGGAGAAAAATCTAGGCATACAGCCATGAGCCATCGATCTTCAGATCTACACTTAATCCAGCAATCATACTCTAGCAATGCCGCACTAGACCCACCTTGAAAGCTGAATGTTACCACAACCATGGAGGACCTTTGCGACCAGACCGACCTGAAACTGAAAGTTTGTGACGTGTCAATCGAATTGATCGTTCGACGTAGAGGCAATTGCATGATCACTGAAAAATCAAATGTTGTCCATGTGCGAACATGAGTTCACCCCGCAAATTTCCCGTTGCTTTTTTCTTGGCTACGACTATGATGTGGGGAGCTGAAAATAGTATGTGAGCAGTCGTACTTCATAGAATTTCGCCACTTCATCGAGGGAAAACTCTGCAGTTTGAGCTGAAATATGATGTATTTTAGAGAATGTTCAGTACAAGAGAGTTTGAACACTTGTCATACATATATGGAGTGATATGGATGAAGTGAAGTATCAGATGAGGGATATATCGAGCAATACACTCAGCAGCGGGGTTGTGGAAAGTTACCACGATATGTTCTGTAGATCAAAGACCTGCTCCAGCCCGTTCGAACCTGCAAGTAGAAGCAAAGAACGAATAGGGTCTCGCCATAGAGAAAATTTGAAGACTGTCGTGGTATCAAACAATGGGCGATGCGGTCATATCCGGCTGCTGCGTCATATCCCTCATCTCGGTACACAATTGTCATCAGAATGCTTCCGTTGCTATTATCGACAATTAAAAGCCCAAAGTGCCGCTTCCCGATTTTGTTATAGCATTGAACTCAATGCTCTTGTCCAAAGTTATACAGTTCACTCCTCGCACCCAGAGATAACCTCGTCACTTAACAAATCAACCTCAAAAGGAGAGTTTGAAGGCCATCATGCCCCTGAGCAACCTTCTCCCCTTCCACAAGAATGATATATCACCATCGCAATCCCATCCTGGGCCCCCCCAAACTGAACCTAACAAACACCACCCCGATGGTTCCCACGGTAGGCACCACATAGAAGCCATTACACATGGCCACAAGGGCGCCAGAGTCCGCACAACCATCATCTCACACAACTGGCACAACCGCTCCGTAGCCGCACTGGCAGAGTTCGCAGGCACATTCATGTTCCTCTTTTTTGCCTTTGGCGGCACCAGCGTTGCCAACAATAGTAGCCAGGCCAACCAATCCAATTCGAACTCAAATTCCGACGAGATCGTTCAGGTGCCCGATACAAGCGTGTTGCTTTACATTAGCTTGGTGTTTGGGTTCAGTCTGATGATCAATGTGTGGTGTTTCTTTAGAGTCAGTGGGGGATTGTTTAATCCTGCTGTAAGTCATCCTCCCCCTGGTTATATCACTGTACACCCCAGAACGAAATGAACTTGAGACTGGGATTTTCTCGGCTGACGAATCCTGTTTTGTGGCTGCAAAGGTAACGCTAGGTCTCTACCTCATCGGCAGCGTGCGCCTTCCCAGGGCAATCATGTGCTTCATAGCGCAAATTCTCGCTGGCATCGCGGCTGCAGGCGTTGTCCACGCCATTGTGCCAGGTCCTTTGTCCGTAAGCACGACGCTGAGCGCGGGCATGTCTCCCGCTCGCGGTGTCTTTCTTGAAATGTTCCTAACCTCCTTACTCGTTTTCACTGTCTTCATGCTCGCCGCCGAAAAGCACAAGGCGACGTTTCTTGCCCCTGTCGGAATTGGCATGGCTCTATTTATTGCGGAAATGCTTGGCGTCTTTTTCACAGGCGGCAGTTTGAATCCCGCGCGTAGCTTTGGACCTTGTGTCATCACGGGCGATTTCCCTAGCTATCATTATATCTACTGGTTTGGGCCGATTATGGGATCGCTGTTGGCGTGTGGGGTGTACAAGGTTGTGAAGGCTGTGGATTACGAAACTGTGAATCCGGGGCAGGACTTTGATGACCATGAGGCGGCGGCGTTTCAGTGCCCGGATTATCCGAGTAGTCGCGATCAGGTTCGCAGGCCGATCGTCGCGAGGCATCTTATGCGCCGGGGGACGCTTGAGTCCGAGGAGTCCGAGGGGGAGAAGAATATTGAGAGATTGGATACGAATCAGACTCGGGTTTGAGAAAGGGGGAGGGTTGGGGGGTTGGGGGGTTATGAAATGGGATATATTGGGAGATGTAGATAATAATTTTAGTCTGATCTGGGATGCGGCGAGTCCATAGCATACAGAAAAAGCGGTCTTTTCTTGATGTATCATTGTGCATTTCCCAGTGTGGCTGCTGTGCGCGTGTCAGAAACCATGCCAATAAATGCGCTATAGGAACTACAGATATGAAGGTAGACAGCAAGGATACTAGTATGGTGACGCAAAGGTATACACCTGATATGAATTCATTCTTCTTTCAATGCTCCTGCTTTACTTTTGAGAATATTCAATCGCGAGAAGTAGATTTCCCTAAACTAAAACCTTTTGCGTTGGCGGAAGTAGAAGATTTGTAGGTAAGTTGGTATTCGATTTGGTTCACATACGCTGGCTACTTTTCGCAAACGCGCCTGCCATTGCTATCGCTATCGGAAAGAAACAGATGTCCCATCATACAACTTGCTTCCACCACTCTTCTACGTTGTAGTCGAGGGCTGGAAGGCAAATTGGGATGACTGTCTTTTCCGGTTATCTTGCACATCCCCAGATCGTGGAGACGGAGAGTTCCCAGTATCCTCTCCGACCCCTTTCACCCTGCTGCGTCTCCTTTTCCCCTCAGGTTTCAGTGTCAGTAATATTGCCGGCGATGTCGCTTGGATCTGGGTCTCTTCCGGCTCCACTTCGCTCGTTCCGGTTCGACTATCCGCACCACTCGTCGCCTCTTCTCCACTCTTCGAACCTGGTCATTCCGGCGCCGTGGCCGCCCCGCATAGTTATAAGAGACATCATAGGGGTGGTGTCCGTTGGTATAGCGTGGGTCAGCTTCCTATTGTGACTGTTAAGCGGGACGGAGAGAAAGGGGGCGGTTTGGAGGAAGTAGGGAAATTGTACGTTGATGATAGGTAGGCAAATCGCTAGAAGGCAAGCCATGACGAAAAGGCTCATGTTGACCCGATTGTTTTGAATATGGTGATCGATGAATTATGGATTGATAGGGGCCTCGTGAACTTAAAAAACGACAAGAGTCGTATTGTAGACTGTTTTGGTAATAGTGTGTCGATGCTCCAGAGGATATGTAGAGGGTGTATTCATGTCTCACTGTCCGAATGACCAGCCTCAATTCATGGGGAGAAGAATGCAGCTGTCATCGGCAACATTCTGGGTGGTATGACGGACAATAACTCACTTTGTGGAAGGTATGGTAGTACGCGCCCGGAAGCCAGGTCACTTGCGTCACTTCCTAATGAATCCATTTGGAACACGTAAAACACATCATTCAAGTCGTGAAGAGATCTGGCATCTGAGCCTAAGGATAAGCGCATAGCCAGAAAATCCCATTCAACCAGGGTGTTGCCGAAGATAAGGAAAAGCATCATGTGGATGGGCAGTTTATGCATGCTGAAGGAGAAAAGGCGATCTTGAGTATTTACGCCGAGTTCCAGACGATCATTAGTGTTGCATCTCATCATGGTCCACCTCGTCAGGCTCAATCTCTGCAGTATCGCCCTCTTCATACCCCTCACCTTCTTCCTCATCCTCACTGTCCGATCCCGATCCTTCGCTCTCGCCCTCACTCCCTGGGTCAAAGTCGTCATCCTCTTCTTCGTCATCTTCCTGCTCCTGCAATTCCCTCTCCGCCTTTTGTAGCTCGCTCTCCTCTTCTTCCGCCGCTCCTTCAGCCTCAGCGTTATTGGCGGCGTCCTTCTTACCGCCAACCTTGTTCACATTGAGCTTCTTAGCACGTCGATCGGCTGCTAAACTAGCATCCTGAAGACCGTGCTTCTGCACGTATTCATTTATGCCTGCAAAGTCTGCTTGGTCGAGCATACCGAATTCGATATCACCAGTGGGTGTGGTGATGACGAGATTGAACGTGTTGCGAAGGACGGCGGTGTAGGATATGCTGGTTATGGCGGCGAAGTCAAAGAAGGCGAGGGGCTTTTTGAAGCCGTTAAGAATACCCACAGAGGTGAAGAACAGATAACCTAACAAGTGTCAGTAGGTGTGCGATGCGCAGAGACAACGGGAAGCAGTATCGCACCTTCTTTGCTCCCTCGGTGTGCCTTCACGTGGTATGCCTTCTCGCCTTTCCTGTGGCTCTCCGGGATAGCGCTTGCGAATTCATCTGGGTCGGGAAAGACGACATGTTTTCCTGTGCCTGCTTGTATCAGGCAGTGGTGTATTGCGTCGGCCATTGCAGTCGGCCCTGGATCCTCGCCTTCTACAATGTTTTTTCCCGTAGCTTCTTCAAACGTCCACACGATTGGCTCTGGCGGTGAGGCCTTTAGCTCTTCGGGTACGGGGGCAACACCGTCTCCATGTACTGGTATAATGACAAAGTTGTGCTGCTTCTTCGCCTTTTCAGGAATAGGCAGGCAGAAAACCTGGTCAACATCTTTCCACGCAATTGCAAACTCGACATTTCCGCTCGCACCAATCGCTCGTATGCCACCGTCCTTCTTGTCCAGTAACTCGAGGGTGAATTTCTTGCGCTGTGGTATCGAGAAGCTGACACCAGCGTATGTCTTGAATGCCGGGGCTGCAGCAGTTGTGAGACTGCCCCCAGTTGCGGGTGGGGCTTTCTGCGCGCCATTGCTCTCCTCAATCTTGCGCTTCTTAGTCGCTGGTTCAGCGGCAAGTTGCGAGGTTTGATTGAGGATATATGTTGAAATGTCGCGAAACAATGTACTTTGCGCTGGATTTTGATCTACGTCGTATGCTCAATCGCAATTCATTACATTCTTTGAAAATAAGCATACCTATGGCGGCGTGTACGCGCTTCCGGAGCTCGTGGTTACTAGCAAAAGCGACATCGATTTCTTGGGGATGCGGCGCACGTGTCGGTACAGAAGCCGGTGCCGGTTCTGGCACTGGCGCAGCAGCTTGTACAGGCACAACAGGCGCTGACGGACGGTTGTTGAGTGCTGTAAAAGCCATGGCGGGTGTTGAGGATTATTGTTGATGATAAAAGGACGTCGTGCAAACGCGTCGTTGGTTTCTCGCGACTTGCAGGCAATTAGCGCTCGGCTGTCTACTACATGTGACATCACCCATCTGATTCACGTCCATCCCAACATTTGACCGACATGATTCGGCTTCACAGTACGATAGCTGTGGGACGCGGTCTGCTATGTACTTAACCAGCACGACACTTCTCGTGTGCAGATCAGTGAGTCTTGCTTTGTACAGCTGCAACTATGCGTGCATCCCACCCGGCACACCGAACGGACACGACAAATGATCCAATCGCACAGCTCTCGCACATGTGGATATTAACAGTATTTATGATATTGCGCGTATGTGCGCTTTCTGAGTCCTAATAAAGCATAAGGATACATTTCGCTACAAGAAACCGAAGCGGGCTCAATCGAGAAGCGATACAACACCCCGGCCAAACACCCTCCTCACCGATCTGATTTGTAGCAGAACCTGAGGCATGATTCAGCATTGGCATTATGCTTAGCATTGTAGTCACATGGCAACAAGAGCCTGGCCTCAGAATGTGTGCAGCCATTGTCCACACGCACGTCATTCTCAAATAATTAACAGCCAATATCCACGAGGCACGGTGATATTATCAATCATTGCATCCCAATTCATTTGCGACGCGGGGTACGTATCCAGCCTCATGCGGAGTATTAAAAAGAAGTGGCGCCAAAACGCTCCGCATATCAATCCCATCTGTCTCTGCCTTGTGTATGGACACAAAAACAAATACGCATTCAGCTTAATTGCCGGTGTTATTGCGACGTGAGAGAACCATCGTGGGTTCAGTCTGGGGACAGTGCACGTTGCGCATCTCACACACTTGTTGTCACGAACCTCCGAAACAGCCAATACAAAACCACAACAAGTGTTTGACACCTGTCATTGCATTACCAAGTACACAAAAATTGCCGGATGCATACCAGACCGTTCAGGCAACACCTTGACAGAGGCCTCAGACTAGCCATATGCTGGCATAGCAGCATTGACAGCTAAGCTCGAACAGAGGGTAATGATAGCATGAGGTACGGTGCGGGTGCCTGACGTGGCATTTGTGTTGTTCTGTTTGTCAGATGGATTTTGGATAATATCTAACTCGACCATATCGCATGCCGTCTCCCGAGCCGTCCCAATCTTTCATTCTTTTTGCTCTGCAGTACCTGATTGGTAGCCGACTGATGTCCACATAGTCGCCACACGGCAAGACTTGCTTCAAACTTCTTCACAGAAGTGAACCATTACAACCGGACCGGCCAAGCGTAGACTTTAGGGGTTACCCTTAACGACGAGTCAAGTTCAGAAAATGGCCGACACAAAGAAGTCCAAATTCAGTCTGCCACCATTAGTCGCCAAAGTCAAGTCTCTACTCCGTCGGAAACAAGATGACTCGCCCATGTTTAATCATCCATTCAATACGAACTCATGTCCACATCACCGGATAGCACGAAAAATCTATGGAGCCTCTCTCCTCGCTCTCTTCATCACCGCAATACTCGTCATGACGCTCAAGGCAATCACATACAGCTTTGTGGAAGACAACCGCATGACCGGCTTCATATTCGATCCAGATACAACCAGCAGCACAAACACAAACATCATCATGGCCGCCTTACCTAGGATGCTCCATACCTTACCAACCAAACTCTCCATCATCATCGCAGCCATCAGCCTCTCTCTCGCCACAGGCCACCTAGCCCTCGTAATCGTTGACTGGAAGAGCGGAAAAAGGGTAGGCCACCAACACTCCCCCTAAAACCCTCATCAAAAAAACAGCTAACATTCTCATAAGACTCAATCCAACGCCTTCCGCCGCAATACAATGTTCATCCACATCATCAACGCCATCCTCGTCCTCTTCGCCCTTATTGCAATCTACACCACCCACACAAACTCCGCTCGCTACCGTCCCACCTACATTTCCGAACTCATCTCCAACTCCACTTCCAACACCCCAACCATCGCCAGCTCCTCCGACCCTGTCTTCCGCTACGACCTCGGCAGCTTCGACCTCGAAACCTGGACTTGCGCACTCAAAGGTGTCGAAGGCGCCGGCATGGTTCGCGACGATTATGCGAAGCAGTGTTCCATTGAGACGGCGGGACGCGCGCTCATGGTGCCATTTCTTATTGCGGCGTGGGCTGTTGCGGGGGTGAGTGTGTGGGGGTTTGTAGGGGGTGGACGGAGGGGGCCGGATGGGGAGCGAATTAGTACGGATGAGGTGGGGGTGGAGATGGGGAAGATGAATGCGACTGATGAGTAGGAGACTACGGCTTGGGGTTGGGAGTTTTGCATTGCAGGAGTTTCTTTCTTTCTTTGGGGATTTAGCAAGGCGCTGGGCGCTGTGACATGGGCAATGAGGAATGGTCAAGGGTTGATCACGTACATCTGAGTTGAGATAGAGTAATAGGTAATAATTTTCTACTTTTTTACTTTTATGCTGCATAATGGGCTTGGGGTAGTGTAGAAGATGTGCTACACTCAATTCCACTATTTTTGCTCTGGGAAATTCCGAGCTACATGATCTCTACCCTGACAAAGTCAAAACGAAATGATGTTTCCTCATCTTCTGGTGTACTCCCTTCTACATGTTGATGGAACTGAATCCCATGACTGCCAGAATCAGAACGGGCATCTAAGCAGCGCGACGACGTCCTGGGCGTGCCTCATCCATCAGCTGCTCGTCAGTCCACTCAGGTTCTTCGGTGAGAACTTCCATCTCATCCCAGTGTTCATCCACTTCTTCTGGATCAGGCTTGATCATATTCATCACATCTTCTTCCTCTTCCTCTTCCTCTTCGGTTTCGAGCTTTTTAGAAATGGGTGTAGGTGTATGAATAGTTGGATGGATTGTTGGGGTTGGAGTATGCTTTACCTGAGTGGGAGAATCCTTGTCCTGGGTTGGAGAGTGCTTAACCTGTGCGAGAGTATGCTTAACCTGGCTGAGAGCGTGCTTAATCTGGGTAGAAGCGTGCACAAACTGGGTGTAAGATTCCTTCACCTGGGCATCTGCGGGACCAGTGGGGGTAGGGGTTTGGGCAGTTTTGTAAGTTTTGTGCTGCTTGAAGAGCTTGATTTTGGGTAGGTAAGACATCTTCTTGTGTAAGTGGTTCAAAGTTGGATCTGGGGTTAGTAGTTTGGTTTTGGGGTCGGATGTGCAGATTATGTGGGTAAGAATTGGAAGCATATAAGAAGGGGGCTCTTGCGAGCATTGTGGAGTATCTGTATACGTTGTAAATGGTCACAATGTTGACCAGTACTGTACGATAGGAGGTTCCAGTGCCACAGTGCTCCTTACTCTTAGATTCATGAATTCTAGGAAACAAGAAACCTCTCAGCGCACCATGTGCTGTTTTGCAAGAGTTTTCTTTTCAAATCAGTGGTAGAACATGCGCAATAGACCAGTCTTACACCTTCGACGGGTTGGATGACAGATGGACAGAGATTTGAGTGGTACCTATCCTTTCAGTTGACAGCATCAGGCTTTTGCATGTTTCCCGAAAGACCCTGAAGTACATTTTATTCATCTCCCCATGATACGCCTCAGGCGTTCCAATGTGGGTGGTTTCTACTTGGGGCTTTGATGAAAGAGATGGGTGAAATGATCTTTGTTGACCTCGACCCCGGATTCCCGCAGTATGAGATTTGGAGAGCTATGTAAATGTCTCGGAAACCTCAAGTCTCCCATGTGGACCACCTAAACTTCCCATTACACTCAGAAATGCAACTTGGGCGACGCCATTCTCTCGACCATGATTGGGGGCTTGAATCTAGGTTTTCTCGAACATGAAACAGACGATATCCAGCTAGAGTCTATTGGAGTGAAGGCCGCATAGCACATTAATTCGAGACTGGATGCGCACATTGATGCATGTGCTATCCTGTAACGGTTGTGGACGAAAAACCGATGCAGCTCGTCCGGGCGGGCGTTCGGAGAAGGGATGCATCATTCCCAATCCGTACTAGCGTTGTTACAGGGATCTCGTGTTCTTGAGACCGATGTAATAAGTCGGGGATGACGGTTCCACGCTGGCCAAAGGTACGAATCTCCCGAGTTTTGACAATGCCACAATGAGCGAAAGCCAAAAGCTCCTGCATGAGCATCCTTCAGACAGCGACTCTGAATTGGAGCCCGAAATCAAACCAAGTCCGCGACATTTATCACCATCGCCCTCGTCGTCGCGAGCTACATCCACCTCCCCAGCGCCCCCAGGGTCACATCCAAATGGCGGCATCCAGCGGCAATCGTCCTTTGCACAGCATCGCCCAGATGGCACTCCGAGAACTCCGAACCGAGTCCGTTTCGAAGAGCCGAGAAGGAGCATGAACGGACATGCAAACGGCAGCGCCGACTGGGTAGAGTTGGACGGAGATGATTACATGAATGACGGAGAGGGGCAGGAGAGGACACAGCGGCTACCTCTGCTCACTGGCATCGAAGCGCCGAGTGTCACGGTGGCTGAGCAGAACTTCAACCCAGAAGACCACCTGGAGAGCGCACGGCCACGCAGCGGAATGCGAAGCGCATTTATGAACATGGCCAACAGTATAATGTGAGGCATACACTGAGAGCAATGGATGAAAGAACACTGGCTAATCTGAAGTAGAGGGGCTGGCATCATTGGCCAACCGTACGCTATCCGCAATGCCGGCCTATTGACAGGGACCGCTCTGCTCATCGGCCTCACAATCATCGTAGACTGGACGATTCGACTCATTGTCATAAACTCGAAGCTCAGCGGGACGGATTCCTTCCAGGCGACGGTACAACACTGCTTTGGGAAATCCGGGCTCGTGGCTATATCCCTCGCGCAATGGCTCTTGTACGTCAGCTCTGTAACATATGGAAACACATTTATTGACAACGCACAGCGCCTTTGGAGGCATGGTGGCCTTCTGTGTTATTATCGGTGACACGATACCGAAGGTTTTGGATTCAATGTTCCCTTCGCTAGAAGACATGTCCTTCCTATGGTTACTCACCAATAGAAGAGCTGTCATGATCCTACTCATTCTCGGCATTTCGTTTCCCCTGTCGCTTTACCGTGACATTTCAAAGGTAACTTCATTCCCGAGCAAACAAAAGAGTGCACAAACTAATCCACTTATAGCTTGCCAAAGCCAGTGGCTTCGCCTTGATCAGTATGACCGTCATCATTGTAACAGTTGTTACACAATCCTTTCGCGTTCCCTCTGAGGCCAGGGGCCAACTACGCGGCTCCCTCATTATCCGCTCGGGCATATTCGAATCTATAGGCGTTATAGCTTTTGCTTTTGTCTGCCACCACAACAGCCTCCTCATATACGGCTCCCTGCGCAAGCCCACCATCGATCGTTTCTCCCGAGTCACACACTACAGCACTGGCATATCCTTGGTCGCATGTCTTGTCATGGCACTGTCGGGTTACCTGACCTTTGGCGACAAGACGCTCGGCAATGTGCTCAACAACTTTCCCAACGATAATCTTATGGTCAACATTGCACGTTTATTCTTCGGCCTCAACATGCTTACCACACTTCCACTCGAAGCCTTCGTCTGCCGAGAAGTAATGAACAATTACTGGTTCCCTGATGAACACTACAACCCCAACCGTCATATTATCTTTACTAGTGCGCTTGTCATTTCTGCTCTCACGCTCTCCCTTCTCACTTGCGACATTGGCGTTGTTTTTGAGTTGTTTGGCGCAACATCTGCTTGCGCGCTCGCATTCATTCTCCCACCCCTCTGCTACATCAAACTGTCGCAAAAAAGCACAATGACATATGTAGCCAGCGCCGTAGTGGCATTCGGATGCACTGTCATGGTCATTAGCATCCTCAAGACTACGAGCAAACTCGTGGTTGGTCACAGTGACCATGCGCAATGTGGGTAATCTGGTCTTCTGTCGTAATAATGGAGCGGTTGCATTGGGCGGCGTCTTGAGTACAAAAATGGTATACATGGGCGCGCGAGCGCATGAATCTGGCAGCTTACCACTGTTCATTATAGAAGAATAACAATATTATCCAAGTATCATGTTTCCATCTTGCATTGCCAGTCTTGCGCTGTGCATGTCTGACCCACAGGATTTGCATCGGGCCGTTTTCGAGGCCTTCGCCTGTGTAACAAACAAGCTTGCCTCTTCAATAACGGCTATATCGGCACCAACATGCCTCCAAAGCCTTGTTCATGAAGTTCAATCAAGCTCTTTAGCCCACTCTCAAGCCTGGGGTGTCAAGGGTCTTTCGCCGTCGTATCCGGCACATGTCCCTGTTTCTGACCCACTTTTGCACTCAACACCAACGCTAATAATTCGTCCAATTACCATCCTGATATCGCATCAAACCATCTCACCCCTTTTCTGTTGTGTTACAATGAGCGCGGCGCACAGCGCGATGACGATAGTGGCGGTCGCTGCATGTGTGATGTAAGCGGGCCTTTTTGGCTGATCACAACTTCTTTGGGGCGGGCTGTGACGTCGATGCCACCAGTCTGAACCCTGCTTTTCTGCGCAACGGAATGGTAGATTGGGGTCATACACGGGAAGCAACGACGACATGACAGAATGGAAAGCACCAATTGCATATAAGAAGTCAATTGGGAATATCTAGACTCGCTTTCTCTGCCCTCCCTTTTCTCGTACCTCACAACCTTAGACAACAAAGGCATCTATCCCCTATCCAGCCTACTCCAAGTCACTATACAAGAAGTCTAGCAATACCTTCAAAGGAAATAACATTACCAAAAATGCCACTCTTCGGATCCCGCCGCGAGCCCTCGCCTCCCCCCGCCCCAGCCCCAACTCAGAAATCAGGCCTCTTCTCTCGTCGTCGCTCCTCGTCTCCTCACGCGGCTACCACAACCACGCACCACCACCGCCACAGCAGCTCTGCCTCGCGCTCCGGCACATCAACAAACAACACAATCTCCTCTGGCTTCTTCAGCCGGTCATCTAATGGAGACCCCAGCATCACCAACGCAAAGCAGAGTCTAGCGAACGCTGAGGCGGCAGAGCGAGAGGCCGATAGGGCATTGGCGGTTGCGAGGAGTGCGGTTAGGGAGGCGCGCGACCATGTTGCTAGGTTGGAGAGGGAGGCTGCTGAGGAGTAAGTTTTCTTCTTCTTTTCTTTTGCGTTATCACTTGATGTTTGAGAGAGTAGAGGACTGACGGGTTACAAAGGGCGCGGCTAGCTAAGATCAAAAAGGCCGAGGCGAAGACGCTCGGTAAGATGGGCAAGAAGTTGGGCAGACATGACCATATTTAATTGTTTGTAACTTGGGGTTGAGAAGGATGGTATTGGCTAGATGTTGGAGTGGCGCTGTCTAGCTCTTATGATGTCTGTGAAAGCGAGGAGTTTGGTGTGGTTTTGTTGGCATTGATTTCGCTAGCGCTTGTGTAATACCCCTTGTGTTATTCCTAGCTCCTATTGATGTTACAGGTTTCACAATATTGGTATCCTGTTCACTATTTGTGTTTTGAGTAAGCTGGTGAACAAGACGAGCCTATCCTCGAATAGCAATTATTACGGATACATTGGTCTACAGTTTTGGATGAACATAGAGATTTGACCGGCCCAATTCCTTAGATTTATGATCTAAGCATAATGAATCACCAAAATATCACTTGTACACATGTCACAGATACTCAAAATTCTTAATACTTTTTCATCGCATTTCAAATTATCTTTAGCATATCAAAAAAACCAGCATCCCCACTCAACGGGTATTCAACTCATCCGCACCCCCCATTCCAACAAGAGAAAAGAAAAGTTAGAAGAGAAAAGAAAAGAGAGAAAGGAAAAGATATCGTAGACAAAAGACCCGCACAAAACAGAGAACGAGAAAGAGAGTGTCCAAAGAAGCCCCCCCCCCTTGATTACGATTAAACACCTAAACAAAAAAGGTTCCTGGCATAGTACCCAAATTCCAGGTCCTGTTTTATTTTGTTTTAATACGAGGCCGCACTGCTAGCAGAGGGCCTAACAACCGTCCGCAATGTACACGGCGACTCGGCGCCCGCATCGCCATATGAACCTCCCTTGGCTCCATACACACCTGCACCACCGTATGATCCATCGTACGAACCCCCATACGATCCTCCCGCACCGGAACACGGTACCGCGGATCGCGTAGGTGCAGCAGGGGTCTCGGTAGTCGAGTATACGGGTCCATTTGTGAATTCACCAGGCAGTCCCGGGAGGACGTGAGTGAAGGCTGGGGCCATGATGGGGTCGAAGGAGAGGGAGGCGGGGATGTAGACGGATTCGTAGGGGCGGGGTTTGTTGTCATTGATTGGAGTTGGCGATGGAGTTGGTTTGGGGGTTGGTGATGGGGTGGAGTCCGGGTTGAAGAGGGAGAAAGAGACTGTGGGGACTGGTGGGGCGTTGTGATAAGCTGGTGTTGACGCGGGGGGTGCGGCTGAGGGAGTGTTGGAAGCGGGCGGTGGTGAAGGTGAAGATGGCTTAGATGGCTCAGCAGGCGTGGATGGTTCCGAAGGCTGGTATGGCTCGGCGGGCTCAGGCGACGAGACAGGCTTCGATGGCGACGAGGGCTTGAGTGGCACATCTGAATCAGATGGTGTAGAAGCTTTGCTTTGGCAAGATGAAATGCATGCGAAGCTGATAGCATTGGTCGTCTTTCGATCGGCAACAGGACCGTTGAGGGACCAGCTCATATCAACATAAGGCCAGCAGATACGGCCATCAGCCATGGTGACCATGTCTCCAGCAACATACACATCCATAGACTTGATCGGCTCGCCAACCTTCTTGCCATCCTTGACGAGCTGGAAGTAAGTGCCCGAGAATTCACCCTGGCAGCCCATAGCTGGGAAGTTGCAAGTTGGCTCCGCAATCTCTTCCCATGTGACGAGTGCGTTTGAACCATCAAAAGCGGCTACATGGGCATTCTGGCAATCAGAAGATCCAGTTGTGATCCAGTTAACTTGCGAGTCGCCATCGGGTCCGGGCTGGTTAGTGGCTTGCTTGCCGACCAGGGTCTTCTTGTCGGAAAAGGTAGCGATAGCGACGTTACGGTTCTTGGTGCGGTACGAGGAAGTCGTGTATCCTTCGCCCAGTTGCTTGTTCTCTGTCAAATCCTTGGAACCGCGCGATACCCAGGTGAATATGTACGAGTCCTTGTTGATGAAGCGCGTAAGACTGCTGTAGGAACCAGAGACGCCTCCCATGGGCTCGTTCGAAGCACCGTTCCTAGCGTATTCGTTCGAGACCTTCACACCAGTCTTGTCCATTCCAGTACCACCTGTGTTAAGCCAGATTCCGCCCTGGTCGTCAGCGCAAACACTGGCAAAAGGTGCGGAGGCAGAAGCCGCAAGTGCAATGCCAGTGTTGAATGAGCACCCCCAGTTTTTAGTGGCGCCCTCGATTTTCTGAATGGTGCCGTTATCGTTGATGTATTGTATAGAATCACCAAAGTGGCCCTGTGCAGGGCCATCGTAACTGGTGACAACAAAATAGGCTCCATACATGCCAGTGTCCTCGGAATAAGCAAGATCACCATTCAGATAGGGTGAACACACTGCGCCTGCCTCACCGACATTGTCCGGACCACCAAGGAATGTCTTAAAAGCTCGCTTTCCGCGTGTCCAACGGTAGATTACAGCTACTGGATCTCCTTTAGGAGGTGCTTTTTGCGTTCCGGCATCCATGGGCTCGTTGGTAAGAAGGGCGAATCCATCATTATGAGCGACGAGACCGCCGGCCTCCTTTGCGCAACTCACCGTCACAGCATCTCCGACGGCCTTGAAGGTAACAGGATCAACCTTCTGTACATGGACTCCCTTTCCTGATGCCCCAAGGTATGCGAGATATGCCGACTTTCCATCCGGTGAGACCGCAAAAGGCGTGCGGTGGTGGTGTGGTAGTCCAGTGCGGTAGTCATCCTTGATTGGCGAGAAAGGAGTCGAAAGCTCTAGGCTTCCAACATAAGTCTTCAAGTTGCTTTTCGAAAGCTCGGCAAAGGCCGTACTCGAAAGCAGAGAAAGAAGGAAAACCGAGTGTAGCATTTTGCTAGAATAGATTGTATTTTCAAACGAGTGACAAAACGAACGAACGACCAGCGAACACAGGTCAAAAAAAGACAAAAGGTGAACGATGTTAGAAACCGAATAAACCTGCCAGAACTCTTTCGTGCGGGCGGTAAAGCACCACCGCTCGTTGAAGGCTATTCTTCTATATAAACACTCGGCCTGTGAAACAAGGCGTCTACACTGGGGTCTCAGGCCAACCGCCCAGCAAAACAGCGCCAAAAGCAAATCATCTCGGGGACTAGCATGATCCAATGAGCTGTGGAGCCAATGGACCCGTTTTTCGTCCTATTTGCGTGGATGGAGCGTCTAAGGCGCGGACCGTGGCACAACAAGCGTAGATGCGGGCGTTTCGAAGTGTTTCGCCCAAAGGCACGCTAGTCGAGGATCGGCGAGCTTGTACCTGAATAGGAGGATAGCACGTGCAACATCATCTAGAACAACGAAGACAACACACCAAGGAAAACTTACTGTTTACTCGTCTTTTGAGATGATCGATAACACCATGCAATACTGAAACATCGCCTGCAGACTTCCTAACTTTTGCTCAACTCCTGTTTGCTCATCGCAGAAACCTGACGACTCCTGTGCTTGTGAATTCACCTTTTCGACGCGCATCTTGCCCTCCGCCCTGCATATGTCAGGTGAAAGCATCATTGCTTCATAGAACTCTATAGAGATCAAAAAGCATTTGCATAGTTAATGCCTAACTCTATTGACAAATGGCATCATCCGACTAACCGTTGTCGTTGAGCTTGCTATTCGTCTGCGAGTCAGCCCAAAGACGGGAGGGTGCCAGGACCCAGGGCCCGTAATTACTATGCCTCTTGGCGTACGATTCAAGAATTGGCAGATGAACCAAGTGTCAAGGGGATCGATAGATTTACAAATGGCATATTTTAGGTGGGCTGATGGGGTCGAGAACAATAATCGGGAGAAAGGAGAGAGGGGCGGGGGAGAACACAGCTTGCAGATACGAGCTAATGTATGAAATGCCGATTGCAAGAGAGTTTGCTTACTTACTAGAGAATACAAGTTTCTTTGAGCGACAAAAAAGTCATTTTAGTTAGTACAGTCAGCCACAACCCCATCATGATAAGACGTTGGACCCAACCTTGCTTGACGGGCTGCGCGGCCAGGCATCAGCCTTGTTTTGGCGTGCGCATCGTCGTTCGAGGCAATGGATCGCGGCTTATCCTTGCGAGGCAGTGCTCAATGTGCGGACACTTGCAAGGCGAAGTTGACGTTGACACTGGTGACTGCCAGGGCAAAAGAGGAAAGGCTGCCCGTCTGACCAAGGGCTATCCAGATCAAAACCAATACGCGGAGGGCTTTCAGTCCCATTGTATGTGGACATCCCACAGAGTTTGCTGTTGAGCCGCGTCAGCATGCAAATTTCAACGTCATTTTCAGGAATATCAAGGACGGAGGGGCTTAGGTAGACCACAAGGCTGGTTCGTAGGCAGCCACTACCATGGTATTGAATCTTAGTACTCATACCGTATTCGCTTTATGCAAACGTGGAGGGGATTCCGTAGCGGGTACTTCAAACGATATACCCTTCTCACTAAACTTACCCACGCGTTTGAAAGCTTAGCGAATAACCTCATTGACGTGCGGTTAAATCCGACGCATCCGAAAACTGACTTGATCTGCTTGGTCAATGGTTTCTAATGTTCAGTACACCGGGTGTGTCTCGAATTGACGAATACGATGGCACTGACGTTTTGAACTGGATCACGTCGGCGACTCATGGTAGGTAATCTCATGTTCGCCCTCATCTGTTTCAACGTCACGATGCGCAATTCAGATAACACATGTGCCGCTTGTCCTATTTCGATATTTGGTCGAAGCTTGTATGTAGGGTTTACTAGACGGCAAGATAGCAACCATGCTTCTAATATATGCGCGTCATACGATATAAAGAAGCGCCCACCTCCCATCGCCGACATCGAGATTTGCAGATCCATCTACATTGTACACACCCCACGATTCCCTCGATCCCGCCAAATTATACCTGCCAGCAAACGCACTTGATTCCAAATCTTCATTGATACGATGATCATTCTGCTGTAGTCAAAAACTCAAGTCCGGAACGCTAAAACACATGATGTCAGAGAGAACTGTTGATCAAAACACCGAAAATAGAAACTCGACCCCCTGGCACTGATCGACTTTACACGAGCACCAAATCCATCTCTTCACGCCGCTCAATTGCTTCTGTGCCTACTGCAAAAGTGCCGAGTCGCTCCCACGCTGGAGAATGCTGAGCCGACATCCCCAGCACAAGACCCGCAACAACGTTGTCGTACCGAGCAACGCCCAAGCACATGACTGTCGCCTCAAACCGACGTATTGTATCAGCAGACAGTGCTCGACGAACTGTCCGTCGCTTTTCTCCGTTACTATCTTCAAACTTCGCTTCAGAGAGTAAGCAGTCATGTGTCATGGGAATGGTACTTGTACCCTTGATCACAAGATTGTACTCCCACACCCCACAATTCTTTTCCGCAGACAACATGCAAGATATGGTGGGGCCTCGCAGAGTGAGGGAGCCGCTAGAGATGGCACCCAGCGGGTTGAGCCCAGTAGGAGTAACCTTGCAATCGACAATAGTGACCATGGATTTGAATGTTTCGCGTTCCTCTTCATCCAGCAACGTATAAGTCACCGGCACATCCAAGCTCGCCCAAGAGAAAGACGGTGCGCGCCAAACATCTTCCGCAAAGTTATCTGGACAAGCAGTATTTGACCGAGTAGCATGCCATAGCATATCGGAAGCCAGGTTGTGTTTCCATAGTCCGGCGATATATTCAGAGTGTGTTGCTTTTCTAATTTTGCTCGCGATACCCGAGATTGCAGGGAACTTGTCTGCTGCAACGGTGAGATGACGTGCAGTGTAGTGCTCGACGACGCGTTGCCATGCATGCCATACGGCGTCTATTTTCTTGCTAGCCACTGCCTTGGGGATCAACGAGGGCGTGGTGGGGTAGGCCCTGCGTTCTGGAATGCATTCGCATCGATACGAAGTTTTGCACTCGAACAGCAATTCTGTTGCCGTATAGTGTAGTATCCTTGTGCTGAGAACGTGCTCCTGGAGCGCCCAAGCACGTGATGTGAGTGGACCGACTGGCTTTGCAGGACCTCCGCCAGGGGCATGGCTTGGATGATGGTCCAAAATTTTTCGCGCTCTCAGTGCATATTGTTTTCCAGCGGTGTTGCTGTATGGTATTTTTACGGGCTTCCGCCTTTCGACCAAGCATCTTACACTGCTGTTGGCGGATTGCGTTGCAGCAATAGTGATGTAGCTGTTTTGATAAATGCTCCCCATCTTTGCTGACTCGGTCTCCCAGTCTCGAACTGAATCTTGTATGATACAAAGGCTGTCAATCCACAAGTAGCGCAAGCCAAGCTGACGGGTGATGATAATGGCGTCTTGGAATAGCGGCGGGAAGGTATCAAAGGAGATGTTGACCGCCATTTTAGGCCATGTTTCTTTCGTTGAAACGAGCGGCTGGGAAGACCCCCAGCAATGCGACAGAGCAGCATACTGAAAGTTCTTGCATTCTGTGTCGATGAGCCTGATTGGCGAAGAACTCCTGCCGACGTCGAGGAGACGCTTAGGAGGCGACAATGCCGAAGGACAAGGGAACTTGCATGCTGTGTGTTTTGGATTTCCGATGCAACCTGTCACGCAACGTCGAATGAAGTTGAACGTGTCATCAGATCCCGAGTTGACCGGTATGTGATGGGCAAAGCCTAGAGTAGGCCACGGAAGACGTGTCGCTGCAGGTTGTTAGACAGTATCAAGTCGCGTATGCACACAGCCGAATACTTGCTAATGCAGAGTGCTCAACAAGAAATCAAGCGTGCCATGCAAAAGCGCGACATCCGCCATGGAAAAGTGTAGCCTACCTGGTGCAGCATAAATCTCTGCAATCTCATCCTTCCAACGCTCTCCACCGAGCGTAATCTTAATCGTAGCCTTCTCTTTGATATCAACATGTACTTTAGCCCTCGCACCTCTCCACCCCGTGAAGAAAGCATCTAGCACAAGGGCCACAACATAGCAAAATCTACACCCACTTTCCCTGACCTTTGCAAGGCTCAACGCATCAAGCACAAGGCTCAAACTTGCGCGAGGCTCTTTCACAGCCTCAGTTTCATACACGGAATTGGCGTGGCCTCTCGGGTCGAGATGGTTGCACATGCGACACTTTTTCCGTTGCGATTGGCCCGCGGACGCGGCTGGACGCACCACCGGGCGCCTGAGACATTTTGGCAAAGGCATAACCGATTAGACGAGAAGCACAGTTTGGATCGTCTTGAATAATGTCGGATGCATTGTAGGCGAGTCGTCAGGCAATAAGTGGAGGCGCAGAGGAAATGGTAACCATGTGACGCTTTCAGCTTGACCGCTGGAGTCAAGTGCGCTAGTGCGTATACAGGCTAGCGGAGATGGGATGGTGAAATGTGGCTGTGGGGGCCAAAACACCACTAGTTATGGTCTCATTTGTCGAGATCGACTAAACTGTCGAGGAGATAGGGATGTCAAGTCAATGTTACCACGGTTAAAAAAACAGAAATACAGTATCGCACCTTTTCTACCAATTCTCTTGAACAATGAAAAATTATCACCTTCAATCATGTCCCATAACTATCACCAAACCACAAATCGCTACCCCAGATATCCTTCACAATCCACGCACCAATCAGCCTCACCCTACGACATCCCCTCAACCCACAGCCGCACCTCAGCTCTAACAAATATAGCACTACCCTCTTTCCCCGCACATGCAGGAACAACATCAACAAAAAAAATCAAAACCCGCCCAATCTACCTAAACAAGGGCCTATCGTCAAACTTTCAGCCACACTTCCCCCTAATTGGTTCATCTAGCCTATCCACCGCCCCCAGCTCTCCGCAAAACAGGTCCGAAAAGCGATATACGCGAAGCGCACACCGTAGAAAGTCTGCCTTGTTTATTTCCCCCCCTCGTTGCCTACTATATACACGTATCAAAGAAAAGCCATGAGGGGCTTAATTTAAAAAAAAATACGAACGAGAGATGCGTATCCGTAGCCCTCGGCAGTGCAGACATGACCAATCCTCTCACAGAAAGGGCGGAGAACACGGAAAGCCCCGGTCTAGATACCTCGTTAGCAAAGCCAAGCAAATCCGCGGGAAGAAAGGTAGGCGAAGAGAGAAGCGGCTGAGGATATCTTGGAAGCCTAGAGGATGGAAGTTACCGTCTGAAGCCATGCCCATAGCTAACATACCCACTACACCAAAGCTGAAAGGACCAACAAAAGCAGCCATGACAAAGTGGTGAAAATATAGGGATATATAAACCCCAACACCTCAACTTCCCATTTCCCTTTATCCCCCCCAGTTCAACACAACTTCTTCCATCAGATACTACCCCCCCCCCNCCCCCAAATACACTCGTCAAGATGCATATCCCCCACGCCCTCCTCACCCTCACCCTCTTCACCACCTCCTCCCTCGCCCTCACCCCCCGCGCACACTCACACCAGCAACCCTCCTTCGCCGCGATGCTCCGGCGCGGCTCCGCCATCGCAAAGCGCCAGGGCTACTACCCCAGCAGCGACGTGTGCAACGGGCCCGGTTCCACCTGCGCCTCCGCCTGCGGTGCCGAGTACGTCGAGTGTCCGTCCGACGGATCAGTCACAAGTTGTCATTCAACTACAGACGGAAGTCATTGTTGTACCGACGGGACTGGAAGTACGTTTAGTTCTCCCCTGAAACTTCTGAGCGATATAGTATTGAAAGTAAAGGGGGGAAAAAAAAAGAGTGAGGAAAAGTTAGCTGACACAAAGGGACGAAAAATTAGATGCATGTGGCCCAGGCGACTACTGCACCCACGATAACCGCGGCCAGACTTACTGCTGTCCTGAGAACCTCAATGCAGAAGAGTGTGCAAAGCAGCTCGGCCTCGATGAACCGCTCATCCCGGATTCCGCTGCCACGCCCACGACACCGCCTGTGGCAGAGGAGACAGCCGTAGTGCCTTCGCCTTCGGCAGTGCTGGTGTCGTCTTCATCGCCTTCACCGTTGCCGTCACCGTCACCGTCGCCGTCGCCATCGTCGTCGACGACAAGGCCCAGTTCGACGAGGACGACTGCCGAGCCCAGTGCGTCGCTTCCTACAGTTGCATCGTCGTCGTCGTCGTCTAGACTACCGAATGCTACGAGCACTAGTCCTGGACTACCTCAGTTTACGGGTGGTGCGGCCAAGATGGCTGGGGCTGGGGCTGTAGCGTTTGCTGCTGTTGCTGGGCTTGTTATTTTGTAAGCTTTAATATCCTTCATTGAAGATGGGAGCTGTAAAGCTTGAATATATCATGATTAATGCCGGGTTGGAGGAGATGGATTCCATGTTGCTTTACGCGGGGGGGAAGGAAGGAAGGAAATCTGTATGTAGTATGTCAATGTAATGCCAGTACATGTTCGAATACTTGTTTCACGTTTCTTTTCACGTTTCTTTCGCCGTTCGGCTCTTTTTGCATGTATCCCATATTTCCAGTCTTCGCCCATTAGCATGTCGGTATACGCGATACTACCGCACCATAGCATACAATATCGGTAACATGACCATTGCAACTCATCAATGTCTGATGCTGAGTCAAGAGAAGAAAAGAAAAGAAGACATTCTCATCTCGTCTCTCTGTCCTTTGCAGAGAAACCAGCCAATGACAGCAAAACGCCTAGGCTATGCAGAACATAGGAAAAGAAACAAGGCTCGCAAGACGTCTATATCAATGCTTTGCCCAGCCGCCTGAAATCCAAATGACAATGCCGCCCCGCTTTGCAAGGAACCCCATTTTGCTTGCCCGAGGCAGCGTCTGGATAACACCTAGCGCCAGTATGCATGTTAGGACAAAAGAAAAAAAGAAAAAAAAGATACACAAGGAGAGAAACCAAACGCCTAGTCTCGCTGTCCCAGTGAGACTAAAACACTAGCCATGCTGTGTCTCTAAACACCCGTCCATCCCCTCCGTCTTCTGACCTGCGTCAGGTATCCGCAATCGCCCGCTGGGAAGTCGACACCAGCCACAACAGCCTTCTAATCCGCAGTCGCTTTACGCACCGGGGTACTCAATTCCCCACCACTTGTCTCTCTCCTACGTCTTACTATTTGAAGTCGCGGAAGAGGGGGTGCAGCGTTTGTTGGTGTCGGGGTTGGTGTTGCGTTCATGGGAGCATCATTTTCACCAACGGTACTTTGTCGTCTCCTATTTACTGCTTCACTTAGACGTCCTTGGCGGGCTTTAGGGAGACGAGAGTTGGATTTGCTGTTGGAGTTGTTCGCTTCTATACGAGCGAGCGAAGACGCAGCGTCACGAGACGGTGGACGAGATGGTGTCCGGGCTGCAGCAGGTGTGCCCGGAACAGCAGCAAAGGAAGTAGAGCTGCGTGCTAGAGCTGGTGGCTTAGAACGACCAGAAGATGGAGGAAGGACAGTGGTGGGGTCTTCGGCGAGATCCCACATTCCATTCGAGGACTGAGAGCGTGTGATGCGGTCGCGCCCACTGCCTAGTGATGTAGGCGTGCCATTCATAGGCGGCAACATGAATGTGTTCTTGAGGGAGTTTGGTGTAGGTGGTGTCAGTCCCATACCGCTACCAATCATAGTAGAACCTGTACTTGAGCCGGAGCCGTCGCGTCGGCCAGCTGAAGAAGTAGGACGCCGTAGGTTTAGGTTATTAGTAGATGCGCGACTGAGACTCCGCTTGCCGTTGGAACCTTTGTTGATACCCGAGAGTTCAACTTCATCGCAAGCCCGAACAAGCTCTTCAGCCATTTGCCTCACTAGCACGGCAGCATCGTGTTCCATGAGCCAGGTGATGCGCTCGTAGCAGCCAAAAGCGCGCACGAGCCAGCATCCTTCATCCTTTGCATCGCAAATTGTGCGAAGAATACGAAGAAAGTTGAGACGCGTTACAGCATCCTTGTGCCCAAGCTTCTGTTCAGTGCGACTGAAGATCTCTGGCACGGCAAGCGAAGCAGCGATAGGTGGTGATAAACGGACTACCTTCTGTAAAGGCTCCAGCATGTTCTCAAACGTGGAGTGCGGCAGATCGGCAGAGGTGTATGCAGAGATGACGGCAGCCGTGAAGTTCGATTGAGGAGAAAGGAGGTATTGCTCGACGCGAGCTGTCTCTTCCTGAAGCCTACATTATTGTTAGCCTACTTGTACGCAGCTGGTGTACGATAGGATGTACGCACCAAACGAAGATGGCATCCAGGGCAGTCACAGCCCAATTGCGGTCGCCCAACAGTGATACGTAAAACGCAAGACCCTTTGCATCCCACAGCATCTTACGTGCTACCTTGCCAGAGTTGACCATCTCCAATAGCACAGGCAAGGCAAACTCCTTGAGAGGTCCGCCTTCACGCACGACATCTTTGAGCAAGGGAATGATGTCGGACAAGGCAGCCTCCTCTTGTCTGCTCTTATTATGTCGACACAAGTTGTACATTGTGTTGAGGATTTGATTAGAGATTTCGCGGTGGAAAGGCGGTAGCCGTTTGGGGTCGAATGTAGATCGACTCTGGCTACGGCTCAGTGCGTCCTTTTGCCGAGTAGCCTTTAGCAGATCGATAAGAATGTCGATGGCATTGGAGTTTTGGAGGGCCTCGTGGGTAGAAGAGAGGGAGCTCAGATTCTTGATGAATTTGAGCATAGTGATTTGGTGTGGTGGAGCCATTTTGCGAAGGTCTTTGAGAACGCCTGCGATTGTTAGTCGTGTTACAAAAGTATCACCAATGAAAATAACTTACGCTTTAGAATCATCCGATCCGCCACAAGGTCCTTGACATGGCTCTCTGCCTGTGAGAAGATGAGGAAAATCTGAACAATTCTGCCCACAATGAGTCGTGCAACCTCGCCATCTTCCTCAACCATACGATTTAAGACTAAGCTGAGCGGATACAGCACGCTCGATCTTGAGAAGATGCGGCAAAAGTCGTTCTTTGGCGTTGGCCCCTGTAATTCAAACACACCATAAACACCATTGACACCAATGAGCACCAAGTCGCGTTCAGCGTCAATGTCCTCTTCCAGAAATTCGACAAGTACATTAATACCTCCACATCCAATGAACATTTGCAATGTCAGGGTGCTTGTCTGGTACATTTGTCGCACAAACGCCGCAGCCTCTTTCCGGATGTCACTTGGAAACTTCTTGGAGGCAAAGTGGCAGATTGTTGGGATTCCTCCTAGGAAAGATAAACTCTCTTGCGACTCGGCATCTTCCAGGATGATGAGATTGATGATCTTCAGAAGTGGTAGAACTACTTCGTTGTGTGGCCGGGTCCCGAGGATTTCCAAGATGGGCAGCATACCATGGCTTCGCAGGATGATTGACCGTTTGTCTGGTGATTCATATAGTACTTGCAATAGTTGGTCTGCAATCTCCAGAAGCTCGTCATCTGGCTGGCTGATCTTCAAGCAACCGACGAGGCCTTCTGTCATCTTTGTCAGTCGATCATCCCGGTCGCGGGCAACATTGTTCTCCAGGTTGATGTTGTCAAGGCCTTCGTCCAGGTTGGCAAATGGATCAAGATCATCTTCATCGGCAATGGTGAACGAACTTGCCATTTTCGATGTAATCATGGCAAGACTGCTGTGTTCACTTCCACTGTCGCTTTCGGCTCGAGTAGGGTTAGCAAGACGACCTTTAATGTCACCAAAGACATCTGAGAAGTCATCTCCTTCATCCTCGGCATACTTTTGAATTTCAATCTCAGATTGTGTCCGGTGCAACTTGCGATTCGACGTCGAGCTCGATGATCTTTGGTGAATGTTTCCACTTGACTTCAAGTCTCGTGTTGACTTTGGACCTGCCCTCAAGTCGCTTGGATGGAAGAGTCGGGGAGAGAAATTATCAGACGGCGAGTTGTTGGTAGCGGCTGCTTGCTTGGGCTGCATAGCGGGCGGTTGAGCGTACTGCATTGACGCCAATTTGCGTGCAAAGGCATTCTCGTCAGCTGGCATAAGATCCGAATAGTCCTCAATAGTATCTTCACGGAATAGCTGGCTGGGCCGCGCTGGTGCTGCAGTCCTCGGCCTGAGAGGCTGCGTGGACCGTGGTGTTGCGCGAAGGAATGCCGTTCTTGGCTGTACCTCGTGCCTATCCTCAAACTCTGAATCGGTGGCACTCGATGCTGACCTTGAAGATCGGCCAGTGCTGCTAGATTTGGCGCTTGCTCTGTTCGCTCTTTCACTTCCTCTCTGGCCCGGCGCTTTTGGAAGACTCTGGTACTGTTGCATGCTCTTTGGGCTCTTTACCGTAGCTTCTCCATCCCCAAAATCCGCCGTTTCGGTGACCGACTCGAAACTGGCAAAGGCCTTCAGCCTGTCGCCCGAGAAGAGACCACCAAAGTTATCCTGGGGCTTGAGGTGTGGCATCTGCAGGGCACGGGGGGATATGCTTTCAGCAAAATCCTTATCCCAATTATCGTCGTGATCTAGCTCGGGAGAACGGAATGACTCTGCGGTAGGTCTGTGCTTTGATATGTTGAGGTTGACATTGACCGCTGCCCTACGGGACACTGCGCCGGGACCGTTTGGTGCTGAAGGAGAGGACCTATGTACACCAGAAAAGCGAGAAGTCCTACGTAGTGAATTGGGCGACTTTAGGGCTTCATTCCACTCTTGCACGGACTTGACTGCTTCTTGGTATTCGGTAGGTTTTGTGGGTACCGCGGGGACAGTGCGCTTGGCGCTGAGGATCCACGGGTGCTTGAGAAGACGTTTGGCAGAGATACGGAGTGTGGGGTTCTTCTGGAAGCACTCCATGAGAAATTCACGCAGAAGCTGCAAGGGTTAGCACGCGGGCGTTTCAGGGTAGCAGGGACTGCAAAGGGTTTACTGACTGGAGACGCGCTGCCAGGGATTGGCGGGTGCTCGTCATTGACGATTCTGAATAGGGCCTGCATGGGCTGTAGTTTGTGGTACGGCGGCTTTCCCTCAATCAGCTCGATGACGGTACATCCGAGGCTCCATATGTCTGACGAAGTGGTGGCGCCAGAAAGTTCAATGACTTCTGGAGCCATCCAGTAGGGCGTGCCCACAACGCTCGACTGGTCTAGACCCGACTGCTTTGTTGCTACGCCAAAATCGGCCAACTTGACCAAGCCCTCTTTTGTTGTTAGAATGTTGGCACCCTTGATGTCTCGGTGTATGACACCCTGCTCGTGTAGGTAGAGAAGTCCGTGCAGGACCTGGGACATGTAGAGCGCGACGAGGTTCTCGGGGAATTTTCCAAAGTTTTTGCAGATGCTGTGCAACGATCCATTCTCGCAGTACCTGCAACACATGATTAGCACTTGGCAAGGCGCAAAGCCAACAGCAACTCGGGGCAATACTCACTCTAGAATAATATACAGGCTCTCTGAGCTCCTCACGAAGCCATGGTACTTGACAATGTTGGGGTGGTTGAGGTTCTTGAGTAGGTCAATTTCCATCTCCATGTTCTTGAGATCTGCGGCGCCCAGGTTTTCGAGGCGGACCTGCTTGATAGCGACCGTCTCGCCAGTGCCCCAATTGAGGGCGCGGTAGACGCTGCCAAAGGCGCCTTTGCCCAAGCAGTCGCCCAGCTGGTAGTCCTTGAGGCCGGCGACATCTTGGGCGGCCTTTTGGGCGGTGCCTTCTCTGCTCGGGCGCTGGTCGCGAGGATGGCCATTTTGATTGGACAAGGAAGATGACGAGGGCTTCTTGGAGTGGCCTCCAGGCGTGGTGGACGAGGGATGCGAGGAGCGCGAGTTGGAGGGCGCATGCGAGGGCCTCTGGGCATGTGAGACCATAATGGCTTTGGGCGGCCGTGGCCCCAGTGCCAGCAGCTGGTGACGGCCTTTTCTTATGTCCGCGTCAAGTCCGTGGGTGGCTTGTCACGGGATTGGCAGGAGTCGTGGTCGAGGTAGGGCGGCGGTGCGTGGCTCGCTGCGGTGTGCATATCCTCGAGCCAGCTGCAGCGGGAACGGCGGGCGCAGCAACCGCAGAGGAAGAACAGCAGCAGCAGCAACGACAATGACAAGGACAGCCGCAGGAAGCGTAACGGCGTCAGGAACAGGAAGAGCCGTGGGCGGGCGTTTGCATCCAGGACCCGGCGAGGCCTACTACTACGGCTGCTGCTACGGCTGCGGGTGTTGTTCGTCCATGCGCCGCTCGGCGTGGTTTGTTGGCGGGGTCCGTCGCACGCCCTGGCCGTGAAAGAGCAATTATCAGTTGGGGATCCTGGCCGCGAAACACGCTCCAAGCCTGGCCAGCGAATCCCAAGGGCAGCTGCCGCCTGCCAGAGACGGCCGTCGTGGCGGCGCTGGGTCGGCCGGGTCTGTCAAAAGTCGCTAGGCACGGGCGCAGTGCGAGGGCGGCGTCATGGGCCGGGGGCGAGGGCGAGGATGGGGGGAGGTTGAGATTGGCGTCGGGCGGACGACGAGGGCGAGGCGAGGGTGGAATGGCATCCTTCTTCCACCGCTCCATGGACGCCGTGTGCTGTGCCCGCCTACCCAGACCTGACCGCTACCCACTCGTCTGCATGCCCGCCCCCAGCACATGCGCCCACTTCGCTTGCTCGACGCTGCCCAACCAGCACATGCCCAGCCCGCCCTCGCACGACGTCTGGCTTGTTTTTCCTCTGCTCGTTTCCCGTACGTACTGCCTCTTTACTTTTGGCCGTCTGCAGGGCCGGGCTCGCAGCCTTGTCCACGCGTAGTCACGTGCTTCTGCTCACCGTACACGTGTGCATACCTACAGGCGCAGGTACACCCTCCAGCTGCCTCGTTGCATCGTCTGTCGTCTACTCGGCCCATGGCCCGCCGTCACTGTCGCATCCAGCCACAGGCACCATGTACTTCGCTCTCGTCAGCCATGTGCCATCGTGTCGCCGCCAACCTTGGCCTTATCGCGGGGAATGTGGGGAACCATGACTTTTGCTTTGGCCACCCGTCTGCCAGCGCCAATGTCAATCCGCACCAAACAGGAAACTTCGTCCCGCCAAACACACACACAACCCAAACACGTCTCGTCACGCCGTCTACTCGATTGTCTCTCCCTACGCTAATTGTAATCGCCTAATGCCCCAGCTAGCCGACTGGTACACGTGCATATGCACCTGCCATCCAACGCTTCACACTGCCTCCCACCCAGTCACCCCAGTCACCCCAGCCCCTTGTCCTTGTATCCTGGCCCCTGCCTCAAGAGCTAACAACGTTGAGCACGCCACCATCAACCGCCAGAATCTGCCCGTTGACATACGAGTTCTTGGTAAAGAAAATGACCGCCTGCGCCATTTCTGCATCGCTCCCGGCCCGTCCGTGTGGAACGTGTCCCTTCTCCTGGATCTTCTCGTCTGGCAACTCACTCTTCTGCTGCTCGTCGCTCTCCTTTGCAGTCATCTCCGACGGGAAGTAACCTGGCGCAATGCTGTTCACGCGAATCCGAAGCTTCTGGAACTCGGCCGACATGAGCTTGCTCAAGTGCACCGTCCCGCCCTTGGCCGCGTTGTAGCTGAAGTGGCCCTGCGCGTCCTTGATGATGCCTGACATTGAACTAATCACAATCACCGATGCAGACAGGTGCCCGTGGGTTTCGGTCCCAGCCTGCAAAAGTGGTAGCAGAACAACGGTCGAGAAGTACACGGCAGTCACGTCCGTCGTGTACGTGTCGGCCCAGCCTTCGAAAGTCTCGTTGTCAAACAGCCTCTTCTTCATGTCCGTCGCCTTCTCTGCGTCTGGGATCGCCTTTTCGCCAGAAACCCCGGCAGATGCCACTAGTAAGTTGATGTACTTTTCCTTGGATGCCAGCTCCTGGTACATTCGCTCTAGATCGTCCTTCTTCGTCACATCACAAGGCGAGAGGGGTATTATCTGGCCACCTTCGCCGGGGTTGTGTGACTTGGCTGCCGTTTCAAGCGCTGTCCACTGAGTCAGCTGAGAGGCCTGATATCGCGACATCATGAACAAGCTTTCTCTTACCTTCTTGGCGACGACCAGTAATGTACACCTTGACTCCGTTGTCAGACATGCTTACCTACGTATGTTATGTATCATGGAGACATACCTTTGCACCATTTGCAGCCAGCGCCTGAGCAGCCATCAATCCAATTCCAGAACCCCCTCCAGTGACCACGCACACGTAGTCCTTGACGGAAAAGAGCTTTGCGACATGGAGATCATCCGTACTGGCTTTGGAAGGCATGGTGAATGCTCGTGATTGATTTTTCGTGCTTCTTAGATTGTCCAGTGGATTCCGAGGTTTAGGATCTTTTTGAAAGCTGGGAGTGCAGAGGAAAAGTCAGATTCAACACCTCAGAATGGCGTAGCAGTTTGCTTGGTGTTTTTGGTTTATGACGTACCCGAGTAAACAGCCCACCACAGCCTAATTAGACTTAGGGCAAACTCTAGCGTGGTCTATGCTCTTTCCCTATCGGGCCACGGAGAATATTGCAGTTCAGACGCTTTGCACTCTTTGCCTCCAGCTATCGCGTCGGAGCCGTCCAATCAATTGCCAACCGCGCCGTTGGTGGACAACCATTTTGGCCAGGAGTTCTCAATTGTTTGGCTGCGTCCTTCTTCAGTTTTCGCGGCGCCCGTTGTCATACATCACTGGGATATCGTGAACTGCTGTCTATCGCTATCAACTTTCGCTGCCTGCCATATACGTACATTCACCTTCCCGATAGTTCATATCCGCTTTACATATACCCTGGGGTGTACATATATGCAGCGCTCATCATACTCTTCGACAAGAAAGCTTTCATGAAAATCTCGCTTACGGCCGGGCCACCATGGAGCCCCGGATATCTTCGCCTTCTCGTCAGTGGAATGTCCCTTCCTCCGTTGCATTCAGATCACATGACCAGATCTGGCCTGAACCACTAGATACTCCTGGATATGTTCCCAGTCATCTCAAGCGCGCCGCAACTGGCCAATTTCCGATTTTGGAGCTCATCCAGCGCCTGCTGTACCGCCTTAAACCCAGTGGCATGGGTGAGGTGGAGAGAATACTTGCTTTCATTGGTCTATACCAAGCCTTATACCCAGCTTATACGTATCTGAAGGATTTTTTCATGTGGATGTGTACTGCACAAGTCACTATCCCAGAAGCTGATCCTGTGGCAAAAGAGATACTCGCTTGGATAGGCTCAGAGGTTATCACAAAAAGTCATTCACGAAGCGCTATGCTCATCACTGGTGGCATACAGGGTTCTCATCAGGCATTTCCCCCTGTAATGATGCCCTCTCCTCCGGGAGCGTCAACGCACAAGAAGGATGACGGTATCTTTTGCCTCTCACCCGTTGGTACACGACTCTTCTGGATCGGCTTTCGCCCATTTTTCTTCTCCCGCCGGGGTGTTCAGAGCTTTCGGAATAATGCATTGACATCTGCTAATGCAATACACGATAGAAGCCAATTTCAAAATGCCATTACCCTCACAACTCTAGGATGGAGTCTCAGACCGTTACAAAACTTTGTGGAAATGTGCCATGACTTCAAGCTGAAGCACCTTACTGGCACCACTACGGTTTACTTTGCAGGCATTAGCCGCAATGATCCCTACGGGAGCGGCTGGTATGTTGGACACACCGATCATATCCAGAGTACCATTATTCACTTTTCATAGGCAATCCGTATCCAAGGCCGTCCGCAAACTGGACACCATCGACATGGACGAAGACGTCAAATTCGATATCGTCAGAGATGCCGAGTACTACTACAGTGATGAGTCGTAAGTTTGGATTATGCCACGCCACCCATCCGTGCCTAAACCTACGTTTTGATCATGCGGACCGGATCGACAGTTTATACTTACAGAATCTTAGGCGAGCCTTTTTCGCCGACTGTGGAATTCCTTACAGACGCGGATATCTCTTCCACGGACCCCCCGGCACTGGCAAGAGCTCTTTCAGCGCTGCACTCGCAGGACATCTGAGATGCGACATTTACCACATTAGCCTATCGAACGGTACCATCAGTGACGACGCCCTCCATCGCCTCTTTTTGGGCCTTCCACGCAAATGCATCGTGGTCATTGAGGACATAGATTCCGCCGGTATCGGCCGCGAAAACACAGCTTCACGAAGAGCAGCGCGCGAAGAACGAATGCATTGCTACATCCCGAACGACGTCCTCGAAACAGACGCCTTTGAAGAACTAATCCCTCAAAAACGCCCCGCGTCAACTTCATCCTCTCGCAACCTAGTCACGCTAAGCGGTCTCTTAAACGCCATCGACGGCAACGCTTCGCAAGAAGGTCGACTACTCATCATGACATCAAACGACCCTGACGTCCTCGATCCGGCCCTCACTCGTCCCGGTCGCATAGACAAAAAAGTCTATTTCGGCAACATGACTAAAAGCGCAGGAAAGAGCATCTTTAAGCGCCTGATAGGGAGATCTGCAATGGCATATAATTCGGGCTTTACTGCTGCGCAAATTGCAATGTGGGCGGATGAGTTTGCGGACAAGGTGCCGTCGAATGTTTGTAAGTTTGTGGGGGGAATTGTGTGAATATCTTTTTGGGTGAGATGAGAGGCTAATATGTGAACAGTTTCCCCAGCACAAGTTCAAAACTTTCTTCAGGGCTGCCGCGGTGACCCGATCAAGGCGTTGAACGATATCGAGGCGTGGATTGCGGAGAATCGCCCTTCACGTGTGAGTGGGGCGTTTGATAGTAAATTCGACTTGTCGCTATCAGGAAGTGAGCCAGATTCAGGGTAAGCAGACGCTGGCTGAGGATGTGGATGATGAAGAAAAGGTAGCGTCAGGTGCTGGTAACGTATCCCGGTCTAGTCTATCATGTACAATACGTAAAAAAAAACAAGCACAAAAGTAGGCAAAAATATATGTACAATATCATTACTGATTGCTAGTCTAAAGGAGTGTCATACTTTCATCCATAATCATCATCGTCATCATCATCATTCTTCCCACTCTTACCGATTACATCCCCTCCCCCACATTTTTAAAAAAAAAGACATTAACATCATCCCCATCTAACACTCCCTCACATACAAGCCAATAGGACTAGGATTATAATCCTGGAAATACTCGACCGCAAAACTACCCTCGGCACACATTTCATACGCAATCGTCTGTCCCGCCGCACAATCCTGGGACTCGACATACCACTCGGTGCCCGGAGTGAGATCGAACCAGGTACTGGCGCCGCTGTCCTTGGGCCGATTATTCCACGTGGTGCCCTGGGTTGCGGGGCCAGCGAGACGGGAAACAGAGACGTGTCCGGAGCCGGAGATGGTGTAGTCGGAGGTTTGGAGGTCTTGCTTTTTGGGGAAGAGGAAGATGGTGGAGCATTTCTTGCCGGCGTACGAGTACGGGATGTCGAAGTTGAAGATGGTGCAGGTGCGGGAGTCGGCCTTGGCGTTGTACTGCGTGCCGTAGGCTGTGTCGGGGTGGTCGGCGTTGACGGGGACGATGAGATGCGGGAATTGGTATGCGCCGTTGAGGTCTAGTGGGCAGACGTCTGCGGGCGCAGAGGGGTGCGATGGTTGTGGGGAAGGGGAGGGGGAGGGTTTGGGTGGAGGTGGTGTGCTGCTGGTGCCGCAAGAGCCGGCGGCAGCGAGGGAGATTTTGACGCATTTTGCCTGGTTGGCCACAGGCTGTGAGTAGACGTTGTAGACGCCGTTGTCGTTGACGGGGCAGGCGTAGAAGGTGGCGGAGCCGCTGTAAGTCACGCTGCCGTCGGATCCTACTGCGAAGCCCGATGTAGGTGAAGCACCGACGTCGCATTGGAATTGGGTCGTGGGAGGTGTCAGGATGCAGCCTCGTCCGTTGGAATCAGTAAAGCCGCCATTGGATAGGCAGTAGCAACCGTTGGGCAACTTGTCGCCAACCCGATTCTGACCATCGCCGAGTTGGCCAAGGACACCTTGGGCGCCGCCAGATGCTTTGAGCGTGTAGCACTGGGTACCTGAGCGAGCGACGAGGGCGTTGGCACCAAGGCCCAGCGCCAGAGGAACAAAGGCGTATCTCATAGTGTAAGATGGAATGGAATTATTATAGAGATTATATTATAGATGTTGAAAAATGTCTATTAGGACACGGAAACTGCGAGGTCTTTATACGTTTTGGCTTCTCGGATGGAAGCATAACAAAACCCTCAAAGTATCTCCGGCTTCTCCAGTAATACGGGTTTAGATGCTCAGCTAGGGCTTAGAGCAAACATTGATGATCCACTACGGCAAATCGACGGTCGTGATGTCAGAATGTGTATGCTCGTACAAGCATTTGGTGAATCTCGTGTCCAAGGTGGCAAGGGTCCAGGAAGCTCGAGCAGCTGGCTTCGATAACGTGGCTGATGGATACGGGCGGAAATGTTGCGGCCTCAAGTAACGCAAACCACAGTCATTGGTTGTTGGCAGTAAGAAAGTTTCCGGGGAGCCGTGTTTCTTCATGATCAACGGTCGGGTTCAAAAGTTCTGGGACCTGGAAAATGGTCCCTGGTTTTCAAAGCTACTATTCAGAACTATCTTGAGTATGTGGCTTTTAGTAGCAAGGCCCTGGATTGTACGTGATGCTAACCATCAAGATTGAATCCTGAAGAAGCCATTTACTCAAACACCGCTGTATCTTAGTAGTAAGCAGACTATCGTATAAATTCGTGCAGTAGGGCTGGTGTTGGGGGACGTGGTGGCCAGGAGTGAGATCCGGCGGCACTGTCGGATTTGCTGTCACTTTTTACGGGAGAGCTATTGGCACTAACTTTGTCAGTGAGTAGGAGACCATTGGGTTTCCAAATACAGTAATTCACCGTTGCCGAGTGTTCCGTAGTCCCAAAAATACATGCACGATGACAAAATAAGCATTTCTTGCAGAATACCCCGCGCTTGGTAGTTGCTTAGAGTATTATGTGGGGCGGAAGGGCGGCGTGGCATTATACAAAGCCAGATATTCGTATTCCAAGCTCGCTGGCTGCAGTCAGAAGAAGCGATGGAGGGATGGTGACTGCATACACCAATCTAGTTGTCAGATGCTGAATTACCACAGCCGAGAAGAAGGAGCATATCAAGAGTAGCAATGTTGACGGAACCGTTCCGCCGCCTAGACTTTCGGGTTCACTCCGTGAAAGTTTTAATGTTTTGAATTTGCTGTCGTACAAGACGGAGAAAGTTGCGGGGCAGATATGCGTGTTGATCACGCGATGCCGAATCTGTGCGTCACATCCCCCAAGTGGATTGGAGGCGGTTGTAAAGGTACCATCGCCCCGGTAGAAGCTCAGGGCTTGCATTTACCAGGCTAGAACTTCCTTTCAGAAACGCTAATGAGTCGCAGATTCCTTAGTGTTCGATCAATATGTGGTATAACGTAGAAAGATCGACTAGTACGGCCTCTCGAATCCAGCCACCCGGATCAGTCCTCTTACAGCGACTGAGAGCATATGCCGTTCTCACGAGTCTCATGATGTACTGGCACGTTCAGAATATTGATGACGGATCAGCAGAGGTGATATGCTGGTAGAAATGTACACAAAAGACCACCTCTCGTATCCGGCAGACATCGGCTTTGGGCTTGACAGTTGTGGCCGGATGAGCGATCAGATGACATTCAACTGAGTGGCTGGACGGACGATATAACACGGGAACGACGAGCCCAATAACATCTCGGGGTGATGTTTGAACTATTGGTCATGTATGTTCGTACGATCGGGCTGAAAACTGCTAGCACCATGAAAAGGCTTGAGAAGGGTAAGGCGGAAACAAGGACTTGACGGTCTGCATATATTTACACTTTATGTCACCCGCTTGTCTTGATTGAGCATAATTAATCGACCACCGGGTCATGTCGCTCAGCCCGAGCCTTCCGCCACTTTAGTACATTTCTTTATCATAGCAATGCTGTTATTCCCAAGACATGAGAAACTCTACGTCGAGCAGATCTTGGGAAATTGCCCTTCCAGTGGCTTCCGATACACATCCGGAAAAAACACTATCATCTTGGTAAATGCCACCCAGTTTTTTATTATATTGGTAGGGATGTTTGGTTCTCATCGCCGCACTTCGTATTCAGGAAACTTTATTATTACCTTTCTGCTCTCAGAAAAATTCCCGCAACTGGCAGATAGACTTTATGTATCTGAGCGTGTGCGCTAGTGCATATGTATGTTTTGGCAAGTTGCCAGGGGTGACACCAGCCCTGAAGATTTTTCCCAGAATAGTCTACTATTTGACGTCTCATGTTGATGCCTATGATGGCTTTGGCTCGACCCTGTAGGCATATGAGATGATATCTTCACCTAAAACTCCATGATTTGCATGCATCTACGGTATGCTCAAACAAGTGTTGGTAGAGAAACCAAGAACTATGTATTATATAAAACACATCAAGAGATGAGTTAGAGGCGCTACTCACAGCATTTGTGAATTAATTTCCATGAAGTTTTACTCAATTTTATCTTAATTCGCATGTGAACTGCGATTGTACATTGCTGGATGTGAGGGTTACCCTGAGATCTGGTGATACTTAGTAGCGAAGCAATAGAAACAGGAATCATGCCAAGCGCCGCATATTGATTGCTATATCCCCTCCAAGTGTTGAAATCAAAGGTAAGATACGTGCCTCCAGGGGTATATAGCGAAGGAATATAGTTATCCACTCACCCATGGTAGTTGGAATCAAGGTCTCGTCGCTTAACTTTTGACACCAAACACACCTACTATGGCTTACCCTCCCAAGCCTTGGCAAGATACTCCTCCAACCCTATAAACTTGTGATCCGGAAACCTCTCATTCCATTCCGCACTCACATTCCACGACCCATTCAGAATCGCCTGAAAGAACATGACCACGAACGTCTTCGAAAAGACTTCTTGCTGATCTTCCTGCACCGTCGGGTGCGAAATTTTCGGAATCCAACTCGTCTTGAGCTCCCACGCTTTTATGTCGGCACCAGACACCCGTTCAATCGACCACTCGCCACCCCGCAACTTCTTTCCCAGTGCAATGATCTCATTAATAGTAGTGTGGCACCCCGCGATGCCGCCAACCTTCGGCCAAGGCCTCTCCGTATCCGCAAGCGCCTTTGCAAGAATCGCGGCATCGTCCTGCATGGCCGTCAGCACAATCGGCTGGTCTCCCTCGTCCAGCAGCATCGCGCGCCTGTTCTCAAAATCAACGAAGAAAGGCCATGTCATGAGATCGGGTTCAAGCGGGTACGGGTGCGCAAAGTAATCCATGAAGATACTTGGCTGGAAGAAACAATATTGCATGCCGTTTAGCTCGCCTTTGGCATCTAGGTCTTCTAGGTAGCTGCGGATGTGGTCTTTTCCTACGTAGCTGGGTACACCGCTGTTGCTTGCGATGCTCCATTCTGAGGGGGCGAAGCGGGATACGCCTGCTGCGATGCTGGCGTGGATAAGATTCTTCTGTCCGATGTTGTCGACGTCGAGGTGTACGACGAAGAAAGAGAGAACGGTGTGAACGCCACGTAGGGCGTTTTTCAGGGCATCGCGAGAGGTGTAGTCAACCTGTAGGTAGGAGACTCTAGGGGAGGGGTGTGGCTTTGAGGGTGCAGAGCGCGTGAAGATTACGATGTCGTGTTGGTTCGAGGCGATTGTTTCTTTGAGCATGCAGGTTGCGACGTCTGGTGGTGAGACGTTATTACAATGTCATTCATTTCACGATGATGTAAAAATTGGAAAATGCAAGTGGGGTATTTTTGGACACGAGGAGAGACAGCATACTTCCTGTGCCTCCAGCTACCGCAATTTTGACCATGATTGTTTTGTGATTCAATTCAATCAGTATCAAGAGAAAGACGTGTTTCTTGAAAAAGATACTTGGAATTCTTTTGCAAGTCTTTGGACATGTTGTATTTAACTGTCATTCAGGTGTGTATTAGTCATACAGAGGTGGGGTGGAGAAAACAGGGTACTTCGGGGAACGAAAGGTGGAGAAAGCAGATTATGTCGCGTAATATCGTGCAGTGTGGGTAAGGCTGATTGGAGGATATCTACAGCTATCTCTAAGGATGCGCATCGCAACTTCTATAGATAAAAACAGGATGCAATGACTAGTGATGGAACAGAAATGAACAAAAGCTGACATGTCAAATGCCAAGTGGGTATATGCCAATGTAAATGAAGAAAGATTTCACTATAACGTTATCGCCCTCATGTCTCAATGAGAGGAACTTCAGGTAATGGCTTCTCGGGGAGGGGTTTGCTTGGCAAAGGCTTCATCGCCTCCTCATAGGCTGGTGGTCGTGATGAACTGCCGCCTTCTTCTGGATCGTCGGTGTACCTGGCTTCTCCATGCAATAGAGCACCCTCCTCTTCGGCCATCCTTTCTCTTCTCATGTTCTCCCACACGTCCTCCATGCCGTCCCACTTCATAAGTTCGCGTTGTGCCCTAATCCACCTGAAAAGTTTGAAGAGACCAAAAAGCGCAAGAAGGCCAGCAACAACGCTGAAGAAGATGACCCAGAACAAGCCCCAGAACTGCCAGTGCACAAGTTCACCAAACATATCACGCAGGGTGCCTGTCTTCCCGTAGCGACCCCACTCTTCTTTGCGATATAAGAAGCGGCTTCCCTCTACTTGCCAGACGTCATTTCCGAGGAAATGGCCGATTCTTCCCCATAGCGACAACGGTTTGTTTTCTGGAAAGGTATGTGCTCGAGCTACGAGCCGCATGTCGACTATTTGGTATTCGTATCTCCTGTCTTCAGAATCTGACTGTCCATTAAATGGATCAGCAGCCTTGTTCCCTCCACCGCCATGGCTCTTTCTCGTTTTCAGCGGGATTCCCTTGACCAGCATCCAGAGCATCTTTTGCTTGGGATCATCATACTTCCAGAGTGGATCATCGGGATACCTCGACCTTCCAATAGCATCTAGTGAAACATTCCAATATTCGGCATCGTCTTGCTCGTCGTCGCTTTGATGCTGGGTTGATTCGGCAATGTATAGATAATCAAATTCCAGGCGTATTTGCGGCCAAAGCGGAGTCTTTAAGCACCATTCAGCAGAGTCGAAGTCACGAGCCTGAGTGTTGCAATAAGGGTTTGGGCTTTTCAGGCCGCGGGACAGCTCTGCGTTAGAAAGGTTGGTGGTGTACAGGGCGGTGTCGAAGCGCGAGGGTGTAGGTATGGTTGGTAAAGGGTATAGCGGGCGGTTGTTGAGCAAAACGGTGCGATTGTCGTGAGTGAGGGTGACATTTAACAACTGCAACGTCAGTACATGTACGCCACGTCCAGCAACAGCACCAACAACATACCAGCAGGTAGTCCGCCTTTTCGACCTTCTCCTGTTCCGGGAGGGCAAAAGGGCAGTCAATGCATTTGATCTTCGCAATATACGACGATCCAGGAACTACTGCCGTGACGTCGGCGACGGGTTGCGCACACTCCTTCACGTTGCCCGTCTCCTCCGGGTCATGGCAGTCAAGCGCATTCGGAATGTCGCTGCCACAGACTAACTGCAAGAAGGTAGCAAAAAGAGGCACACCAAGCAAGCGCATGGCGGGCGGGCGGTGGTGAATGACGGAGGTGTGGTGTCCACCCTCCATCATCCACCGGGTCCTCGGCTTCGCCTGTCAGGGGCGGGACGCGGTCGCGAGGCGCACATGTGGGGCGAGCCTAGCTAGCCTGACAGGACCACTCCCGCGACTTAATATTGCTATTAAAAGGTTATATGGCTCAAGTGCTATGGCCCTCCAGTTACAACAAACGTGTCATGTTACGGGATCCAAGCAGGATGCCTATCGGTTTAGATGTTGAACATATACATGCACCGATCACGTGATACATGACATGTGATACCCTGCATTCGTAGTACAACTCCAAAATCATACACATGACAATGGAGATTTACATTACTTTCTATGACCATCTGTGCAACGCGCTATACATCAATATAGCTCCCGCAACTTACATCTCCAATGGCATTTTATAGCATCTAGCTTTGACTTGAGTTGGTCGGTATTCATGTTAGTAGTAGAGTGACAGTATGACTGATATCTATTAAGCCAACCTTAATGTGACTGAGGCTACATATGAGGGACTCATTGTACTTTGCTTTTAAAAGGAATGCACTTCCCTGGTCGATAGTTGCCTTGATTTGCTGCTTTGAAGTCGACGATGAGATAAAAAGCCCTGAACCTTATAAAGTCTTGTTGAGGAGAATACACTGTTTTACTATATTGGCAGAATTTGAGCGTATTCAAGACCTGCAACACATCACTAGGTTTTATGAAGATGCCCTGTCAGACGTAATAGCTTCCATAGACCAGATAAAGCATTCACCACCACTTATCGCCAGAAGCTATCTCCTCTTGAATAACAGGACAGTAGAAAAGCTCGACATACTGAAAGCGGTTGTTGCGGCGCCTGTGTTGATCCCAAATGATATTGTACAGTAGCAAGTCGTTGTCCAGTGTCATGCTTCTGCTGAGCGCCAAACGATAGCGAACTATGGCTATACAACCCTAAATTATTCGGCTCCAAGGTTAAATTTTGGCCTTGATACCATTGTACATCTAACTAGCCCAGCCTGCTCTTTACGATTTGCTGGGGCCGTACCGCCGCTAGACCTTATGACGTCACACTATGAGATCACAGCACGCACCTAGCGACATAAAACAAGCAGCTCATCATCATTCTTTCGAATTCAAAGTCTCTTTCATAAACATACCCTAGTGTGATATACGAAAATATCAACTTCACTTAAAACAGCACACGATGTCTTCATCGACTTTCCAATCTTTCTCCAGCTCCAGCAGCTCCACAACCATCAACGGCCAAACCGTTTCAAAATCCGAGCAAACATACTCAGACCCCAGTGGTACCCGTACGCAGCGTACCCACCAAGCACCGGGTGAGGCTCCACGCGTCGAGCGCTTCCACACCGATGTGAACGGTAGACAGCTTGACAGCTCCCACGGCACGGACGCGAGACGTATCCAGGATGTGACTGAAGAGGAAGATGCACGTGCCAAAGGAAGAGAGTATGAGGAAAGAATGGAGGACGAATATGCGAAGAGGGAGGGCGGTGCTTAAAATCTTCCTGCGAAAAAAATGACAAAAACATGCAAAATTGATAAAACTTTTTTGAATATGCACAAAGTTCGAGATTGACGTATCTTTTTTCCTACATAGAAAAGAAGTAGTGGGAGAAGAAGGAACCAAAAAAAGAGTCCAGCTGAGTATATACAGTTCAAGAATAGAAAAGGGTACCCTTCATCGTGAGCACCCAAAAGGTGTGTCTGTTACACAGAAAAAGCCTCCAGCTTGGCATGTTTAGTGGCCAAAGTAGCTCTTGATCTTGGGCAGAATGTACGACCAAGCAACGCCAGTGGTCGGCTCCATGCTGTAGATGTAGTCGCCCCACCATGGGCCAGCCGCCCACCAGATGGCACCCATCCACACATCAGAGTTCTTAGCCAGGTAGTCGAGACCGCCCTGAACGGCGGTAAGGCACTGAGCGTTGCTTCCAGCACCAAACTCTCCAATGACACCCTGGAGCTTGTTGTCCTTCAGCCACTGTGTTGCCGCCACAAGGCGCTCCTGGAAGATGGTGGAGCTGACACAGTCTGCGTTTGTGCCAGAGCCATCACTGTCGAGGTACTGGTGCATCTGGAAGACGAGCTTGTTCTGCGGGTCCTTGAGTTTGATCATTGATGCGGCGTTGCCAGAGGAAACCCAGGTCCAGGCGCCGGTCCAGCTGGTGCCCTCGGGAGTAATGTACTGTGTCGTCGCACCTGCAGCGCGGATACCATCAATACCAGCCTGGTTCAGACTAACGACAAGATCGTTTGACATATCATGGAACTCATTGTTGATGTCGAACACGACGAGAGAGTTATCCTTATACTGCTTAGCGACATTGGTCCACCATGTCTTGAAGCCCGCCGTGTCGCTGATGACCTGACCGTTGAAACGACCGTAGTTGTGGGGCTGAACCATGGCGTACGCACCCTTGGAGGTGATGTACTTCACAGCTGCAGTAAGGTTGCCTAGGTAGTTGGAGTCAAAGTCGCCGGTGAGCGAGTTGGGCGTCAGACGCTCCATCAGGAAGTTGATACGGAACATGTTCATGCCTTGTGCGAGGAACTGGTCGACCTGTTTGGTATCGACCCAGATGTAGTCCTTGTTGTATACACCAGGGATGTGAGCCTCGCCGAATTCGGGTCCAGACTCGTTGATGCCGAACCACTTCAATTTGCCATTTGACTGGCTTTGCGTAGCCGAGGTTTTTGCTGGAGATCCAGATGGTGATGGAGAAGGAGATGGAGATGGAGATGCAGATGCAGATGGCGATGCCGCCGCTGCTGCACCGCCAGCTTGAGCCTGAGCGGCAGGTTGAGGTGAAGCAGCAGCTTTAGGGTGCGCAGCGGCTTTAGGGTGAGGGCATGCCAGAGTGGTGCCAGCCAGGGCGACCGCAACGAAAAGATTCTTGAAAAGCATTGTAAGGAACGAAATAAGCTGTCTTGGTAAAAGCTTGTGATGGTTGCCTTCCAAGCAAAATGGGGCAACCGAGACTTCTTTATACTAAGAGCCAAAGAGCTATATGAAATGGAAATAACCACTTGGGCGACTACTGACCGGGATGCTGCATACCGTCCCCTCATGGGAATTCATTTCGCTCGGTCATAATATGAAACTCACGCGTACGGAATGGCAGACACGGCTCTCTAGGCCGGGATACAAATTGGGTTTCCCAAAAGCGTATTGAAGAAGCTTTGATCGACTGGAGATGTGGGTCACGCCTCGTACCTCGTGCGAACAAATAAGCACTTTGATTTGTGGAAGCGGCAGAAATAATGGAGAATCCAGAAGCGAATCAACGCGCCAATTACAATGGTCGTCGATAAGTGGGTGGTAATTTAAGGACTGGTTATGAAACGTTGGTCTCGATTGTTCCGTGACCATGACCAAAGCCACAGAGCACATGTCACTGGTTCCCAGTTTTGGCGAGCCTTGCATGCCAGATTGTTTGTAAATTAACCGTCCTAGAGCCTTGCTGTTTCTGCTCTAGCGGCTCATTTGCCGTCGGCTTGCGAACATGGGAATCCCGCCTAAAACCCAACATTGCGAGGAGAAGCCGCGCCAAACGAGTACTAAGCTTTATAACGGGAAGTTTAAGTTGCTTGACACCCGTCCTGAATTCAGTTCGTGCGACAACACCATGCTGACGAAAAGATGAGACTCGTACTAGGCGATAATATCACGTTTCCTCTCGGCTGATTGATCAAGTGCGCAACACCACCGATTCACGCTCACAATTCAAAATGTAAGCGCAAGCCGTCAGGTACCTCATATTTGCACGTTGTTCTAGGGCCCACATCTTCATCGAAAACTGATTAGCTGTGCTGTTGTCAGGACATTTAGCGACATCAATAATGTTTACTTGCGCGGGAGGGGGCTTGTGGAGGTACTGATATTTTGTGCGGCAGGGCAACCTTTGTTGGGTGAGCAGTGGATAGCCCCTCATAATGACGGGTCATGGCAATAGTCAAAGGTCGACCAGTGGGTATCTAAAGTGTTGATAGAGTAAAGAGATTTCTCTTCAATCGACATTTCGTGCATCTATTGCAAGAGCACAAGGACGAACATTCAGCGGCATTCCTGAACCAGCAGAGTGGTAGTAATCCCGCTTCTCCTTCAAGTACACAAAATAGAAGCAAAACGCAGCCAAAACCATGCAAACGGTTCCCATGCGCATTCCACTCAATGCGTACCTTGAGTAATGATTATCCAGACTCCATGCCTGATCGGAGGTCGTCATCGCACAATATTGCGCCGACTAGATACGGAAGGCATATTTTTAGAGAAAGGGCCGAGTCTGTTTCTGGAAAAAGTGCCAAACACGTTTTGGCTACTTCTGACACCAGCCCGTTGTAAATTCTTCCACGGAATCTGTGAACGGCGAGAAGAACGACCCGAGATGGCCGAAGGCATGGATGAAAATACCTTCCCAATTCGATCTTGTGTGGGACTCTTTTGAAAGGATGGAACTGGTACTGTGCGAACATATCCAGTCGGTTGCCCGACATAGGATGGTCGATTCTCTGAAGAAACACATGCGTCATTGTTCGAGTATTGCAGCCACTCTGTCTCTGGCTTGGTGATAAGTCTGTTAGAGTCTAAATGGCGGCTCTGGCGATAACCTGATGGAAGATTTGGCTCGAAATCTGTTCGATTGTAGCTTCGGGTCAACCCGTCACTCTCATTCCTAGGGCTAACGGGGGAATCGAAGAAAGAGAGCCCATTCAGGCTACGTGGCTCAAGCCAAGTAGCTCGAGGCGTTGTCATCGTTGATCTTTGAGACCGATAGACGGCGTAATGATTTGAACTACCCTCAGGTTCAGCGAATCCGGATGGCGAATAGATTTGGGCCTGGCTATGACCCCCTCTAAAATATGGACTTACTACGCTCTCAATTGAATTCCCTGGATGATGGTACTTTTTAGGTGAATGTTGGGCGCGGCCAAGATTTGGCCTGTTGTACAGTCTGTTTGTAGATGCGTTAGTCGGTCTGTATCGTGGAGGCCGCTGGTAAGTTTCAACAGAAGTAGACGATCCGTGAGGAGACTGGTGCATAGGAAAATTTCTTGGACTCCAGAACTTTTGTCCATGTGTGGTTTGTGGGATTGGCTGATTCTCATGCACATACCCCATTTGCCTGTTACTGCCGTCACTTTGATAGTCTAGGCCAGCATGATCACGCGGGTCTTTCAAACCCAGGTCGACTTCGTCTTCGCACGAAAGGCCATCCATCAGGCGAATATATGACGGCTCAATAGGTAGTTGGACCAGATGGTCTCTTTTACTATAAGACTCCGCCTTGGCGGGTGAGGATGCTCGGAATGTGAAATCAGATTGGTGTTCATACATGCCAATCTTGGCCCTTTGTTGCGGACTCCTGGAGCCTAAGTGTTGAGATTTTTGCTCCATGGGGAGAGCACCTGACATGTACGGTGGCTCACTATAGAATTCATTATGAATCTCTTGTCGCGGAGTGTTGACACTTTGCCAGTTCGCATCCTTGTGCATCTGAACACCCTTGCCAACCCCCGGGTTTTCGTCTGCCAAAGTAGAGGACTGGTCACTGGTGAACTTCTTTCGTAGAATGGGGAATATGTTGCGCATAGATTGCATCCTCGATAGTGGCTTTGCTGGGGGCTGCATCGGTCGTCGACCTGGGGAACAATCGACTTGCATGTCTTTAGGAGTGGGAGAGTCAAGGCGTTGCCGTTTACCGGGACGCCGTAAGTGGGAACTCGAGGGAGTCATTCCCACTTTGTCTGATGCGTGTACATTGCCACCAACAGTATGACTCGAAGTGGCCTTTCGCAACACTCCATTGAAGAATCTGTCATCATCACGAGCGAGAGTTTCGTTACTATCGAATGCACTGGGGTCTACTCCTTTGAAGTTCGGTACAGGTTGCATAGGCATTGCAAATCCCAGCTGGGCTAGTCGCTTTTGCATCTTCTCATTTTGCCTAGGAATCTTAGCACATCATACACAATCCAAACATGGTTCACTTACTCCATCAACATCGGAACGAGCTTCAGGTAGTGTCGAATTGCTGACTTGTTCGTAATGAAAGTCTTCAGATCTCGTGCATTGACATTGAGGCTGCGGAGTTCCTCAAATTCCTGTTCGATACCTTGTAGCCGCTGCACCTCTGCCTGCATGGCTTCGAATTGATCCTTTTGCGCTTTCAGTTTTTCCACCTCATTTTGTAAACCGATCATCTTCACATGCTCTTCAGCCACGAGATTGCGCATATTGGTAAGGTTCTTCTCTGATTCCTTGAGGGTTTGTTCAAGAGGCTTGCGGGTCGCATAAGTGTTTTGGCAGTACCTTATGAGCGCGATATACTGGAACTACATGACATCAGCTGTTTGTGTTCGTATGTGCACAGGACAGTGAAATACACGCAAAGCATCCATCTCCTTGCCATTGCCATCAAGTCGAATTGGCGGCGCAGTGAACCAGGACGGTGGTATCATAGGGTCGTATTCGTTCTTGTTGAAGCCACGAATCGAGTACAGAAACTGAGGCTCACTGTCGTCTTTCTCTTTGATGCACACAGGACACGGCGCTTTTGGGCGCTCTTTGTCGCTGTGGAAAGGCGGTCCTGGGTATTATTAGCATTCGCTCTACATGGCATTGCGGCCACTTACCGCCACCCTCAAGATGGCTACTGCAAAAGACGTGGCAACAGCTTGCGAGGAATAGCCGCGTCACAAGGCGATCTTTCGGGTTGATGCCATCCGATAGACCGCGAACGGACTCATGGTGGCCTTCGTATACATCGGCAAAGGTAGCACTGCAGAGCGAACAGGAGTAGATGAAGTTAAGAGGAGCGGAACCAAGGCCCATTGGCTCTTTCTCAGGTGTAGAGCCCATATTTGCGATTGTCTATATTGGCGAAGGAGTAGCGCAGAAGGTGAGAGTAAGGTGCACGCAATTTGCGCGTGACGGAGAGGTTGGAAGTCGCAAACCACGATGCCAAGACAAGAGACCCTAGTGGTACCTTCCTTGGGTGGTGAGAAGTGAAAGGTGATAGGTGACCGTGAGAGCGTGAACATCATGAGAAATAAATTGACAACATTCATAAGAAGAACGCAGGACGTTCAGAGATTGGCACAGATGAAGAGCACATTCCATGTGAAACTTGAAGAGATGATGGAAATATGAAATAAAGTGGAGGAAGAAAGTCCTTCATGTGTACAGTGTCTCTATCTTGGGTGTCGTTACCAGGAGCTATATTCCAACCTAAGCAAATGTCCGGCACGGGTACCTATACCTTGTTAGCATCATGACCTAGAATTAGGCTTGTCTCGTGGCGTACCCATCACCGTATGACTGGTCCTGATCCAAATCATATCGCTTGTGTCCTGAAACTCCGGTGCTGTGCAGGCCGCTAGGAAGCGGAGGCATGCCACCGGGACCTAGTACATCCTTTGCAAGTCCAGTATTCTTCTCAAACGCAACAGCAAGTCCCTTCGCACCCTGTTCTTGGGCAGCAATCAGAGACTTGGAGCCCGCCTCACCAATCAATTCCTGCTTGGGCGCTGCTGCGCTTCCAACTTCGAGCAATGCAACCGCGTCGGCCTGGGTGACGGTAGAGAGCCTAGGGTAACGTCTTCGCACATCGCGCTTCCAGTACGGGTTTTCGGCGATATCGCCAGCAGGAACAGTAACGGGATCGTCGTAGGCCATAGGATCGTTTGCGCCGGGAGGTGGGTTACGGAACTGCGGGTTCATTGGGATACCCGTGGAACGCTTGGGGTCGATCGCGAAGAGCCTGTTGATAGCTGCATAGATCCCAGTAGGCTGGACAGTATATTTCTACGTGGGCATCATCAGCGTGATGCCTTCAATTGCATTTATAATAGAGGGTGGAGGGGCGTTCGGACGAGGGCGTGCTGCTATGGGACTGGGCGAGCCGTACCGAGAAGACTGCCGTCTTCAAGTTCTTAGCCATGTTGGGCGCTCAATTGCCTGGGCAAAACGGAGGAGCGGAGTCGAGTCGAGGTGCGTGCGTGGTGCTGTCGCGCGTTCAGCGATGCTATCGTCAAGGTTGATGTTCGCGAGCCTCGACATCTGCCAAGACGGCGATTCCCGCTTGAGAATTGCCGTCTTCTCATTCGCCAATTCACCCTGAAATTGCACATCTTCCAATTGCTGTGAGAATGCATCGTTCCATTACACGTTGATGTCACAGAGAGAACCACATGATATACTCGAAACTTCGTTTTTGCTTATGGTGAGCATCTAACCTTCTAGTCTGCATTTCAACTTTCCTGCGAGCTGTGACCAAGAGGACACACAACCAAGCCCAGTATGTGTGTGCGTAGGCAAGACTGTTAAGCAAATGTACGTAGATTGAGCAATCGGACATTCGAAGCTCATCTTCAGGCACGTTTCGATAATTTGCCTAAAGCTTCCGCATCTTCCTCCAAAAAGTAATTTTATTTGAATAGTATCCTTTGCATCCTGGTCTACCTAAAGCTCACCAACCCGAGTTTATGAAGAATGCATTGTTGCCTCCCTAGAACGTGCACCATTAACTGCACTTTGCTCTGCCTGCCACCCACCCTGCTGGAACCCGCTCCTGGGTTTTCCAGGCCAGCCTGATGTCTATTGGCCAAGATACTACAAGCTACAAAACTCGTGTGCTTGACTCTCCTGGCGCTTCATCACTGTACCATCTTCTAGATAGCACCTCTGCGGATCAGCAAATCAACCTTACTCAACAAAACATCATCTATTGGTGATTTGCGAGTGCAAAATGATCGCGGTTCCCCGGGCGGAACTTGATCACGATACATGACGCGATGTTTACTTTTGAGATAGTGACAGTGCTGACATGCATGGATGCACGATAATCGCCATGGAGTCTCCCGCCAGCCTTCCTCTCCCTCCCACGCCTACGCACCCAATATCCGCGCCCTTCCTGTCCGCAAAAAGTGGGTCAAACTACGAAGCTGCATCATTATCCGCGTTAGCGTCATCGCCTGCCTCGATATCCGCTGTGTTTGGTTGGGTCCCGATGAATTGCTCGAATATCCGACGGTAGCCGTAGTGCGCCGCAACATATACCCAGTGTTCCCGCATGGATCCTGCTTCGACCAAGCTCCAGTAACAGGGCAGATGACCACTTCACCGGGCTGAGATTCTTTGTCATTGCAGATGCAGAGGGTATCGGGGGAGATGCGGATGGTGGTGGAAGCGCGCTGAAGTACTTAGGTTGCTGCTTCGTCGTGCAGAATGGAGCAGTTGTACGAAAGATTTGAGCGCATCTCTGATCACTTTTCTCGAGAATATCTTCTCGTGGCAATGAGATTGAGTGTGCACCAATAACATTTCCTGCCTAACCTCAGATCTGCTACAAGAAAAATTTATCTGAACCGCCATCATGGCTGTTCTCTTCCTTCTAGGCTCCATTTTTGGAGCGCTGGCACTCTACGTAAGCCGCTTGACAATCAACCCACGCACACAACTAACCAGACCCACAGATTTTCAGTGTCATAGTCTATCGACTCACCCTTCACCCTCTGGCTTCTTACCCGGGCCCTTTCCTCGCAAAGATCACCGACATCTACCTCGCTTACTATGCCTACAAAGGCTCGCGTCATCTCGCCTTCCACCGTGCACACGAGAAATACGGTACATATGTGCGCCTAGGACCCAATTTGCTCTCCGTCAACACGGCAACTGGTTTGAAGACCATCTATGGCTTCCGGTCCAATGTTAAGAAGGCATCGTTCTACGAAGCCTTTCCTAGCACACCAAAGGCCGTCAGCGTGCACAGCGCGATTGACAAGATGCAGCATGCCCGCAAGAGGAGAGTCATGAGCCATGCATTCAGCGATTCCGCAATCAAGAGTCTGGAAAAGTACATCCTGGCCAATGTACGCGTTGGCTGTGAAATGCTCGCGCGCAAAAGCAACAATTGGTCTTCCGGAAAAGCCATGGGTGACGAGAAAGACGGTGGCTGGAACGATGTCTGGAACGCTGCGCACTGGTGTGAGTGGCTTGTCTTCGACATCATGGGCGATCTGGTATTCGGGAAGGCTTTCGGAATGCTGGAAAGTCCTGCCAACCGTTTCGCAACCGAGTTGGTCGGAAACGCAGCACATCGCCATTTGATTTGTGGCACACATCTTACTATCCACAACTGGCACTTGGATAAGCTATTCTTCCGCAAGATTGCTGGCCAGCGCGCGCAGTACATGCAATACAGCAAGGGACAAGCTATGGAGCGCACCAAGCTGGGCCTAGATGTTGACCGCAAGGACTTCTTCTACTACCTGCTGAACGCAAAGGATCCGGAGACTGGTAACGGCTTCAGCATGGATGAGCTGTGGGGCGAGTCGAATTTGCTTATCATCGCTGGCTCGGACACTACTTCAACGGCCATGGCTGGCACAATGTTCTATCTCGCAAACAACCCTTCAGCAATGCAAAAGGTGTGCAAGGAAATCCGCGAAACATTTGCTGACGTCGAGGAAATCGTTACTGGACCCAAACTTAGCGGCTGCTCTTTCTTGCGTGCATGCATCGATGAAACGATGCGCATGACACCCCCAGTAGCTGGTGCTCTTCCCCGAGAGGTTCTCACTGGAGGCCTTGATATCGATGGCCGCCACATTCCTGCCGGAGTAGACGTTGGTGTTCCCATCTATGCGATCCACCACAACCCTGAGTACTTTCCTCAGCCATTCGATTACATTCCTGAGCGTTGGCTTCCGGATCATGCAGTAAACCCTCATCATAGCAGTCTCCAGGCGGCTCAGGCAGCATACAACCCATTCAGCATTGGCCCCCGTGGGTGCATTGGTAAGGGCCTGGCGTATGTCGAACTGACTGTGACCATTGCAAGAGTTTTGTACTTGTACGATCTGAGATTGGCCCCCGGTATGACTCTGGGTGCAGGAAGCAAGGAGCTGGAGGAGGGCCGGAATAGGGAGACTGAATACCAGATCATGGATGTATTCGCCAGTAAAAAGGATGGACCGATGCTGCAATTCCGCGCACGATCGTAGATTAAGCTAAAACTTTGCATCTCAATACTTCCAATATATACTATATACTCTTCAAACCAGACGCCAGTTCGTCATGTGCCGCGGCTATCAAGTTCCTTGCTACACATGAGCTGTTGGTTCAAAAATGTCTTTGTCCATACATCGAGACTCCAAGGACCGAACACGCCACATGCCCGCAAAAAAATATATAAAATTCCAAAAACATACGACAGTGGAGATTCGTCAGTGGTCACCCGCCTAACTACTAATCCACCGGTAAACTGTTTAACTAAAGAAGATCCAACGAGTTTCAGTGGTCCAAGCTTCCTATGGTCGTATGACCAGCATTTAAAATTGTGTGGTTGATATCATCAGTTTGAATTCTAGGAAAAAGGATGATCTACGCAGACCGTGCGTACAGCGGATAAGAAAAGGCAAAATTTTGTCTAAATACAGTAGTACATCACCGATAAACCAAAATGTACATGGTATTATGGGGAAAGTCATGTTGTGTGACAAAGATGGCGATCAAGCAGATATTCATCAATCGTTCACAGCATGAAGTATAGCTCACTTTGACACGTTATGACTCTGTACTTGAGCCAATATCAATGTGTATTACCCATTTTCAAACTGATAGAAAGATGTCGCTTAAGCGAGTGATTCAAGATGCACAAGAGGTACAGCCTTGTAGTGCGTTATCGATAGCAGGTCTTGGCGCCCCGACAAGGCGTGGAACTTTTTCGACGAATGTTGACGCCCATCCTGTACCCAAGCACAACAATCTTGAGGTTCTCTGGCCAATCGCATTACTCTAGGTTGTTTACATTCAAATCTCACAATGGCCGTGTCAAGGTTGCTCTCACGGAGTCACCTTCTCTGTCGTGCGAGCGCTCCGTGCATACGCGCCATTCCCTCAGCAATCCCATCAATCACTTCATCATTGCCAAGGAGAACCTTTACTTCCAGTATATCGGCATGGGAAGAGATTGTCCATACACCTTCAAGAGGCCCAGAGATTGCTCTCACAGATGACCGTACCGCTTCAGCTGGTAACACGGCAAATTCCATTGTTTTGCTAAAGCTTTCGAAGCGACTATCAAGAGGAAACATTGAAGAGTTTTTGCGGGAAAACGGTTTCATCATGTAAGTTCTTGTTGGACTTTTCAAATCGCATATAAACCTTACAAATGCACATCTCAGCTAATAGGAGCATAGAAAAAAGTTGCAAATGCGAGTAGATCGCTTCACATTCCACAATGACACCATGTGCTTTGTGGAGCTAGGAAGCCCTGAAGAAGTCCAGAGAGCAATCAAGAAGCTTGATCAAGCAAAATTACAAAATAAGAGCATCGTAGTCCAGCCTTTGAAAGCTGACTTTCAGTGGGGGCATCTGAAGACCTCAAAGAACTCGCCCTATGTATCTCGCTTCTTCAACGACGAAGGTGATGCTGCGCAAGAGGCTCTCCGCCCCTTGGCCGAAGGACGCCGGATGATGCTTTCAGTCAAAACACCGGGCTGGTCGCCTAATGCCAAGGTCAGCGAAGCCAGAAACAACGCAGCGAAGATCATTGAGGAAAACTTTGGCAAATACGGTGTTGAGAGCCTCAGCGATATGGCAGTGTTCTTTGGCGACAAAAAGCAAAACCCACGCCTGCTGGGCTGGATCGACTTCAAGACGAAAGAAGGTGCTGAGCAAGCGGCAGCGGAGAAGCATAACACAGAAATCAATGGCCGGCTCGTGTGGCTACAGGCAGCCAACCCCTCCAAGTGGAGAGTAGAGCAGTACTCGAAGTCTGCCCCGCAGTTGGTGCAGGAAATGCAGGAGAAGGGTACGGTGTCGAAGGAAATGGATGAGGACAAGTTTGTCACTCCACTCCCGAAAAAACAATCCAATTAGACGGCAGGAAAGGTTGACAAAGCCTTTTTCTCTATACTCTGTCACATGGCATTTCGACAATCCAAAAGCGTACTATTAGTATGGATCGGGAATTCTATGTACTTGTACTCAAAAAGCATGCGCTAAGCTCTGCTCTACCTTACACAACCCAAAAAAGACGGTAAATTCTATTTCACCTAGGCAGCTAGATAAGAGAAGTATCATGCAGGAAGAATAGTACATGTTTGAAACGGGACTCTGAATCATACACCAACACCAATCCAGAAACAGCCTCACAGTATATCAATGCATCATGTAACGTCAAACTACTCACCCAGCCCTACTTACGCCATGCCCGTCATTTGTCAGACTTACCACGATAAACGGGTACCAAATATACACTACAGCCCCTAATACTCCCACGGTACCCTCACGCGTTCATGCAACATTTGACATTCACACATCCAAAACGCCTCATCCCGCCCGTTTCCAACCCCGTAAGTTTTCGGAGGACACCCCAGCACAGCGCCACCACAACTGGACCCTTGTTCTTTCCCAACTAGGCAATCATCTCTGAAACCATTGATTCTCTTCGGTATCACAACAGGCGGAGCCCGACAGTCTTCGGAGCGAAAAGAGATTCGACGAGAACGGCAGCAGGTGGACGTTGTGTGGGGTGGGGGTGTTTGTGTGTGTGTGTGTGAGCAATTGCCGCAGGGGTGGCGGGGGGGCGCACGCCGGCGCCGATTGCGGAGTTTTTGGCGGCTGTCAAGTTCCGAGGCAAAGAAACAGCGACAAAAAGTATTCTACTTGCACAGTTAGTAGCCGCCCAGACAAAAAAAGGAGTTCGGGGACTAAATTGTCTTTCGCGCTGTTGCTGTTAGCAGCCTCGCCTCGGACTATTTATTTTTGGTTTGGTTGTATTCGATAGCTTGATGTTGTCGTACCGCCCCCCCCCCCTTTTTTTTGGTGGTTCCTTCGAGAAGGCCATTAGCACATGGAGCTTTTTTTGTGGTTCTCTTGACTTACCCGTTGCGTCCCGATTAGCACTACAACTCCAATAACAAAGGGCGTGTAACAAAGGCCACTGGAACCAAACTCTCTTATCAGCTACTATCGGCACACTCGGCCAGCCACATGCCACGCTCTAGCTCTAATTCCGCCATGGTTCATCCAATTCCAGACCGTCTATTCTGGCCAAGAGCCCGGCTATCAATCTGGTTGCGTTCCGGCATGTAGCCGGCAGCCAATCAGCGCGTAGGACGCTTCGCAATTGGGGCTGGAGGGAAACCCTGCATAGGCCATGGGCTAGCGTGTTCTGCACTCTCAGGGTCCAACCGGTCACCGGTGCGCGAAAGGCGAAGGGGTGAGGCGAACAAAGTCTGGGGTACCTGGGCTGTCCTCGTCGCCGAATGGCCCGTTGTGTAGCCAGAAGTTTCAACGGGCATTTCGTTGGGAAACAAACGAACCCCAAGGATACTCAAGGTTCGTGATGTGGCGTCTGGCAAAAAAGCATACAGGGGCTGTTGGCAGTTTACTACATGGCGCATAAGTATGGACGAACGTGTCAAGAAGAGGCACGAGGGTCCTTTCTCTCCACCGCCTCTTGATACCTGTCCTCGCATAGCCGAACCGCATCAGCCGCGCCTCCCCGACAGAGTTTCCTCTTCCAGGGTAAAAGCGTTCATCTGGTTGGGTCCGGTTGGACGGGCTTTGCATTCGTGCCTTTTCCTTATCGCTAATCCGGGGGTGATACGGAGCGAGCAGGCCTGTAGGGCCCCATTTGTATCCCATTTACAGGGGTCCAAGCTCACCCGGCTACGAAGATCAAAGGAGTCAGACCACGGAGTCAGACTAGTTGTATGTAAGACGGCGAGATGCAGATGAGTGATTATAAAGATGCGGCCCCGGCTCCCATGAGGTTACTGGGGTGCTCAACGTACTGATTGCAGTTATATTCCGCCGTGTTGCTTGAAGAGAGCTTCATATACCATTTCCCATCTTTAATATTCAGAAAAAGGAAAAAACCCCACACTTCAACTTCTGTACACGCGTTCAAGCCTTATTTCTCCGACATCGCCCTGTTGAATCGTTTTGTTCGTGGCAAGCTCGGGGACACGATACTGAAAGACTCGAGGTGTGTAACTTTCCATCACCGCTACTCCACAACATGCCATGTCTGCACCGCCACGACTACCGCGCCAGAAAAAAAAAGAGAGAGTCTAGAACATCGACTCTCGGTTTCCGCGGAACGACATGGACGGACCACGACTGCCATATGCGAGAGCAGCTATGAAATTTACAAGAAAACAATGAAAAAAGCGGTCAGCTCACCAGACATATAGATCTTTCACTGTAAATCCCTAAAAGACCATACCAAAGGTCATATCTGAAAACCACATTTCCCCGGCATCTCCAGGACCCATCCGAAATCATGTGCTCATACACATACTCGTGGTACTACTGCAACCACGACTACTACATCTGGTAATACCTCAAACCGAACAAGAGAGATGGAACGAAACAACTAACCACCATAAACAGGGCCAACAGCATTGAAGTCTGCTCCTCCCGCCTCCTCTCTGGCTACTCCTACGACGCCTGGTCCATCGACATGTGCTCCAAGATGAAAATCGAATGCGGCGGCTTCTCAAACTACTACTGCACCGACTGCTCCGAAGACGTAGCCCTCGAGTTCGAGCTCGATGAGCTATAAAACCCCTACCTTTGCATCCAAGATACTTTGGTATCTACCGGGTACGTTCAAATTCCTCTTTAATTTTCTACTATGTGTATGTTCGCGGGTGGGAAACGTTTGGTTTGGTGAACGGGGGGGAGGGGTGGGAAAAAAGTGGCAACGACAACGGGACAGACACATGGCAAGTGGGGGGGGAGAGACCCTAGGAAGGCACCCTGCATCGGGGAATGGGGGGAGGAGGCGCTTGTGGAATGAGAATGGTTATTTGTGGAGCAAGGCTAACGAGCGGGTGCAGATGAAGAGATGCAGCCGAGTGCACATGTTGCAACGCGACGGTGCTGGGGCTATGGGCTAGCTCGAATGGCCTCTGCCTCACCGCCCTTTTTTTGGTCCCCGTTGAGCCCCCTCGCGAGTTTGGTCCGATAGGATTGTTTCCCGATCTTTTTTTGGTTATTGTTTGTCCGACAGCCTGTCTCTGAATGCGCGATACCTCTTTTTCTTTCTTGCTTCAGCTCGAGCGTTGTTAGCGCATAGTAGGCGCATCCTGGAGCTGTGAGGCGGCATTCGCCAGATTGGTTTATTGAATGGCGTTGGGACTAGTACTACGTATAGCGCCGTGTGTTCATTTGGCTATTTAGAGCGTGCATTTCGACTTCATTTTGATCGGATTCAACAACGCTTTTTTGGAATCAATATTCACTATGGTAGCATTCTCAAATCCAACGCTCGTATTCTGTGTCTTATTCCGTGAGACTGTCCTCTGCGGTCTTCGGGCTGACGGGTTTCCCTTCCTCTAGGGTCTGCCTAACCTGCGCTGCTCGCCTCCTCGCATCGATGTACATCATAAATTCCTGATACGTCCTTGGCATGACCCTGATGTTCTTTGGCACTGTGAATGTGTAGTTGAATTGACCAGTCGGCTTCGAGTGGCCATGCTCCACATCCCTCACCTTGGAGTCAACGCGGATCTGCACTCGGGTGTATTCCGAGTTTTCGTCAAATTCCTCCCCTGGCGCGCCAATGAGTGGCGGGTCTGTATACACTACTGTTGCCGTGAGGTATAGTATGCTGCCCACAGGCACAGGGTTCTGGAAGGTAGATGGATCAAGTGACACGAAGGTGGGGCGGGCATGGGCGAAGGCTGCAGCGGTAGTGAAGGCGAGCTCGAAGGTTTGCTTAAGGAGGAAACCGCCAAAAATCATAAAGTGGTGCCGATTACGGTATTGAGGCTGCATGATGGTCGCAGTTTGCAACCGGGTTGCATCCATGGGAATTACATTGTCGGGTTTGCGAATTTCATCATACGGGTCTGTATCAATCAGCTTAGAGACTCAGATCACTGCTTTTAAGAACGCAACATACCGTGGTACTGCAGCTGCTTTTGCCAGAATGCATGGATTAGATCGCTCTCGAGATCGTTTGGCGTATGCTTAAGAAGAGAGGTTTCCCGGCGCTCTTTTCGCACTCTTGAATTGCGTTCACCCAGGTCGTAGATGCGTTGTTCTTCGGGTGTCTCAATCTTTAGCGGGTTGACGTTGACCGGCCTAGTAGTGCTGTTAGCCAACATCTAAGACCACAGAATTCATGGGTCCTACTTCTTCGTGGCGGGATCCAGAGAAACCATTGTGAAGGTACAATTGATAAGGACGTCCTCATCTCTTGTCTTTTTACCCTCTTTGGGTGCTTTTGCAACCTGCATAGTAATCTCTAAGCTGCTCCTACCCGTCGCATACGTAACCCGACCAGAGAGCTCCAGATCGCATATCTCTGTTAGTGGAGAATGGATGGTGATGCGGTCACAGCTTGCAGTAACAGTGGTAACGTCATCTCCTGTGTGCTTGTATCTGTGGGCGTGTTTAGACAAAAGCGATTATCCTGCATGGCCATTGTAAGCTTACGCGATGATACCCGAAAGGGCATCAAGATCCATGAAAATGGTCCCAAGACGGATGTGGCCCGATGCATTGAGATATGTGTCAAGTATCCACGGATCCTGAGCGAGAGGAAGTACAACTGAATGATAGCTTTCACTCATGCGCTTCGGCGTCAATTTGCGATCTTTGGGCAATTCAGCCTTTTTCGAAGGCTCAGAGGGCTGGTTGGCCTCTGCTTGTTGTTTTCGTAAAGCCTCTATCCAGGGAGTGCGCACCCGCATGGCAGTGAGCTCTCGGAAGACGCCATCGGTGCGTGGTGTCGGGCTACAGTGAAAAGACCTGCAAGATGCTGGCAGGATAGAAGATGAGGATGAGATGGCGCTGCCGCACCCTCGAATCTGACTGATGCGCTGGAGCGCATTCCTGGTGATAACCCTCATGTTGGGATTTGTTGTGGAACTGCGGAGAAGGCGCAGGGGGTGACGTACCGACTGACACGAAGTGACACGGCGGTGCCGGGTCTTGGCGCGGAAGGCGATACCGGACAGCTGCCATCCTTTATTCTCCTTACAAGCTCCGTCTCAATGCCGCCTCACGCCTCTTCCCTGATATCCAGGAGAGTCATCTGTGAATAGAATGTCGCGATCCGTCGAGCTGGGGCGCGCAGTACTACATGCACCCGCTGCACATCACGAGCTTTGGCTCACAACATTGATCACCGTCTCACCAAAACAGGACTCACCTTACCTTGCACGGCTCACATCAGTTCAGTTTCGTGAAGCCCTTGCATCTGGACTACTATGGATTGATTGTGGACATGATATGCATATGAATTTGGAATTGACGGTGAACAACGAGGCGCTGCCCCATAAGCAGCTACAGACCCTCACGAATGCTATTCTCCAGGCTCCAGTAAGCCATACTCACATCAGGTCACCCCTCCATTCTAACCAGATCAAGGTATGGCAGCAATTAATGTTAAGACCAAGCCTTCCTAACAAATTCATAACAAATTCGGGAACGATTCGACTCAATATCAGCCACGTTGCTATCGCTAGAAAGGAGGTGGGACAAAAGCATCACAGGCTGTTCTTAGATGTCCCAGCTACAGACATTGGACCACCAGAGGGTGTTCTTTCCGTCTCACTTCAATCGGTTCGCCTCTGCCTGGACATTCTCGAGACGGGTCCGCGCCGGAAGCTTGTAGTGCCGCGATCGAATTCTTTCTCGGATGAGCGCATTAAAGCCGAACATACGACTTTGATGCTTTTTGATATAGACTCGACTGGAAACGCCTCAAGTCATGATGTACCAAAACCTGTTCGGTTTGATACTAGCAGAAAACGAAAACGCTCTGTCACTAGCATGCCACTAACGCCTCTGGAATCTCCCTACCAACACACTGACCGTGGAGAAAGAGATATGCTGGTAGATCTACGTTCCCAATCACCGCATAGTCTTTCCTCGATGATGAAATTTCAAGCTGACGTGCGAGCCATGGTCGATAGCGCACTACGTCTCTCTATACGCGGTACAATCTCCAGATATCCAAATGAGTTAAAAGCCAAAGCCAATACATTCCGTATGGGATTGGCTGATGTAGCCCCTGCGTTATGGAGAAGCGGATACATGGATGTATGGAGCGCTTCATATCGATGAGTGTACTGCTAATATTCGAATAGGCTTTGTCTCAGAGAGCCCAATTAATGCCCACAATTGCTCAATCACTTGCTCAAACAGGCTTTGCAAAGACGATGTCCATCTCCCTGAAGTCCAAGATGGAGATCATCAACAATGCTGCTTTTGCGGGTGGACGAGATAAAACCCACGGGCCAGGATACACCATTGAGTCTAACACCGCCCGTATCACGCAACATGTTGCAACTAATTTATGGGTGCATTCGCAAAAAAGCCTACTTCGTGACTCTACACCGCCGACATTAGCTTGTATTGGCTCCCCTTCAGACGAAGTCTGCTCGGACTCGGATGATATGTTAGTGGGGAAAGATACTGAATGCAACGAAGGCGCATGTGCAGTACACGATGAAGACATGGCCCTTAACAACTCGAGCGAAAGTACTGATGATGGGTGTTTATTACCTTCCACACCGGAAACAGTGACTACTAACAATCACCATGTCCAAATACAACACGAAGCCTTCACCAAACCCTTCCCAGATCATGGTATTGCCGAGTTGGAAGAAGAGCTATTGTTTGATCCACTCTCCTACTAGGCGTCCTCAGGCCTCTACTCTGGCTACAACAGCAGACTTGAATAATCATATTTACGAACTCACAACCTATTCTCGAATGCATTGGCCCGGGATAATAGGTATTTGAATATTGACGCAGCGCATTCATGGCGCGTCCGTCTGGTGTAGCTTTCAAGAACTGTTTATGCATCATCTGTGGTGGCTGACGTAGGGTCTTTGCGTGGGCATGAGAAGAACAGACCCAGCATCCAAACCCAACTTCTGGTTGGGCGAAGGCGACTGATACTTGGCTTTAGCGCACTGCACTAGTGTCACGGTTGACATGATTAGGTTTACCAGCTTGGTGGAATCTGTTTGACATGCACTAGAAGTTGTTTCACCTCGGACTTCTCATATCATACGGTCAGGATTACATATTCAATGCCCCTATTTCTATGCAAAACGTTGCAAACAACAATGAGGCTATGCGTCGCTACGTCTAATACTGTATTCGGTCAGGCACAACCGACTCTGATCTCATCCCTCTGGGCCTCAATCAGAATCTGAGTTATGATATAGCGATCAGAACAACGTAAATATATCATTAAATAATGTAGGACACTCAGAAAATGCCCATATCATCGATGTTTCGCCGCTCAATCCTTGGCGAGTCTTGAGGAGTTCGTTCCTTGGCAGACGGCAAGCTTTCTCTTGGCTGGGAAGGGAGCCTGAATCATGAGCGCCCCAGGCCTCAGTTAAGAAAGGTACATCGGGCCCTGACGGTATATATAGAAAAAGGTGCTGGCTTAAAGCTTATTCTTCCACACGCCCCCACATACGCCTTCACTAATGATACTAACCAATGGACGGCTTTAGTTTCAGGCCTACACTGACATGGTCTAGGACTTGTGTCCAGCAGGCAGCTGTTAAGGAACTCTGCACCGAAGCTTCCGCTCCTAGCTGCAACTTTGCGGATGGAACACTCGATATCGTACGAGTGCTTGGCAGCGGAATAGAGCTTAGTAAAACGGCTTGCTAATTAGTGGTGACTCCGTCCGATAAAAATATCAGATGACATCAAATTCCCGAACCTTAATGGAGTCCCAGCTCAGATGTCCAACTTCTCAGTCCATGGACAGAATCCACCGGAACGATCAACACGTGATTTTCGAAGTCTCGCGTGCATATGAATACTTCGCAGCGGCATCACTCAAAGCTCGAGGTACTCAGACACAGTGACTCAACAACAATGAACAAGGCAAGTCATAATCTATGATTTAATTAATAGTCGTGGATGAAGAATTCTGAACTCCACTCCCCAATTATCACTAACAACTTTGCCAAGTGTACTTAGTACAGGATTCACAAGCTCGTAAATTCCATTGCGTTGCACGGGTAATACTTTTACTAATTATGTATCAAGCCATAGGCATGCCGCTTTCACAATGAGACATGTCAAGTTGTAGCGCATCGGAAGATGAAAATACACCAAACAACCAAAATTGATCAGAAGTCTGAGTATCAAAAGGCCCAGAAACCTTATCCATCGGTTGAGCCCTCAGCCTTGGGACTAGGTTTCATCGCCCACGGCTGTCACCACCACTTAGCGCATAAGTTGTGGCGTTTGCGACCCAACCTAGCGCCATCTCCTGCAAGGATGAATTACTATGGAGCCTTGTGGTCTGTCCCGGCATTCATCTGGCGAGGAATGGTGTAACGGGGCTGTCCGTTGTTGTGAGAGGGGAGGCTAAATTGCTGCTTTAATAAAGCGCCAGAGTACTCGTTTGATTTGCTTGATACCTCTGAAGTTGTTCACTTGTTTTATATTAATGCGGCCGGCTGCTATAGGGAAAATCGGCGTTTGCGATAGACTAATTCGGTCGAAGACACGTTTTGTGGAAAACGTGTAGCAACAGCGTTGTGGCTTTGCTTTGGCCCAGGTGCGTAGGCAATTTTTTCTCAGTCGATGTAACGTGCTGGAGAACCATACTCTAACGATATCCAGATCTACCGGCAAGACATCTATGCACAGGTGCATTTCCCTCTTTACCAAACTACCACAATCCCGTCGCATTTACCATGTTGCGACCAGAGGTCCAAGACAAATACCCCCTCGGAACCACACCTCCCATATCCTTCCTTCCGTATCTTGTATTCGCCTCCTTTCTTGTCAGCTTAACTGGTACCTTTACCACCGTAGAGCTGCTACACCGACGTGCCTCTGGGGTGGGATGGCGTCCCTGGTACGTATTCAAAAGCAAATATCAAATCCCAGCGTCTCATATGTTACAGGGTGGATATTGCTATTTGTTCAGTAACATTCGGGCTCGTCGCAGTCTGGTGCATGCATTTCTTCGGGAACCGTGCGATCATCCTTGGTGAAGGTGAATTAGAGATTCAGCTATACTACGATGAGACATATTCGGTGTTGTCAGCGATACTACCGATTATACCCATCTTTTTAGGTCTCTGGGTCGCGATCAGATTTTACGAGCTCGGTCGACGAGCTCTTGTTCGCTACGGATCGCTTGCTGTATGCGGACTGTGTACAGGTGGTGCCGCTACCATGATGCATTTTCTAGGAAACGTTGGTATTGAGAATTGCAGCATGTCGGCGAACTGGGCGAATATGGTTGGTTCTGCAGCTGTTGCTGTGGCCTTATGTTCGCTTGGGTTTGGCCTCTTTTTCTACTGGGGAAAACTCTGGATAAACAACATCTGGAGGCGCATATTTGTTTCCTTTATTCTGGCTATGGGCATTTGCGGGTGGGTGATACCGCCAGACGTATGGCGTGATAATCTTTCTGACATAGTCTAGGATGCACTGGACTGCAGCAACAGGCACTTGGTATCAGATCCAGGCCTATCACAATGGCGAAGAAGCGGACCAGAACGTAAACCTCATTGTCGCTTATTGCCTTGTAAGTCACATGTCGCAAATGTCAATTGTGCTGCTAACATGGATCAGTTAACAGTTTCATGCATTGCATGTGTCATACTCGGCTTCATCAAACAACGCCAACGGAAGGAGGAAAAGAGCAGGGCGCAGCAAGCCGTGCTAGCTATTGCCAACTTTGATTCCTCGGGGAAACTGCTGGTCAACAATACTGGGTTGATGCCGTGTCAGACCATCATGCAGCATTTCAATCAAGGAGCCTTCGACGACGAACTTGACACATCACATCCTGTTTTTCAATGGATCTTTAGGGTCACACGAAACTGGAATGGTATCTCCGATCTCATTCCGTCAATGCGTGAAAACCTGCAACTGGCTGGATACCTGGAAGCGACTTGTCCCGGAAACAAAAGACGCAATTCATTACACGAGAGCGATGATGCAACCTCGTCGGCCACATTTCGCAAATTGTTTTGCGTCACAGCTGATGATATGGCTACAGCTCTTGATATGGGTCTCGAGAAGCTGGGGTGTCTATATGAGGATGTTTTGACTACTGGTACGATGACCAACAATCGCGGGACATGGACAGGTACACACACAACCAATACTACTCCAGATGCGAACATGACAACAAACGACCCCGAGTTGGGAAGAGCTGAGCCAGTCATTTTTGGAAAGGGACAGATGCTCATACTCTCGAGGAAAGTCGACGCATCAGAAGCACACCGGTTACAACAACTAGGCTACAGCTTCGCGGAAATCGAGCAAGTCAGCCACAACATAGCACGCAGCTTGCAGATCCCCCGTGGTGACCTTGAGGATCTTATCATCCGCCTACGTGCTTTCAGTGAGAGACAGTACTCTGTTCCGAAGAGGGGCACCTTCCTCGCTTCTTTCTTGGTGCAACCAAGACCCGGCATGAAAAGCATGGATGTCGTGGTGCCGCGGGCGAATTCAGGTCGGCTGCCAATGGTCAAACTTGATGACGATCAACTCGACAGTCGGCAACTAAAAATCCTCTCAACATTTGATGGGCTCACTTTGGACCAGTGCGTGGCGCGGATCAAAGCCTCCTCAGAATCGGACACAAAAGTCTCTGCCTTCATGCGCAAATTTGGCAGTCAGATCGAAGCTCTGCTCCGCGAATGCCCTGAAGAGGCTCTGCACTTTTCCACGTTCTCGGCACAACAGCTCGACATGGTCAACGGTCAAACAGAGTTCAGTCAGGCAAAAGTGTTCGCTTTCTGTGGCATCAAGGAAATCTACGTTCAATCGTTGCAGAGCTTCCACCTCAAGGCGATACCGTTTTCATTTTTCAAGACATATCTCAGATCGCAAATAGGATGCGCAGACCATGCTGTGCTTGTGCAAAGAAACCACGACGAGTTCGGTTATCTCCGGCGAGCGCAATCAGATGCCGAAACTTCATCTTCTAGCCTCAGTTCCAAGTGGCCGTGGAGCCTTCGTAAAAAGAAGTCACTGTCCAGTGAGAGGAGCTGGAATGAAGAAACGGATTCTGTGAATAACCTTGTCAACCACAGGCTGCATACTAGAACTCTCACAGCGCTTTCGGGGCATAGTATGTGGGGCAAAATGGTTACAACTTCCATTGAGGATATCAAGTCGCCTAGAAGCAAATCCAGTTTCAGATTGGAGATGCATAGTATGAAGAAAGTGAAGAGTAACATTTTGGACCAGGAGAACCAAACGCTGGCTGATCTATTGATGATGATTACGACAGCATCCCGTAGCTCACTCACGGGCCGGCCACCCACCAGTGCGGAGCCTGAAACTTAGCACTCCTTCGCATAGATTTCGTTTGTGTTATGAATTTTTTTTCTTTGAAAAAATAGATTCACGACGTTTTTTTGTAGATACTTGAGATATTCATAATGTTACATAGCGACAAAGGGCAGGATCCACCAGGCTGGGAAATGGCGTGCTCTGAGTTAGCGGCCTGATAGATTGAGGCAAATCGAGAAGAGATGATATGATTGTTCACGGGTTCAACATAAACAGATAGATGAACTTCGGAGAACTTAAATGATCACATGATTTGATGCCGGATGCAAACGAATGCGGATGTCCGATAACGCACCGGAGATGGTGGTAGTGGGATGCTTGGCATACCTATGACGCTCAT